TTTTTTTTTTTTTTTTTTTTTTTTTTTTTTTTTTTTTTTTTTTTTTTTTTTTCAAATTTTCGAGGAACTGCGTTTAATTGTATACACTTTAGTAAGACTAAACACAGCTTTTACGGTATATCTAGCAGAGATGCTATGAAAAAGGTACCTTGATATCAGCAACTCTACATCGGGGAGGGGCTACTCTTTAATTCATATTACCATGCAGAATATATCACGATTGTATCGCTATATATCGTATAAGTCGTGTAACTTTTACCAATTAAATGATTTGTTGTAATTGGTCAAACAAGTACAGCGCTACCGTCTGTCAAACATAACAAACAACTTTCATATAAATGTATGGCTGCAAATATCGTACAAACGTATATCTATACGCCATTTATCATTTACAAATCTCTACTGCGCTAGTAATCGATAAAACTACAACGACGACTAGGCAAAAAAAAAAAAAGAAAAACAATTAATTCCTCCTCTTCTTCGAACAACTCCCCATATCAAGAATATAGAAAAAAGTCGCCACCTCACAGACCATCTGAAAATATGGACAACTCAATCAACTTAACTGCATCAAGGATTGACCTCATGACCTTGGAAGAGCTTAGAGACCCCAATCTCATTAGCCGTTATCCCCCACTTTTTCAAAGAAGGCAAAATTACGTGGCCGTAGATGGAAACTTACAAACCAAGTTTGGTTGTTTACTCACCCAGCAGCAGCAAAACAGATCCCAGGTATATGAAACAACACATCTGTATTTGTTCAACCGTCCTCCACAGCCAGTAGCGGAGGAGCTGCAACAGCAGCAACAGCAGCTCCCAGTTAAACCCGACTCAACTCACATCCAAAACAACGAGACAACGACCAAAAAATCACACAGAAGTCTCACCACCTTTTTCAAACATCAGTCTAGAAGATCCAAACAATTAGAACGACAAGAAACATTGAGGAGATCCATCAGCAAACCATACCTTCAAACCAAAGATCAAAAAGGGAATCCTAGACCAGGACCAGTGTCGGAGCAATCATCCCAAGAGCAACTACAGCGGCAGCAGAAGCACTTAGACACGACGGAGCCAATTTACGTTCACGCATTATATCCTTATAAAACCAAACGGTCAATAAAGATCAAAAAGGACGTAGCAAAATCACCAGATGAATTCGAAAATGAACACACAAAAGCAGCAATGTCTCCCAATGCAATACGCCGCACAAGGATGATCCAAAATCAGCGTTTCACAAATTTACCTGGACAGCAAATGTCAGCTATAAACAGTCTAATTGTACCGCCAGTGGAGTCAAGCCAAGTCATCGATAACCCTGCAAATTATTCGAGCGCAATTGTGCATCCCAACATGAGGCAGGATGGGCTGAACGGAAGCAATAGACAACAAGCCGACTTTATACGGTATGACATGATGAATTTGGATAATGGCAATGCTTTATCACCAATAATTGATGAGTCTGAATATCCTTCGGCTCAAGGAAGTCACCAGTACCAGCAACAGCAACACCAATGTAGTAATAACCAGCACAGTAGCAACTTGAACGAAGCTTTGATATCAACATCTAAGTTTATTGTGTCCACAATGAGTGACTCTGATGAGAGCTACTATAGCTTCGAGGATGAAGGGCCACGATTTACCACTGTGAGTAGCCCAGGTGATATTCGCAACCATGTGCAATCCCCACTGCATCATCGTCATCATCAAATTCGTCAAGTTTCATCACCATTATACCGGTTTAATGGTAAGCCCACGGCAGCACGGTATGTTCTGCCATTTGACACACTGCCCTATTCGCCAATGAGAGGAAGGTAACTGTCACACATCTGTGTATTGTTGTATTGTAATTGAAGTAAAAGACATATAAAGTCTCCTTCTCTACTCTATGTATTTTTCTTTCTCTTCTCAACGGCAAAATTTAAATTTCTCTCTGATGAGTATTTGACATCGTTTACAAATCATACACATCACGGAATACAACAGATAATGACTGTACCGACTAACAGGAAACGACTCTCAACGGGTCTAACAGTCACATCAAAAGTATTTGTGCGGTCCAAGAATGGAGGCGCTTTGAAAATTGTTCGTGAACACTACTTGAGAAACGATATACCATGCTATTCATTAGCTTGCACTCATTGTCAAGAAATAGTCAAGCCAGACGCCAACGGCAATGTCCCTAAATTCATACTATCTGCCAATCCGGCCAAAACTACCCATGGCAAACCCCATTATGTCGTATTGGATACTAATATTGTGTTGCACGCCATCGATTTACTTGAGAGTACGCAATGTTTTTATGATGTAATTATCCCACAAACTGTGTTGGAAGAGGTCAAGAATAGATCTTTTCCAATATATCAAAGGTTGAGAAACTTGGTCAAGCTGGAAGACAAGAGGTTTGTTGTGTTTCACAATGAATACAATGAAGGTACATATGTCACTAGGGAAAAGAATGAATCAATCAATGATAGAAACGATAGAGCTATTCGGAAAGTTGTCGCATGGTATCAGAAACATTTGCCTGGTATTGAAATCATATTGGTGTGTAATGACAACGGTAACACAAGCAAAGCAAAAAGGGAAGACTTGGATGTCATGTCCTTGAATAAATATCTTGATTGCTTGCCTAATGGAGAGGACTTGAAGGAGTTGATACCGGCAGACCCTGGTACTTTTGAAGGCAAGAAGGGAGAAGATGAGGCTACGTTCCCAGAGTACTATTCAAATGCCCGTATTATGGCTGGCATCAAAAATGGAACATTGTACCAAGGTATTTTGAACATTTCGTCATACAACTACTTGCAAGGTGAAGTTAATGTGTCTGCATTCAAGAAACCGTTGTTGATCCAAGGCTCCAAGAACTTGAACCGTGCCTTCAACTCAGATTCGGTTATTGTGGAGCTTTTACCCAAAGATAAGTGGAAAGAACCTTCAACAACAATTATAGAAGAGGAGTCTGTTGGTGTCAATGATAACCCAGACGATGGTGGAGATGATGAAGATGACAACGTTGCTTCTGAAGGTGTTGTGTCGGATAAGGAGCGTCTTCTTTTGGCGCAAGAAGCAATGAAGACTACAAAAGGATCATCAGAGGAAAAAAGGCTTCAACCCACTGCGAAAGTTGTTGGGATTGCAAGAAGATCTTGGAGGTACTATGTGGGACAAATTGCTCCTACATCAGTGAGCCAAAGTGATTCAGGAAACTCGGCTAAAAACTGTTTTGTCATTTTGATGGATAAGACATTACCAAAGATTAGAATTAGAACTAGAAAAGCTAAAGAATACCTCGGACAAAGGATAGTTGTTGTTGTCGATTCGTGGCCTAGTGATTCCAAACACCCTAATGGGCATTTTGTTAGAGCTTTAGGTGAAGTTGAGAGTGCTGAGGCTGAAACTGAAGCGCTTTTGTTGGAACACGATGTTGAGTATAGACCCTTTTCCAAAAATGTTTTGGACTGTTTGCCCAAAGAGGGTGATAATTGGACTGTTCCAGATATTTCCAATACTGATGATCCACAACTACAAAAGCGAGTTGATCTTAGAGACAAGTTGGTGTGTTCGATTGATCCACCAAATTGTGTTGATATTGATGATGCTTTGCATGCGCAGAAATTACCCAATGGGAATTACGAAGTTGGGGTTCATATTGCTGATGTTACCCATTTCGTTAAAGCTGGAACAGCATTGGATCAAGAAGGTGCATCAAGAGGTACTTCAGTCTATCTTGTGGACAAGAGAATAGATATGTTGCCTATGCTTCTAGGTACAAATCTTTGTTCGTTGAAACCATTTGTTGATCGTTTTGCATTTAGTGTTGTTTGGGAAGTTGATGAAGATGCAAATATTGTAAATGTCAAGTACATGAAGTCCATTATAAAATCAAGGCAGGCTTTCTCATATGAACAAGCTCAGTTACGTATAGATGACCCCAATCAACAGGATGAGTTGACGAATTCGATGAGGATTTTATTGAAGTTGTCAAAGAAATTGAAGCAAAAGAGATTAGATGCTGGTGCTTTAAACTTGGCTTCGCCAGAAGTGAAGGTTCATATGGATAGCGAAACTTCTGATCCACAAGAAGTTGAAATTAAGAAATTGTTGGAGACGAATTCACTTGTTGAAGAGTTTATGTTGTTTGCCAACATTTCCGTCGCTAGAAAAATATACGATGCTTATCCTCAAACTGCAATGTTGAGAAGACATGCAGCTCCACCGGCAACTAATTTTGAGACATTGAACGATATGCTCAACGTACGGAAGAAAGGTCTTTCGATCTCGACAGAATCATCAAAAGCATTGGCTGATTCTTTGGACCGCTGTGTGGATCCAAAGGATCCTTATTTCAACACATTGATTAGAATCATGTCCACAAGATGCATGATGGCTGCTGAGTATTTCCCATCAGGCTCGTATGGGTACCCTGAATTCAGACATTACGGGCTAGCTGTTGATATATACACCCATTTCACCTCCCCTATTAGAAGATATTGTGATGTTGTTGCACATCGACAATTGGCTGGTGCTATTGGATACGAGAATTTGGACTTAAGTCATAGGGATAAGAACAAGATGGAGATGATTGTGAGAAACATAAACAAACGTCATAGAAATGCCCAGTTTGCCGGAAGAGCAAGTATTGAGTATTACGTTGGACAAGTGATGAGAAGTAATGAAGCTGAACATGAAGGGTATGTGATCAAGAGTTTTAATAATGGTATTGTGGTGTTGGTACCCAAATTCGGTGTTGAGGGTCTCATCAAACTCGAAACCATGGGTGATGTAAACAATGCTAATTATGATGAAGATAAGTATGAGTTGACATTTACTGATCATAATGGAAAGAAAAGAACTGTTGGTGTATTTGATAAAGTCAAAGTTGATGTGAAATCAGTTAAAGATGACGTCAGTGGAAAGAGAAAAGTCCAACTTTTGCTCAAGTGAATTGAGTCTGTGTATTATTTACAATGAAGATAAGTAGATTCTGTTGTTCCCCTTTGTTTTTAAATACTAATGTAATCAACCAATTGATTGATATTGATGATTTTGATATTGTGCTCTTTGCTAAACTTTACGCAATCGTCAAGTCTCATCATCAACCCATCCTCATCTCTCACCAACTCGCAAATAACAGCAGCCGGTTGTAATCCAGTCAATTCACACAATTGAACAGCAGCTTCAGTATGTCCTCTTCTCTTGTTCAATAACCCAGGAACAGCTCTCAACGGAACAATGTGACCCGGCTTAATGAAATCTTCAGATTTGGAGTCCTTGTTAGCGAGTGATCTTGCAGTTAACGCACGGTCATGAGCAGATATACCGGTTGTAGTTCCATCAGCAGCATCACAAGTGACGGTATATGCAGTACCATGTCTATCCGTTTGGTTCTGAATCATGGGACGCAACTCCAACTTGTCAGCGCGTTCAGTTGACAATGGACAGCAAACATACCCGGACGAGTGACGCACTAAAAATGCCATTTGCTGTTGAGTTATTAGTTCTGCGGCCATGATCAAATCACCTTCATTTTCTCGATCTTCGTCATCCATTACAACCAAGAATTCACCTTTCTTGAAAGCAGCGAGGGCATCCTCTATGGGAGTGAAAATCTGTGTCATGTTGATCATTAGCGCGTATTCTGGGTTGCGTGTGCGTGTGTAGTAATGGCTTCTGAGGTGCTATGGAAGAGGAGCTCTAGTGGGGGAAGAAGGGCTATTTTCGATTTGCAATAAATTGATTTTAATTATTTTTCTTTTTTTTTTTTGTTTCAGCAGAAAAGTCTGGGGCCCTCTTTATATATGTACTGAGTTGATGCTGTGTTCTTAGCTAATGTTGTTTTGTTTTCGACAAGGTGCAAAGACTTTCAAAAGACGTATGTTAAACAATGGAATAGAGCAAGCTCGTTTCCGAGATTCATTGGTTGAATGTGTTATTTTAGGCTTATGAGAGAGATATTAAAGTTGAAAAATTCGGCAACTCGGTTATGACAATGTCGTAGAGTGAGGCTACGCAAATCGGATGACATTTACTCTCCTCATACAAAAATGTCGTATTTGCTATACATGATGTCGTCAGAAAATATTATTCATCCATGACTAAAGCCATTACTCACGAATAAGCTTACTTGTACAAGGACAAACAGCTACTCTTGATGCAAAAGGTGTACATCTTTTTCTTTTTTTTTCTTCTTCTTTGTACCTAGTCTTCAGCTGAACTGGACCACAGCGTCACTTTGTATGTAGTAGTTGATTTCGTTGTGTTTAGTTTGAGGTCCTTTCCAAATCTCTTCTTCATTGCACAGATTGCACTCTCGTGTTCCCCGTCCATCGGTCAACTCACCCTGTTAATCTAGTCGAGGGACAATCTACTACCTACACTCTGTGCAACAAACCTATACAATGGAAGTGATTTGTATGTTACCGCCAGAAATAGGTTTGTTTGAAAAATTTGTGATTTCGCCGTTTTGTGTTGCAGGCTTATTGTTATTCCGCAGACATGCAATTCCCGTCCACGGCATACATCATAAATCCTCGTCCTTGCATCGGAGAAGTGGCTTTCAATTGTTTCACACCCCATCTAAGTCGTCACCATGTCGGAAGTCATTCAGGACAGTAAAGGGTTCAGCAAGTCATTTGCAACTACACATGCCAATCAAGAGTTTTTTTTTCATTTGATACAATTTCAGAATAAGCAGATCTTGAACATTTCCATCAATGGCATACTCGATACAACTTTTAGAATACCAGTATCTACCAAAACCTCGATCAATTATGAGTCTATGATGGACTTGGCGGACAATGAAGATGGCGGCGATGGGTTTGCCTCTGGAGATCGATTGCCACCTGAACCACAAATGGTAATTGGCGATTATTCAAATATGAAAGTCTCCATAGTTGCTAGTCAAGTGGGGAAACTCATGTCAATTCACTCGCCGCGCGAAGTCATACTATCTATAGCATCCAAATGGTTTGGTAAAGGCGATGAAGTATGTGATGATGATCTAGAAAAGTTGACTTTCGTACTCGAAAATGTCAAGAAATTGCTATGAAAGGACTACTAAATTTATATGGTTGAAACCGATACATCTATGTAAATCTACTACTTCTTTTGTCTTTGTTTTGGTGCAACTTTCCTTTCTTGCTGACCATAAACCAACTTATGAGGTTTCATGAATTTCTCAACAACTTGGTCATCAACCTTACTTCTTCTCTCTTGATAAGCACCCACAAACTCTTGCAAGACAGTAATACATTCCTTTTTCATTTCACCCGATAGTATTTCACCTTTTCTATAACCTTCAGCCAATTTCTCCAACTTTTCATCATCGTAACTGAAAAATGACAAGTATTGGTATGCAACATCAACGTCAACATTTCCTCCATACTTGCGGTGATCTTCCATCAATGCCTGACCTCCTGAAAATGCAAATTTATTAATCTTTTTCTGTATTTGTTTTGCAGAATCACCCATGAATATCGAAGACGAGGTGTCAGAAGCAGACATTTTTGTTGAAGCACCTTGTAATGCCGGAAAGAATTTGGCATGAATTAAGGCTGGCTTGGAGAACTTTAACTTATCAGCAACGTCTCTGCACACCCTGAAATACGGATCTTGGTCAATAGCACAGGGGATTAAACAAGGGGTTTTGGGTGGTAATCCCAAGACATCAGGGAATGACGAAGGAAATGCAGTTGCAATTTGAATACTAGCAAAATGAATTTTTCCAATACAATCGGTATCAGTGAATCCAAAAACTGCTTTTGCTGTTGAAGTTGTGATCTGACGCGATGTTCTAACAACATTTTCATAAAAAGCACCACCCATGTACTGCAAATCTGAAAATATAAATGTGTTTTCTGGTTTGAACCCCACGGCAACGATATCTTTGGCGTTTTCCACTGAGAAATTCTTGACATCATCAATGGTCAATTTAGGTTTAAACAAAAACTTTTCGTCATCGGTCAACTCAATCACCAACGGAACATCAAATACGTCTTGCAACCATTTGGTGAAAACAAATGGAATCATATGGCCCAAATGCATCGAGTCGGATGATGGCCCTCTTCCCGTATACAAAAAGAATGGTTCACCATGTTCATACAAATCCAATATCTTGTGTAGATCTCTTTCGGAAAAAAAAACCCCACGCTTCAAGAACGGATGTGGTTCATGTCCAGTAACTTCTTTGAACCTAGTCAAAGTTTCCAGAGTAATGGCTTTAGTTCCAAATTGTTTGATCAATTTTTCATAATCAATGCCCTGTGATTTCCCATCAACAACAGCTCCTTCTACTTCCCATGGTGTGATTTTTTGTTCACTCTCATCTTGGAGCTTCAAATCTGCTACTTTATCTTCGACTGACATGCTTGTTTGGATAATGGGTGCAGCTTTCTATGTGTGTGACACTTCTTTATGACTCAGTATTCTTGATGGTGATTATTTTTCACTACTAAGTAATACACTCGCTACCATTTGTGAAACATCGCAGGGCTTTTTTTACAAGACCAAATACTACACTCTACACAACTAAGAACCCCAGAGACACGGAACATACTCTAGTACAGTTTATATCCAAGTATTGATAAAAACCCAATTGTAGATTAAAAAACGTAAATTTTTAAAAGTGTGATACTATACAAAACTGACTTCATGCAAATCATCCAAAACTTAACTTCCCCAAATTATTTCTCTCCTTTGTGAATAAACTTAGAAATGTAATTTTTGGAAAAACCACTTGTTCTTACCAGCTTGGTGTTTCTCTTCAAAAGCCTTCTTGACTACCTTCTTGGCTTCTTCTCTTTGTGATGGTTCTTCTAAAGCTTCCGATGATACAGCAGACTTGAAGGATTCGACATCCAAGGAGTATCTAGTTGGCATCAAGTGGTTGTAGTTTACCAATTTGACAAATGGCTTAACCTTGGTTCTCTTGGCGGTCTTCTTGGCATCCATCTTTTTGGTAACTTTCAATGGGGCTCTTTCAACACCAGCAACAATGGCGTGTGGGAATGGGTGTGATTTGGTACCTTCATCGTGTGGTTTTACAATGACAACCTTCTTACCGGCATAACGTCCACGGACAACAATAGCTATATGGAATGTTAGTATAACGTTGAGGTATGAAAAATAGTATGCGTTTCGGGAGATTGGATGAGAAGTCTGGACTCGTGCGAGACTTCTACTCGAAAATGAGTGGTATCTTACACTTGTGGAATAAATTGCTTGGGGCAAGTTGAAAGATGGAAATACTTGTAGTTTCTCATACTGACGAAAGCTCTCTGTCTTGGCTTCAAGTTGATCGACGTGATGAATTCATTATTTAACTTGGACCCTGGTCCTCATTCTTTTTCCTCCTCCGATTTCAATCTCATCTCCGATACGTATTTTTGATATTGACATACCAACTCTACCTGATTTAATGAATTTAGCCATTTCTGATGTATGTAGTCTTTGACAAGTAGTTGTATTCTCCAGAAGGTGAGTTTGTAGATGGACTTGGTACTGAAATTTTTTTTGTCTTAGGAGAGGACGCTTGGTGCGTACACACATCCTTTCTTTTTTTTTTTTTTCTCTCTCTCTCTCTCTTTTGTGCCCACTTAATGAATAGTATGGGTTGTGTATTGCGGTAAGGTTGTAAGATTCTCATCTAGGTCTTTAGCCCTAAGCCATTGCTGATAAAACATACATTCCATCTCGTGACCTCTACAGAAAGCCAGATAACCCCGTGTTTGGTAATCCGATAAACTTGACTCACTAATATCAAGTAAAGATTGCCGTGAAACCACTTTCTGAATGTCGCGAAGAGACGAATAGAAGTATTCTACATTAACACGAGTTTATACATACGGCACATCGTTTCAAGAAATTACATCCACACTCAAAGTGGAACGATTACACCTACCTCTTCTCCAAAGTCAATCATTTTTTACGGACTCAACTATATAGACTCAACCATGACATCACTTTCTGATACTTCTGGCCAAGAATTTCGAATTCAGACTTGTTACAACCGGCAGCGAAGGGTTACTAGACGATGTCGATCCCTGTCCTCGAGATACTGCCCTAGTCTTATTTGGATCAACTTTTCTACCATCCTCTTTTGTAAAACTAGATCGTCTATTATTCGATACTGGAATATGCGCGTTATGAGCCACAGCCAATTTGGCTGCCCGAAGGAACCCACTATCGGAGGAATCTTTTGGTAAGCCGGTAGTGTTGACTTCATTTGGCGGACTAACTGGAGGAGGCTTCCTTTTTGGTGTCGAGCGCTGCATTTTGGTCTTCAACATATGAGACGATTTTGGTGTTTCTCTGATGTTAGACTTTGCTGTGTCGGGTGGCGAGCGTCTGGCGCCTTTTTCGGAAGAAACTCTTGGTTGTGGAGTAGTCGTAGACGCAACGACTGGCGAATCTGCCAACTTTGGCGAGGAGTGATGGCGGTCCTTGGTAACAATTGTGGCAGGGCTTTCCACATTGGATCTCGTTATAGACTCTTTGGAATTACCTGGGGAATTAGAATCTTCTTGCTCTAATTTTCCCCTCTCCAATTCATTGGTACGAGCTTTACTTAATGCTTCTGTCCATTGGGTTACCTCAAACTTTTCAACTTCAAACACATAAGTCAGCTCAGTTGAGGTGATTGTGAAAACACCCACTGATGGCAACACCTTGGAAAATCTGGTCAGGACCGACACCAACTCTTGGAATCTAATGAATGGATATTTCAACTCGATTGTGAGAATGATTTCATAGTCAGAGCTCAAATCTCTTCTTGCAAAAACAAGTGCTCTTCCATGAGTTGTAACTACCATAGTACCAACCTGCGGCTTGTCAAGACTAAAGATATTAACAGGCTCATCGTCAGTGTCATCCTTTTTGTCACTCTGCGACAAGCCCAATTTTTTGAAAAACGACCGTTTGGATAATCTGTTTGATGTGGTTGATTGTGTCCTTTCAAGCTCACTACTTTTCTTGCTACTCTTTTTGCTGTTACTTCTGTTCAAAAGTTGCTCCTCATAAGGCTCTTGAATAGCAACTTTTTCGTCTACCGAATCAAAATGTGTTTGGGCGGGCACGCCATTGACCATTTGCGAGAGCAAGCTAGTCCCAGAGCGATTTCGATTTGTATTCCCAGCATCCAACGGTGACGCATGTAACGAGCCCTTGTGTTTCTTTTCAAAAGCTTCAGTCGACTCTCTATGAACATAAACTGATCCAATACGTAATACTCTTTCGTCAGGGTGAGTCAAATAGGCACCCCATGCCTCTTCTAATGTACCCGGTGGCCTCACCGCCAATACATTTGGTTTCAGTTTGGCGGCCGGTTTTGGTTTCTCCCGGCTGCTTTTGTAAGAATGAAGGGACGGACGGGTGTTGATTTGTGGTCGCAATATATTCGTTCCCGGTATATAATCAGGCTGCTGCAGTTGCGAGCCACGCGAGCTGCGCTTACTGTCATTGGAATTGTCCTTTGAATTGGAGTTGCTCTCTGGTATGCTACTGTCTGAAACCGTCAATGGCTTGTGTAGAGCATACGCGGCAGCATTAGCTGGATTGACATTGCCTGTGACTTCGGCGTTGCTTGGTTTCCTCGCAGAAACATTTGCATTCGGGGCTCCACCATTGCGTGGCTTCAAGACGACAGAATTTTCATCTCCGCTAGATGTAAGAGCTTTGTTATGTTTCTTTTTTGGAATCACTGTCGATGTACTGTGTTTGATGATATCTGGGATTTTCATCATGGACTTTGCAGTCATCTTATACGGTCCTAACTCTGGCGGTTCAGTTAACCAAATCTGATTGTAATCATTAAAATCAACATCCTTGAAAAAGAAATGCTTTTGTATTTCCGGAATTGTGGCCCTTTTTGACGGCTGAAGTACAAGGATCTTTTTAATCAAGTCTCGAATTATAGTGGGGAATCCAGCGCTGAATGCGTACTGGAGCTTCGTGATCTTTTGAAAAGTCAAGTATTCATTAGTTGCTTTGAATGGGGGTTTACCAGCAATCATTTGGTATATAATACAACCGAAAGCCCATATATCACCAGGTTTTCCACAAAACTTACTCTCCAACAACTCTGGCGAGACATACTCGGCTGTTCCAACAAACGATTTGGCTCTAACATCCAATGGATAATCCTCACTCTCGTCGTTCTTTTTCTCCAATAACCTAGCAGTTCCAAAATCGGTAATCTGGATCCTCATCTTGTCGTCCAATAAAATGTTTTCCGGTTTGATATCTCTATGAATGACACCATTGTCGTGCATATATTTTATGGCGTCCAAGATCTGTGCACCAAAATGTCTGGTACAGTCTTCATTTAGTGTATTGTACTTCTTGATCAATGATAATAGTTCACCATTTGATGCGTAATCCAACACAAAATATAGCGAATCCTTGTCTTGGAATGTGAAGTAAAGCGAAATGACCCCCATTCTATTGCTCAATCTATTCAATGCATGTTTTTCAATATTGACATATTTTACCTTTTTTTCCTTGATAATATGTCTCTTGTCCAACACCTTCACCGCGTAATTTTTATTGGTAATCTTATCAGTGGCAAGTATGACAGTTGAGTACGAGCCTTCTCCTAATTCCTTACCAAACTTAAAGTCCGTAACGCTTCTTCTAATTGTCGATACTTCTCCGTTGGGCTTTTGTATAGTTTTGAGTGCTGCTCCCTCCTCTTGCCAATTTCGATCTCCCGCATTGTACTCTGATGATTGCGGAACCCCGTCATCTAGCGTGTTTGCATCTTCATTAGAGCCACGCCTTGCTGGCGAGTCTACAATACTTTTAAACTGAGAATTCCCACTCGCAGTGTCCAATAGCACATTCAACGATGAATTTGTGACTGCTCGTGGATAACGCGGCCTAAAATCAAAAGATCCTATTGACGATGGAGTTCCAGGTGCACTCTTGGCAACCCCTTCCGAATTGGATGGCTCCATGGAGGATAACCGCGACGATATGTGTACTGAGGGCAACTGATTATTCGAGGTGTCGCCGTATTTGAAAACATATCTATTCTTCTCCGAATCCAAGCTCTCGACACTGTCGTGGTTGTTTGAGCTGTACGTATTGTAAATGCTATCAATGTGGTTATTCAATTGTTGAAAATCGGAATCCTCATTTTGTGAGTTGGCTATGCTATTATCGTTCCTATGTGCTCCGGACATGTTTTAAATAATATTATACCTAGTAATTGTTTTCCGCTCTTGAGCCCGTGGGCATCTCAGAACTATTCCTCTTACGCCAAGTGCAATGGTGTATATTCGTCACTTGAAAATGAGCCTCTTTGTTGTTGTGTGAGACTGTGTTTGCTAGTTTAGGCCGAGGCAAAATAGCTGGTTTGAAGTTAGTGCTCCGTGTGTGCTTGCAGTTCGATTCAAATCCTGTTGAATGGAGTTTTGTATAAATGTAGCAATCTAATATAGGTGACGACTTCTCTTGCTGCTGAGTTGGTTCTTGGTTATCCCAGTGAATTGGTTGTGGTTGTTGTGGTGTGTCTGTGTTTATTTATTCGTTCAATACTTTTGTCGGGCTTTTTCTCTTTCTCTTCTCTTTTGTTTGTTGCTGCTGTAGCACACGTTTTTTTTATATCCGAGAAAACTCATAAACTACGTCATTACGTTGCCTCTACCTGCACAAGTTAACCATCAACCGTATTTTGAACTGTATGTGGGAGGACAGTAATACACCGAGAAGTATACTACTGCTACTGCTGTTACCTTGTTGATACAGTTTATAAAATGACGTTTCCGTTGGATCAGGCACAATTGTTGAATCATTTGAGAACATCTTATCTCTCATTGGGCGACGACTCGGAACACTTCAAAAGAATAATAGCTCCAAGCTACTCTGCCAGTGGATCTTTGCAAGGAGACAATCCTAATGGACTTTTTCAGAACTCTCCTCCCATAACGTTTGAGATTGGAAGTCATGTGAAGAGGACAATTGACAACACATCCCAGCACAGAAGGCGTTCGAGCCAAGGAAAAGAACTATCGAGGAGAAAGAATAGAAACAGTGGTCCAATTGCAAGCAAAAAGGATCCGTACCCGACGGATGATGTGTCCCCGAAAGCTAGTCCCGATAATCAATCAATAACAAATGATAGAGCCAATGGGCAATTGGCTGATTTGTCGCTAGAGGATGAAGTCACTGACGATGATCCAGTTGAGTTGCATCAGGTTCAGGAAAGGATACTCGGTCAGCACCAACTAGCTGGACTACATTCAAGACAGAATAAGAAGAAAGACAAGACAAAAAGTAAACTGAAAATTCCAATAGTGAAGTTTTTCAAATCGGGAAAGAATGAAGTTTCTGACTCAGACAGCAGTGACGATGAAAGAAGAGGATCCATTATTACATACGGATCATCACAGGTCACAACTTCGAAGGAAAATCTCACCGACAAAGAGGGGAGTTTTATCGTAGACGACACACAGAGTACCCAAAGTCTTGAACGAACTGAATCAACCGGGTTGAATCGCGAGACTCTGAAATCAGATCAAGCTCATGATAGCGGGAGCTCATTTGGATATAATGGCAAGTTTATCGAGGTGACCACGGACGAGGAAGTTGAGGGGGATGGTGAGCCAGGATTCGAGTCTGATGGTGAACTAACAGATGACTCTGAGTTTACCGACTTGGATAATGGCACGATCATGGAATCCTTTTCGCGGTCAGACTCTATGGGGAACACTCTAGATAAGCTGTTGCCAAACAAAGCTAGTGTTAGCGGCTCGCAGTTATTTGGGTTGAATAGGAAAAAACGAGCTAATACATACGGTGATCATACGGTGCCTAAAAATCTCGGAGCGAACTATCTTAGTAGTCAACAAGTGGGAGTCAATTTGATGCAAGTACGATCATTTGGAAATTTGAAAGAACTCGAGAAGCCTTTGCTTTCGTTCACAAAGATTGTCCCCAAAGTCTCAGATGCAAAACAAACTTCCAACTTGAGCACATTGATACATTCGAGATTCAAATCAACAAATGTGAACCCTTTGAATTATTACCTTTTTGTCGATGGGTTGCTTAGCGTGAATTCTTCGCGGGCTGCACAATTGAATGTTTTTTTACCCCCAAAAACATCTCCAGTCTTGAACAATATGTGTATTGATCGTGGCGTGTCGGTGGTCGATTGTATTGGATTCGTTTTACTCAATTTGTTGAAACTCCCAGAGGTGAATGAACTAAATGACCCTTCGTTTTTGAACCCAAATTTTTGGCGACTAGAGCTTGTTGATGAAGATGGAGAAAACTACGGTTCATTCGGAGTTTTGGATAGAAACCGAACTTTTGCTTCTTATAACAATCCAAGGGATTTGGCTTTATGTCGTGTAAAGGACGTTGTTGAAATTGACAAGAACGAGAAGGTATCACCACTCCCGACTGAATTTAGACAGGATCTTACTGCATTTGAACAAAAGAAAAGGAGCCTTGATCCAGTAAGTGATGATGTCCCTAAAGTTGAGCTTCTTGTGAGCGTATTTGAGTACGATAATAGTGGAATACCTCAGAAAGTACCCTTCAAAGCCCCTCGAACTTACACTATGGGGCAAGTGTTGAAAGAATTTTGTGTTCAAAGAGGACTTATTACTACAGAATACCGGTTTAAAATTGTGGAAGCTGGAGGCATGAAAAGTCGTTACGTGAAGGATGTTGAGGTCTGCGGGAACTTGCATCTGACAATTCTAGAGCTAGTTCCTTCTGATACACGATTTAATTTGATACTTGATAATGAAGAGAAGAATAGCCAAATAGCTGCCACTCCAGATGAGTTTCCAGCAAATTTAACAGCGCCGACTGTGACTCCTTATAATAACGAATTGTCGGCCAAGGTGCAAGACATGAAATTGGAAGCTGCGGGCACGGAAACACTGCCCCAGCGACAGCAGTCAAAATCCAAGCAACCACCAAGGACTGCAAAGGCAAACAAAGAGACAACAGCATCCAATAAGTATTTGGAAGACATCATTCAAGGTAACAACCCACAACTCCCAACAAACATCAACTCGATATATTTCAAATGGAAGGTTTTAAAGAATAACAGCAAGATGAAAAAGATGAAGATCAAGACTTTCACAGAAAAGAATTTCATAATCGATGGAGACTACATCCACATAACCCCTCCAGACGACATAATGTTGAAGAACATAGGTGAATCAATTGCACATAACCAACAACTCAATTTCAATCAACATCACACCTACCATAACTTGAACCAACAGTTGAATCGAGTTGCAAATAAACAACTGACCAAGACGTATTCCTTCCACATCACTCAAATAATGAAGGTCAAGCAGTATTCCAAGCAACCCAATCATTTTCGAATCATTGTGCAGAGACAGCAATCGGATGAAGGGACAGGGTCGAGCTCAAAAGAGCTCGTGAAGAAATTCTACTTGGTCGCAGAGTCTGAGGCCGAATGTTCCGAAATAATTAACAATCTTAAATGGGTGCTTCAAGCTTACAAGCTCTCAAGTGGGGTTATATAGTTATATACAATGAACTGTAGTTTGGCAAGGTAAAGATTGTTGGTGATACTTTAGGTGTTGTGATTGATGTAGAAGGTGATAACACAAAATCAAATGCTGTTACGTTTTACACCAAACGCACCACACTGACTTGTCGTTCCATTTTTTTCACCATTAAGTTACTAGTCTCACCCCCTCCCTCCCCCCCCCACACACACACACTTTAGCTGACAGCTATTCCAGACCTGTCCACATTGATGAGTTATGGCTGGCTTGTCACTGAACTGGAAGCAACTCAGTTCCAAAATATCTAAGCCAAGCAGCAACAACAACAATAACAACACTACACACTACAACAACAAGAAGAAGAAGTCCCACACGAAAGCCAAAGAGGACCACATTCAAAATTCCCTAAAGAATGATAAACACCTCCTTCAATTGAAACACAATCGAGTGAACAAAGATGGGTTCATCAATGCCAGTCCCTTGGAATTCACACTTTGGACCACGATAGGAAACAACGAAATCAAGAAGGAAAATATCCCCACGACTGACAACACCATCAACAAATCTGAAAAGGATAGAAGGAAAGAGCTCGGGAAAATTGTAGCGATAGACTGTGAGTTTGTTGGCGCGGGGGAAGGACGATTATCACATCTCGCTAGGGTTACAATTGTTAACTTCTACGGTCATGTGGTTTTGGATCAGTACGTACAGCCCAGATTGCGCGTTACTGATTGGAGAACGTGGGTTTCAGGAATTACACCCTGGCATATGCAATTTGCGATAAAGTTTGACGATGCGAGAGCTAGAGTCGAGGAAATACTCAAAGATAGAGTATTAGTCGGTCACGCTTTGGAGAACGATCTTGATAAATTGTGTTTGACCCATCCCAAGTCCTTAACGAGGGATACGAGTACCTTCCCACCTTTTAGAGCAGTGTCTTCTGGAAGAACCCCTGGGTTGAAAAAATTGGTTAAGCAGTTTTTAGATTTGGATATACAGAATGGAGTACACAACCCTATTGAAGATGCAAGAGCCACGATGCTACTATACCGCTTGCAGAAGAATCAGATTGAGGCATTTGCAAAGCTGATAAAATAGAGTTATCTAAGACTTTTTCTTTTTTTTTTTTTTTTATTGATAAATGTACATCATTGATTCATTAATCGTATACAGTGGGAAGGACTCAACCACCCATTTCTCTATAAAAACCGAGTATTTCTCCCGGCACAAAGTGGATAAATTCCAGTCCCTCCTTCTTCCCTTCTCATCTTATCACTTCTCACCCCCACGTCTTTCCTCTCATCTCAATCCTCCAACTTCAACCCTTCAATATAAGTGCATGCAGCTCTGTAAAACATAAATTGAATAGCTTTGATATCCTTATCAAATTCTTGCTTGAAAACACTCTCCTCATCAAGAATAGCTTCAACTGGTTGCAAATCATCCATCTTGTTCAAAAAAACTAAACTCCGTGACCGTATAATATCGTCAATGCTTGCAATGTAGCTCTCTGGTCTATAGTCCTCGATCTCAGACACTTGAAAGATAATTCCAGATATACTCTCCACTGCCTCCAACGAGTTTGCAACTGCCAAATCCCGAGCTAATGCCAGCTCCACTAAATGGAATATAAGTAATGCCGATTCTTGATTATGATTCAACAAGTAGTGGTAAATGGAGATAAACTTCATTCTGAACCCAACGTCAATAATTTTCTCATCTGCGAAAAATCCTCCCAATTGCAACAAGGTAAGTTTCGACGCTTCTTGATTTGTTTCCAAGAACTCCAACAAGAAAATTGGTATCCGTTGCCCATTCTTCAAGTTGAAAGATTCATAAACATAGTCCAACTCATCCAAAAACTCTTCAAACTCCTTTGTATCCGAAAACAAATACAACATCACGAGGTAGGCATGGGCATTGCCCCAGAGGGGATCATCAGGAATTGGTTTCTCACGCGAAAGCTCATAACGTTTCTTGACATAAGATTTGATGCATTTCAAAGATGAGTTTCTGTACTGAGATATTTTAAGTCCCCGTGTAAAAATCTGGAATATGTAGACTCGAAAATTGTTCTCCGTAATGCAGATGCCATGCTTCTCCTCAAATTCCGACAAGTGAGGTTCCAAAAATTGTCTTTGTGTATACGCGTTTGCAATGTAATCGTCGTGACCCATGATCTTGACCATAGAAGCAACCAAGTTCTCCGTGGCTGATTGATAAAGAATTGACTGGTTTAATAAAGCAAAGCACAATTGAGACCATATCAAAATTGGCGGTAGCATCGAGTCACTAGGTAATCCTTCAATGATACGTGCCGCTGAAACAGCAACACAAATGACAGTATCAATCCTCCTCAACTCGCCATGAGCTACTAATTTGATAGTTCGGCAAGCAACAGAGTCTGTGATTCCTCTTTTTGCGAGTATACCAACAACCAAGATTGCATTATCCTGAAACAACGAGAAATTGTTGAAGGCAACATCGATGGCATTTGACGACCATCGCGCTTTCCAATTCGTTTTATCATCAGAAGTACTAACCACCTCAATGAACTCATTCAAGTAATCACATAAAACTTCAAAATTAATGATTCGATTGAAAGCCTGACCGATATCAGCAAGGGGCTTTGCTTCTCGCGTCATGCCAAACAACATTTTAGCTCGAGGAGTAGTGAAATATTCAATTGTATTGTTGATGACATCCTGTTGATGACTTGTCAAATTGGGCTTGTGCAAAAACGATTGCACTGTACTAATGATTAAATTTCTCAAGTCGGCACCCACCTCCAAGTAAGCATTGTCAATAAACAAGGTGACAAGAAAGATAACGTCTGCCAAATACAATCTTGCAAGGGCATACGAGCTGAAAAACAAGGATGAGCAAATTTTGATCAAAACGGTGATTTCAAATAGTTTTGATTGTGAAGCAATTGCAGAATCCGTAGTGAGAACGTATTTGATCGCCGTCTGCAATCTCGACATCACCTCACCGCAAACTTCAACAGAGGGGGTAATTACAGCGATAATGAATGACCACTCAGGACCCTCATTCTTGCTGTCAATTGCAAATGCAACGACTTCATCAACCAAAGATGAAACCAATCTCGTCTCGCGGAAAAGAATTCTCCATATGTAGTCGTTGGTGAACGGGATTCGATTCTTGTTGATCATTGTGAGACGACAAAATTGTCTAATCAATTCTGCAACCCGGTCGGGACCTCTAAATCCACTTTGAGAGTAAACGTAATCGTAAATATTGTTTATCCAAGGCGCCACATACAATACTGAACTCATGCGGGTCTCCAAGTCCATCTTTTCAAAATTGTCAAAATAAGCTTTGAAAAACCTGTATGTCATTTCGGGGAACTTGATTGATAGGTGCTTGGACACAGACACAACCATCGCCGTTGCATCGGTAGGGAAAGGTAAGTACTTGGCGTGAGCTTCATTGATGCCAAAATCAATTCCAAAATAGGAGGACAAAGATCCAAACAACACAGCTGCCGATGACTTCACTCCAGCATCATTGCTAAGCAATCCCTGGAATACTATATTGTACAATCGTCCAAACCAATGCATCACGTGCGCCTCAGCACGAGAGTCCTTTTCCGCATCCAACAATGAAGTATCTCTTGGTAATCTGGAAGTTGTAAAGTACAAGAACCGCAAAATTTCAAGCCGGTTGGGTGATCTAAACGTCACTGGCTCATTATGCTTGAAGTAAATTGTAAACTCATCCTCAACTCCAGTAAAGTCGGATACCTCGCATCTAACCAAATCTGTCAATCTGTGAACCTCCAATGGGGTGAAGTTATCCATGGCTGAATAAGCACTTTTGAATTGAACACTCTCTTTAAAACAAACAGTCAAAAACTTGCGTCCTATCCTGAGGCTAACCTGTTCGTATCGCTCAATCGATGGCTCGTACAACATCACATTCCTATATGTAACTTTCGCATCACGACTAATGGAGACAGTCTCTGCATCCAAGCAAAGGTTGCTTACAATGCTATCTGGATCGATCGACGAATGAATGTAAATCTTGGTTCCAAAATCAGACCCCTTCTTCCTCAAACTTTGCATTGATTTGATCAAGCTGGTGTACTCCGTTCTTGGAACATTGAAGTAGTAAACACGTGAGCAGCTGGCAAAAAATTGCTTTGGTGCGTAAGATGATACCAAATGGGTATACTCATCAGGCGCCTCCAGTTTGAAAAAATAAAACTCTGAAAAATCGTAAATGAGGTAAAACTTGTTTTCCCAAATCTGAGAAGCGGTTTCAAGTAGCTTGTACACGAGGTAGTTGATGTCATCTGGTCGGAATTTCAATCTACGAAGGTTCACAACAACAACAGGCGTTCCATCCTTGAATATCGACGATTGTATAAGATTCAAAGCATCGGGTGGTGTATCGGCATATTTCAACGACAGTTTCGTCATGAAGTCATTAAACTTGAGCTCCTCGCCATCGCCGCTAGATGGATCAAAGATTCTGAAGTTGGATGCTAACTGCAAGCGGACATTCGCTTTTGGTTGGCCCAACTTCATCACCACCAAGTCAAATGATTTAAACTTTTTGACTCTTTCGTGCAACGTCTTGACACTAAATGCCGATTTCCCAAGTAGGAAATTCATCCTAATCGGTGCAAAGTAAACGTAGATGAATTTATGCAAGTATCTTATTTCAGCAATTGGCTTTGTATCAGCATTCGGTAAAAACGGGTACTCCATGAGTTCAACTGTGGATATCCTAGTCAAAAACTCTCTAATTCGAAGATTGAATCCATTCAAAATCTCTCCAACGTCAACCAAACCAGGCCATTTGATCGTGCTTATAGTACCATTCGCCATATTCTGCAAAACCTTCACCAACTGCATTAGGGATCTTTTAGTCTTGGAGTTCTCCACTGGAATTTTAAAGTACTGTTGGGGGCTGACTATTGCAGGGCAGATGAATCTTAAAAAGATGAAGGATCCAACTGCAATCAATGCAGAATCTTCAAACTTCGATGAAACCGATTGGTAAATCTGAGAGCAAACAAATTTGAATGCATTAGGAAGCGCATCAAAAGAGCCAACAATCAGATCAACAAGTCTTCCCAAGTAAGTGATGAATAGTGCTGAATCTTCACTTGATTCTCGCTTCTCAACTTCAAAATAAACATCCTCCTTCACAATTTCTTCAATAACGGCAAACAATTCCCTCTTCAAGTACTCCAACCCATGATCTTGAGTGAAATTGAAAAGTAGTCTCGTTAAAGTGGAGTTTCTTCGAAACAAATCAGTTGACCGTGTCAAATTGGCAACTTCATCAGTGAGCAAAACAGTAAACAATTTGTCCAACTTGTTTGTATATGAAAACACACCAAACAATGAAGATGCTAAAAGGTTGTGTTCGGAGCTTGACGCACATTCAGCAATTGACCCAAATATTTCAGTCTCCTCAACTAATTGCTCAACCAACTGGTATGGGTACTCCTCATCCCCCTTTTTCACAGTCTTTGACGTCAACATACTGGCAAAAACATTCAAAAAAATGGCCCTGATTTTCTTGTCTTCATGGTAGCCCATAGGGAGCAAGTACTGAATTCCAATATCAGAATCATATTGAAGCAAGTTTGTAATAGAAGCCAAAACATAATCAGTCACCTGTTGCAACTTGTGCTTAAATCTATCCGACGACGATGTCTTTGTGTACTTTTGAATGATTTTGTAGAAGATGGAAAAGTAATTGCCAAAAGCAATGTCCTTGTATTTTTTAACCTCACTATCTTTAACACCATCTGGTATTTCAAGTAACAACTCTTCAAGTTGAAGACTTAAACTTTTCGCGCAATGTATCGCGAAATCCATCTTCAAATAAATCAATTCCGACGTCTTGCTCTCCAGAAGACTATTATCAACCACATCTTCATCCATAATCATAATCTGTTCCAACCACTCCAACATGGACTTTGCGTAAAAGTTACGAAGCTTATACGCGCCATGCAAACCGGAATTGGTCTTGTCTAATTCGAGCGCTTGTGCTAATTTACAAAACCTCAACTTCAATCTAAACTTATCGGTGATGTCGACAACATTGTCAATGAAGGTGATGAAAAACTGGCAGATATGTGGAAGCAAAGATGAAAGTAACAATGCACCATCATTGTGTACATTGATCATTGCACTCATTATAATCATTGCCTCTTCCAAAAATATAACACTTTCTTCAGTATGAAATTTTTCCTCAGCATAGGCACTCGCACGAGCCATGAGCTTTGTTGCAATAAGGTGATAAACGTCAGAATGCGACTCATTCGACAACGTATCCTTTATAATTACTCGAACAACCAAATCCGACGAATTCAATAGGTCAATGCACTTGTCAAAGAAGTCGGAAATGTGTGCACTACTTCTCTGATGAATTTCATCAGTACCACTACCAGTGGTGTTTGCCGACATGAAACACCCTGATGTTGACACCAAGAATCCGGTAAAATGACGGAATATCAAATTGTTTTCATTAATCTGGTCGTTTGTTCTCAAAACCCGGTTCCATCTTGAAAAAATAATCAACCAAACATGGTACAAAGATTTCGTGGGCTTGGCATCACGAAGAATCTTACGATGTCTCTTTTGCAACGAAACAAACCCGGTAAACACTCCATCGTCATTGCTTAATTTCTCAAAAAGTTCGAGCTGATTATCTTCAATTTCCAGGGCCCTGTACAATACTTTGTTGTTGTGAATTTCATTGATGTACCACTTGATTCCTTGCTTTGTGTAGTTGTAAAATTGTACATCATGGGTGCACAAGGACAAGAGTAAAACTTTTTCAACCGAATGAATGATTTTACCACATGTTTGATACAATTCACGTGACTTGTGGTCGAGAATAATTGCATTTGACCGAACGAAATCACTATATTTATCACGTTGATGCAAAAAGTTGATCAAGAACAAAAAACTCGATTTGAATTTGGGGTTGGATAAAGTTAAACCTAGACATGTTTCGCAAATTGATTGAACAATGCAGTTGCAAATGGTGAAATTTGCAAAAGTGGACAAAGACGTGCGTTCAGTCTCGATTTTGTTTCCGAGTGTCACCATTTGCATGGATAAAGTTCGTGCAGAATCAAATAATCGCGAATTTCCATCGACTATCCAGTTCGCTTTAAAGGCCAATCTGATGGGGACGATAGCATTATGACAAAATTCAACCACCAGACTTAACAACTGGCTGTAGGGTGTGGATTCCAAGTTTGAGTCATCCATCAACTTCTCGTCATTGAAATAGAGCTCAGGAGCAGCAGCAAATATCAAAAAAATATCAGAAACAATCTCTTCTGCTCCATTCACAATACGGAAATTATATGAGTTTGAAGATGCCAATGAGATTGCTGTTGACGACTTGAATCTGTCATCTTTTGACGGTTGCGATTTGTCAAACAATGCTTCTGCATAATGGTCAATACTTGATTTGTTCTGGCCAAAAGCATAGTCTGTTGCTTGATTAGCCTTGATTTCGTTCTCATCAATACTCAAAGCATCCGACGAATACGAAGAATAGTCGGACGATTCGTTGATATTTTGTTCTCCATACCCACGTAGTATCTTTAATGAACCATACATGATCGATTTTAAAGTAGTCCTGAATTGCAACACGAAGGAGTGGAAAATGTCCTTGGCAATTTCAATCTCCGCCAACCCTTTAACCAACTTAACAAAAAGCTTATTTACTCTCATATCAGCTTCGGATTGCCTGTAGCGTTCAATAATGATCTTGGCATATTTTTCCGGCCGAAGAATAACAGCAGCAATGTAATAATTCACCAACAAGTAATCACGTTTCGTGGCAAGCTCTTCATCAGTAACCAATTTATCTCGATGGACCTCTTCATATCTTATCAACTGATGGAAAACCTCATCCAAGTGTCTCAAACTGAACATCAAAACTGGATGTTTCCTGAAATTACTAGTCTCAAGTCTCGCTCCCAAGTGGAATATATTTATTAGTGCGTCAAAGCTTTCCAAATTGCTACTGTTTGATGCATCTTTGAGTATTGTTGATAGGAATCTGAGTCGTTTGTTGAATGCCAATTTCAATTTGTTTAATGGCTTTATTGAGTTCATTTCTGCGAAATCACTAACACAAAGGGTCAGAAAGCATGTCAAGATGTAAGGAGCACAAGAGACTAGGGTGTAGTTGTCCTCAAATACTGACATTGCCGAATCAAAAAGTTGTTTCAATGCAGTTGCGTGACGTAAGTTGTTGGGGTCTACCAAGGCATAATAATCGCCTACTCTGGAAAGCGATTGATCTTTGATACTCGTGGCCAAGAAGAAAAGGTACACTTGTTTCCATGTATTTGATTTGATAAACGAAATAGTTTTCAAAGATTCCTCGGCAAAAGTCAATGCATTCATTTCCGAGTAAAAAGCATACTTCATTACTGGGCAATATTTTTGAATCGTCGGTAGCGGTATGGTTTGATTGTTGTCGGAGTAGGCGTAAAGCCTTGTTTGAATATACTTGTAGTAGTCATCTGGATTGGCAGTGGATATGAAACGGAGGACCACTTCAATATACGAGTCAATTTCGGAAATTGCACTGAAAACCTTCTCCAGATGGGTCATTGGCTGATCTTCCCTTGCAATGTCTTGCTCTTCCTTCGCAACAGCTATATTTGTCATTGTTTTCTCATTTCTCACCATTGAAAGTACCTTTCTAACCACCCCGGTAGACATGAGATTAATGTAAAAGCTCAAAGCTTCAGGCACTATGGATGGATCTAGTGGTTGCGGAGGTTCATAGTAGTAAAACCGCGAGTAGTTGCTCAAGATATCTTTATCATCCAAAAAAGTTGTTTCTCTATCCCAATTGGCTTTCAATATCTCGGCCAAGGTCTTGCAGACTAGTAATGTTGAGGATCTAGATTTCTCGTCTCTGTATTTAAGTCTTGCATTTTGAGCCTCTGTGTTGATTGTCTGTAGCAATGACGTGAATGATGTAACAATCAACGAAATCATGTGTCCATTTTTACAGTGAAAATCCAACAATATCCTTTTTGATGTTATGAACTGGGCATCAATCTCCACTTCTTGAACACTGTGGCCAGTTCTGAACGGAAGTAACGACTCAATGCGTTTCACCACTGCGTCGATAAATCTCCGATCGTTTTCGTCTTTGGATACCTTGTTCATGGCTGTGTCATTAGCATTAACGTAATGGTGGTGGCTGGTATGGTTCAATGCAAAGCCTGGCACTATAAACACACAACCTTGATTATGAATTCCTGAGTGAGTTGGTTTTAGTTACTTTATACGAGATTAAGTTCTGTATCCCTTCTTGTAGTTGAGTTAATGAATGACTGTAGACTAAAGTAGAATTGTCGACTGGTAGGGTATTATGTTTGTATTGGGCTTCTTCTTTGCGTATGAGTGAGTGTGTATATATGTGTCTACTAAGTTTAATCAGCCAGTCAGTCTCTTTCTCTCTTTCTCTCTTTCTCTCTTTCTCATTCTTTTTTTTCTAAAATTTCTTTTTTCTTTTTTTTTTGTTTTTTTGGTTTGTTTGTTGTCTTTGTCTTTTTCTTCCTAAACCACACGCACTTAGCAAATACTCTAACAAACTCGAGGTAAATTCTCCAAGAGAGTCTCTTTTAAAACAGTACTTACACAACACAGTACTAAAAAACACAGTACTAAAAAACACAGTACTACACAACACAACACAACACAATCATACTCATTCCTCGCTCCTCTGATTGAGATAGCTTTTCTACTTGGTAATTGCTAAAAAACAAACTTGCATGTGTAGTTGATTTAATTGTATCATAGTTCGGCTTTTGAACGGAGTTCTTAGCCGTAAATTCAGGAAGTTTATTATGATGTCATGAGGTGGGGGAAAGGTTCTTCTATACAATCAAAAAAAAAAAAAATAACCAGAGAGTATCAACTTTATCATATTTTTTAGAAGAAAGAGAAATTGAGAAGAGGTACACATGCATATAAGAAGTATACACTCCAGTGGAAGGCTACAAGTACAAGCATAGACGGCGTTTACAGTGTTAAATGATAAAGCTAGTGAACACAAAACATTGGCACTTTTAACTATGCAGAAACTCGCCTCAGTCGTTCGTAGCCGAAAAAGTTTTAACAGTGAAGATCCCTTTCTCGTATTTCAATCTACACTGTAAATACACTAAGTATCATAGATCTTTGTTGAAAAAATTAACAATATAGTGCTCAAGAGAGCAATTAGAGACATTGGTCATGTTAATGATCCTACTTTTCAAAATAACCTCAGCGTTTACTAGATTTGAGAATTAATTTACCTAAATTTGTTGCAAAAATGTCAAGTGTCTACAATAAATGATGTACACTTGCAAACTTTTGTAAATTATTAAGAATTCCAAGACTTTCATTAGGGTATGACCTTACTAGATGTTTGAATTCACATCATGAATGAGCTTTTCTCACACACTGAATGGAACCACTTGTTTGGAGTGAGAAGGACTAAGGGCTTTGCCTGCATATAGCCACACACTCTCTCTCTATTGAACAACACTACGCAAACGCAACAGAAAAAAAAAAAACCAACTTAATCTTAGCCAGCGTCCAAAGCACCTGCTTGAGTTTCAATCTACTAACGATAAATCATCGTCATATCATACAACAGGGGGGAAATAGAACAGACAAGTTACTTTGTACAGCACTATTACATAACTAACTCATTACAAGCATTACACAGGTTTAATATTATATCAAATTCTCACCACCATCTCAAAAAGACTACGCCACTATCAGTTACCCATTATATCCACCCCTTGATCTTTACAATGTCAACACAACAACAACAACAACAACAACAACAACAAGGTACATCTGCACAACGCTTTGTTCAATTCAAACTAGTCCTTTTAGGTGAAAGTGCAGTTGGTAAATCATCCATCGTACACAGATTTGTCAAAAACACATTTGACGACGCTAGAGAATCCACCATTGGAGCTGCATTTTTAACTCAATCAATCACAATACCGGAATCACAAACAACTGTCAAATTTGAAATATGGGACACTGCAGGCCAGGAACGTTACAAATCACTAGCACCCATGTATTATCGAAATGCCAATGCTGCGTTATGCGTGTACGATATCACTAGTCGCAATTCTTTTGCTAAAGCCCAAGACTGGATCAAGGAGTTGAAGAAACAAGCACCAAGCGAGATTGTGGTGGCCTTGGTGGGGAACAAGGTGGATTTGCAAGATAATAGAGAAGTGCAACTGGAGGAGGTGGATGAATACATTTCAGAGTTACAAAGCGATGGATTCAAGATCATCAAAGCGGAGTGTTCAGCAAAGAATGGTGATGGAGTAGTGGATCTTTTTGAAGCTATAAGTAGAGCACTACCAGTGGAGGAAACACTTGCTGCAAATGCAAATAGATCGAGGCATGGGGAAGCTGGAGGAAGAAGACCAGGTGGGGTTGACTTGAATAGACCTAAACGTGCACAAGCTCAAAGTAACTCGTGTTGTTAGAGAAGAGGGCAGGGGGCTACAGACGAAGGGTCTAGAGTCTTTGTATAGTATAATCTCAATTCAATAATAGATTGGAAAAGCGTCTGCATCGAATTCCTGCATGTAGTTGATTATGAATTGAACCTAGCACACGACATTTTCTCAAAACGAATGTGTTTTTTTTTTTCTTTCTCTCTGAGGTTGAGAAGTGAAAAATTTTTCACCTCCCCTTTTCACCTTCCTTTCCCTTCCTTTCTTTCTCTTTCTCATTCATCACTTCGTTAGTCACACAAGTAATAATGTCATCAAGACCACAAGTTTCTGTCATCTCCGTTCAAGGTGAACAATCAACCACCCAGTTGCCATTGCCATCAGTCTTCTCTGCCCCAGTCAGACCAGACATTGTCCACTCTGTCTTTGTTAGAATCAACAAGAACAAGAGACAAGCCTATGCTGTTGCTGAAAACGCCGGTCACCAAACCTCAGCTGAATCATGGGGTACCGGTAGAGCTGTTGCCCGTATTCCAAGAGTTGGTGGTGGTGGTACTCACCGTTCTGGTCAAGCTGCTTTTGGTAACATGTGTAGAGGTGGTCGTATGTTTGCTCCAACCAAGACTTGGAGAAGATGGCACGTCAAGGTTAACCACAACGAAAAGCGTTACGCCACTGCTTCTGCTATTGCTGCCTCTGCTGTCACCTCTTTGGTTTTGGCTAGAGGTCACAGAGTTGAAAACGTTAAGGAATTGCCATTGGTTGTTGCTAACGATTTCGAATCAGTCCAAAAGACTAAGGAAGCTGTTGCTATCTTGAAGGCTGTTGGTGCTCACAAGGACGTTGTCAAGGTTATCAAGTCCAAGAAGATGAGAGCCGGTAAGGGTAAATTGAGAGGAAGAAGATTTACTCAAAGAAGAGGTCCATTGGTTGTCTACGGTGAAGACAAGGGTTTGGTTAAGGCCTTGAGAAACATTCCAGGTGTTGAAACTTCATCCGTCAAGCACTTGGGTTTGTTGCAATTGGCTCCAGGTGCTCATTTGGGTAGATTTATCATTTGGACCCAATCTGCCATTGAAGCTTTGGACTCCATCTACGGATCTGAATCCACCAAGTCCATCAAGTCCAACTACTCCTTGCCAGCTAACATTATCTCCAACACTGACGTTACCAGATTGATCAACTCTGCTGAAGTCCAAGCTGTTGTTAGACCAGCTGGTGAATCCACCCAAAAGAAGAGCCACGTCTTGAAGAAGAACCCATTGAAGAACAAACAAGTCTTGTTGAGATTGAACCCTTACGCCAAGGCTTACTCTGCTGAAAAATTGGGATCTGCCAAGGCTGAAAAATCTAAAGCTAAGCCATCTAAAGGTCAATTTGCTTCAGTTTTGAAAAACTAAAGTGGATAAAAAACGTAGTTCTATAGGGGTATCTAGAGAGAATCTTATGGAGTATTAGTTTTTTAAGTGAGAAATTTGTAGACAGTAGTTTTTGAAAGATGGATGCAGCGGATATTGCAAAATTTGGGGAGCAATACAGTATGTATGTCTTTAACTAAAACAAGTGGAACTAAAACAATACGAACAAAAAATAAAGGAAAAACTAAACTATACCGAAAATAAGGATTACTCATGATTAATCACACGATGGACAGGAAACGGCTCTTTTGTCATTTCATTGCAATTGCACTTGGCCTGAAACTGGACGGAGAACATTTTCCTCAAACAATGACTTTCCAGTAGCATAATCCGTTCCTACAATATTACCTCTTGGCGAATACTCACAAATAGTGTATTGCCTCCAAGCATTATTACAAGTAACATAAGCACATCCGACCTGCGAAGTAGCTTTCCAAACGACTTGCGTGAAATGGCCAGTAGCTGACGAATAACCTGGGTTGGAATAATCATAGTGCTCAATTTCATTGTACCATGCATTAACTGGTGCATTACCTCCAACGTAACCGGCAGCCAAGTTTTCTCCATATGGCCCGCGGGAGTGCACGAGCTGCACGTTGTCGCAGGAGAAGGTGGTGGCGGCGTAGTGGGCGGCGTAGGCGGCTAAGGTATCGTTCCAGGACAAGTCTTGGACTCCGTGGAGAGCACGGACTCGGTTGTGGGCGCCGAGGATCTCGTTGGCGAATGCGGTGTCGGTGGATGGGGTTGATAATTGGCTTGAGGATGATGTTGCTGGGGCGGAAGAAGAAGAAGAGGAGGATGAGGAGGTAGTGGTTGGAGTGGTTGGTGGTGAGCTGGTTGATGAGGTAGTAGGTGATGTGGAAGTGGTTGGTGATGAGGTGGTTGAAGTTGATGATGGAACAGCTGAGCTGGTAGATGAAGTAGAAGTCTGTGCTGCTGACGAAGAGCTACTCGTCGAGGTAGTAGCAGTAGTAGGTACTGAGCTTGAGCTTGAGCTTGAGCTGGTGGTTGGTGTGGCTGGAGTCGACGTTGATGTTGATGTTGACGATGAAGAGGTAGATGAGGTTGTAGCAGCAGTGGTTGCGGCACCAGGTGGTGGCCCGTAAATTGTGGTTAACCCAGTTTTGGTGGTAGTTCCAGTGGTAACAGTGACCCAATTGGTGTGTGTGGTGTCGGCAGTAATGTAATTGGTGTAGATGACTGGAGCAGCTTCAGCAGCGGCTGCTAGTATAGCAGTAATGGTGGAAATGGACGATATTCTCATAATTGAAATTGTGTATACTTTTTGTTGACTAGGGGGTATTTTTCTATTAGCTTGAAAAGGATTGAATGAGAGTGATATTATTTCTATGCTGGTAAAACGAATGTGTGTTGGTGTATACAACTTTGGAATAGGATGATTTGGAAAATTTGATCAAGAATTAGAAGAAAAAAGGGATCAATTTCAATTGACTATTTATATACTCTGAAGTAATGGAACATTTACGCCTGGGTGACGTGACATAATATTGGAGAGAGAGAGAGAGAGAGAGAGAGAGAGAGAGAGTGTGTGTGTGTAACTGAAATTAATTTGTGTATTTTTAGAGTTTTGATCTTTGCATCGGTGTGAAAGCAAGTAGCCAGCTTCTTGATCTAAAATAGAAGCTTTGTCCTATTGTCTTCATCTTTGTCTTTGTACTTCTTCTGGAACTAACGTCACACACACACACAGTAATTGAAAATACTAGGTCTTTTTTTTTTCTTATTTTGGTTGTTGAGTTCGATTGGCGGAAGAGTTGATTATAGTTTGCAGTCAAAGTACGCTTTGAATTACGTGGTATTACACAAAGTTGGTGTATTATGTAATTATTGCTGGTTGCTTTAACTACTAACTGTTGTAGACTATGTTTGTGTAATGTTACTCTTTTGTATATTCGTTAGTGACAGAATTTTCTTTTGGAGCGTAGTTATATACAGGATTGCCTTCCTAAAGCAGACTCTTCAACCAGACAGTGGTTACCCACACTACCTACACTGTACAATACAGCAAGCATAGGATTAGTTGTCATCACGGGGGCTTAATGCTTTTCCAAGTTGATCTGGGCTAGTGAGACAGTGATTGGTTCCTGAAAAATACATTGTATGAAACAATGGTAGGAGAGTGCTGTAAGCAGGCGAAGTTTTTCGAAACGAAATTTGCAAGAATGGAACTTCGTTCACTCACTTGCGGAACGTTTTACTAACTTGAACCCGGATTTATGCCGACTCGGAAGAAGAACCATAACGCTATCTTTTTTTCCTTCCATTATCCGCACGTGTGTTCTATATTCTCATCTACACTACAGTTTCCCGTACAAGCGTCACGGCATCAAAAGTTGGGTCCAATCCAAAATAGAATGGTTATGAGCTTTCCTTGTTAGTTTGCTTTTGTCTACAAAGTTTCCCGATTTAGGTTTAGCAACAAGATTAAAGTAGAGGATAATAAATGTTCAAGACAAAGACACGCTAGTTGTAGAAAATTGTTGCGTGTTGTTTGTTATTGTTTTTTTTTTTTTTCTTTTTTTTTATTTTTCTTTTGTTATTAAAATCGTCGATTTTTTATTTACGAGTTTGTGGTATTTGTATTGTTGTAACTGTCTTTAATTTTGTTTTTTTTTTTTTTCTTTCTTTCTGTTCTTTGTGTTCTATTTGTCTTTGCAAGCCATGTAGTGCCATATTGGTTAAAACAACCAGAAGCAAGAATACTAAAATAGAGACACATTTCTAGAAATGCCGACTGACAGTAGAAGACTGCATGTTTTCAAAGTACGAGGGATGGATAGGGAGAAAGCGGAGTAGACTATATGCACAATAAAGTTTAAGTTTAGAGCCATCTGTGTATTTTAGTGTGGAGAATGCTGGAGATGTAAATTTCTACCTCAACTTTCACTTCATGTCAATGTACTTTATGGGACATTCGAATAAACAGCTCATACTTATTTCAGTACCTAGCATCTTGAGGCGCTCTTTTCTATAAGCCAAAAGTTGCCTGTAGAAGATACAAATTGGTTTCTCACGTCGGAAGAGTATTGCCTCCCCAGCAGTGCTGGTTTTAGACTCTTTTTGTTTTGACTTTTATAGTTGTACGTGGCTCATAACCAATGGTGTAACCACGAAGTAAAGTATATATATACTTTACACTAAAAAGTGGAGGCGGTATATTTTGTTGGATTTTTTTTCTTTTTTATTTTTTTTTTTGGCTTTCCGCATTTGTTCACCTGTAACCACAATTGACAGACACAAAAAGGGGAAGCAAGTACAAAGTAGGTTACTGTTGCGTGTCATATATGTGTATGTGTACTATTTCATACATAACCCACAGATCATCAAATATAACGTTGTTGATGTTGATGAGATAGTTCTACTTTTTTTGTGTGTTGTTTTCTTTCTTGCTCAATTGGGATGAGAAATGTACCAAAACGTCAAAATGCAAAGTTGATGTTGTTTATATCGCGTTTATCACAACATTGGCATATTGCAGATCGCATAAACGTGCTTCACTGGATGAGATACAGAACGTGCCCATTGCTTTCACTTCAAGAGGTTGGTCAGCTATCTGCAATTTCGGACCACAAAAAGGTTATTTCCTGTATGAACATAAAGCTAATTATTTGCCGGACATGCGACGTACTCTTCAAAAGGCTATCGGCAAAACATGTTGCAGTCGAACATTTTTCTCTAGTCTAGACTTAATGATCAAAGAATCTTTAAATCTAAACACAGGCCATCTTTAAAAAAGGGGTTTCTTCACTTATTTTGCGAGCACGTTTAACTTTTCCTATGTCTTCTGCGAGAGCGAAGTTCTCTAACACTTTACGGAGCTCTCAGTGACAACATTTTGGAGAAGCTCTGGTGGTCCCCGCAGAAGAATTGAACGCTGATTCTGTATCACTACTTACAGTCTAATGCTGCTACATGATTCTGTAATGTTTACACGATTTTAATATTCATTATAAGCCAATTATACTCCTTCCACAACATCGGGAAACTTGATCTTTCAGAATTTAGGTTACCCATGGAAAATTCAACAGCATTGAACGAAAAGATCAACCCGAAAGGAATATCCTGAAAGTAGACAGTACTCTATGAATCACCTGTACATCTAGTACCTTGTACATTCTTATCCAAAGTAGAGTATTTGCTGCCACTTTATGTCAGAAGTGTACCTCAATGAAGTTACCTCTTTTCATGTATACATCATACCACTAGGTGAATGATGAATACCTAAACCAAGAAGTATTCCTGATATAAGGTTCGAAATCATTGATTGCGCAAGCAACAAAGTTATTTGGTGAGCAGGCTCTTGCTTCATTTCAACTAACTGTTCCAAATTAATCCACAGAGACATATGGATCAACCTCTTCTGGGATAGCATAGAGTCAGAGTAACAGAAACTACAAGTAATTCATTATACACGCATTTAACAAACTTTTTATTACATCTATGAACAGTATTGCAACTATTGCAAATGTCAATTGAACATTCGTGGTTAAGGCAAAGAATTTTAACCTAGACGAGTAATATAATGGCTCTAGTATACAAACCGAAAGACTTCAATTCGGAGTTAAAAATCAAATTTAACTGCATTTCATAGCGAAAAACCACTTTTGAATACTAATCAAATCCCTTCATAGAATTTTTGATTAGCGCGAAATAAAAGAACGGTTCCCTGTTTGTCCAAATAAAACTCACTCATAAATTGCATGGGTGATTTCCTTTGAAAGAACAACTGTAGTTGTCATCGCTATATTGTGTCTAACAAAAGCACGCCAATTCAGGAACGTATGTATTTTCGAACTCCAAAAGATTTGCCAATGTTGAAGTTGTTGCAAGAAAAACTCTGACAAGAGAAAGGGGGAATTTTGCAGCACTATTTATACAAAAAAAAAAAATATATTGTTCTTGGAAAAAGAAATTCTACCCTTTAAGAAATGTAACACATACCCCCTCCCCCTCCCACACTGACTCCTCTTTTGTAGTTTGGTCTTCTCAGAGCAGTCAAATCAATAGACCGGTAGACTGAATAGAAAGATGGTAAACAAGATGTAAGCATATCTTGTGCTCACCTCAAACTACGTGGGCATAACCAATCTCACTTCAAAGATTTGAAGATGCTGGTTCCTGCATTCTTTATAAAGTGATTGTTCTTCTTGTGTTATCAAAGATAATCACAATTGCACATACTTCTACACTCGCATCTCCTCTGCAGTCTTTCAAAAGTCTCATGCATAAACATCATCTATGTATAAATCTATTCTCTCGATGCTACAAATGCAATAACTCTCGTTTCCCAGATACTCAAGCTGGCAGAAAACAAATCAGTCAAGAACCGTTCATCGTCTTCTGCAATTTCATAAGCCCAAACTCTCTTGAAATATGCATTGACATTGTGCTTCAATGCATCATCCAATACAATCTTTAAACTATTTGCAATTGTTATGACATTCCACGTATACTTTAAATCATTAAACAAAAAATGAAGGTCATCTATTTGGTCCGAAGTGAATGAGTTGGTACTGACATATGCCAATTGAGTCATTATCTGCTTGAACTTTTCGTGGAACTTGGACCCAAAGTCTGTGCCTGCACCAACAACGGCAACATCCTCACCACCTTTGATTGCATCTCCATCACGCAAATTCAGTAACAAATGATAAATACTCAACATAAACAACACTGCATCGCGACAAATTGTATCAAAAACATCCAAATGATCCAAGTTTTCAAGAAGTCCAGCTTCTTTCAAGTCACCTTTTCCCAACTGTGGCTGATATTGTTTTGGAATCAAAGGGTATTCAATCAAGGGTAACCTTTTGGGTATTTCAGGAGTAGTCTTTGAGTTGGAAAGCTTGAATAGTTTAAAGAACAATTTTGTCATTGGTGAATACGATAGCTAATAGGTTATGAAAATGATCTAGCAATGGGGGGTGAAGAATATATGATAGCAAAAATAAAAGTAGGTGGTGGGATATCAAACGGGAGTGGAAACGCTGGCTGACAAGTTTGACAACTTAAAGCATCGTATTGTAGTCCACTAGGATAATGGTGTCTTTTTTTTGTTATGCCAAATCACAGCTCTTCATCGAGGCACATTACTTGAAATAGAATAGTCAGTAAATCGAGCAAACTCTTTTTCAAAGGAATGTACTGATACACTAGCCAAGTAGTATCTCGTCCTTGTCTTGATCTCCTAGGAGCAGTCTGACTTCCAACCATGTTAACGCATGATGTTGAAAGCTCCTCCCTCTTCTGTCACTGATCTTTCTTTATTTTTGTAAACCACCATCAGCTTCTCTGTCCCTACCAAATTCCGCTACTCAACACCATCATCCTCATCACAAGTTCATGTTCTTTGACATGAATCTCCAAATTGTGCTATGTGTCAAATTGATATTACAAAGTTACTATATCACATGCGGGGAAGACCTGCATATAGCGGTCGGCAAACTCGTAAGATAGGGGCACAGTTTATATATATAAAAAGAAAAAAGAAATTCAATTGGGGGTGTTAAATATATATAACCGGTAATCATATATGAACAACAAGGGCTGTGGCAGTAGTAGAACCATGATTAGAGAGCAACTTGCATGAATCCCCCACTTCTCCATTAGGTTGAGACTGTGGACTTGTTATCTTGCGGGCTCTGTGGAGCAATGATGGTTGTCATTTCGCCAAGAGAGAGTTGCGCGCAAACACAGATACTCTTGTTGTCTTACTCTCTCTACACTTTCCTATCAAGCCCGTAATGTTTGCTCAACTTCCGCAGCTACTGTCATGAAGTATCATGAGTCAAACCATGTACAATACTATTGACTCTGAAGGCTTTAGCCGACTAGCAGGTGGTGCGTTACTGTCTAATCTCTTTTTTTTTCTTTTTTTTTTTTTTCTCATACACACTCTCTTTTGGGCCGTTTAGTTAGTTAGTTAGTTGGTTAGTTAGTTAATTAGTTAGTTAATTAGTAGTAAGTTATCCATAATGGTTGCTGCTGCGGGTTTTTTTGTTTATTCGTTCACTCGCTCGCTCGCTATCGCCCGCGCCTGTGAAACACTCCATACTTTTTTTTATTTATTTTTTTTTTCTCTTTTTCCTAAACGGTGCATAGTTTTATACGAGATCAATTTAATTTTCCACAAGTCGACATCGGATTAACCAGGTTCTTTCACTTTTCATTTCTCGAATAGCCCCGCCCCTTGCATTCACCTACTTTTACTTATCCATCTTTACAACTGGTCATGTTCAAAGGTTTGAGAAAAAAAGCATCCATCTTGTCGCTATATCCCACAACTTCAAATCAAAATGCACTGGATAACAACCCCAACTCCAGTAGCAACTATGACAGGATTTTGAAGCAGGTGCACGATTTTGAAACCGCCTTGAAGGCTATGGACTACCTCTTGGATGATCGTACGAATGAGGGGATAGCTTTGTTGAAAAGGGAAGCAAAATTGGCGTCACAGGATGATCTGCCTCGTGCTGTCTTTCCCTTGGCATTGGGAGTTATGGAGTTCATTGAGGCTACGCTAGGTTTTGAGCCTGAGGTTATGGCCAAAGCGCACAACACATTGTCTGAAGCTGAAACTGCCTCTCAAGCTAATTCTAAATACAACACTCGATACCACTTGGCAACATCCACAATTTACCCACCGGGAACTGAGTTTCAGGTAACTTTAGCAGAGTCAACTTTATTGAATGCATTGTTGATGTTGTTGAAGGAGAATAACGGTGTCGTTGACAGCGCAAAGGCGTTGTTTAAGCTACGAAAAGCATATCAGATCTTGGATTCCGTGCATAAGAAAATCCAAGAACTGGAGCCGCTTTTTAACAAAAACTTGGCGAAATTGAGAAGAAAGGCAACAATGGGAGCCGCTGGCAAGAGTAATGGTGTCTTTTTGAATAATAATAATAATCAATCAATTAGTACGGTTGACTTGCCTGGATTTGAGCCTGTGAACGGCTCGTCAAGCTCGTTGCCCGAGGATATCAGATTGATGAAAGATTTGGAAAGAATTTTCCAAATGAGAAAGGCCCGGATTGAAGGTTCGAACTTGGGTAACACCGAAACACTCAATTTGTTTGAAGACCTGAGTAGTTCAGTTGGTTTAGCAAAGCAAGCTTATGTCAAGCCATTGAATATAGAAAACAATGTCTCAGACGACGACGAGGTGTTTGAGGACGCATTGGATACCCTTGCAGTGAGTGACGTTCCAAGTTCGTATATCGAGTCAAGTGCTCAATCAATTGTTTCATCTGTTGATACCTCGCCTAGTTCCCAAGCAAACGTATCGGATACCTATGTCCATGTTTCCACAACTGATGAATTTATCCATTCAGGAGTGCAATTGTGCTTTGGAATTTTGCAGGTGGTCTTGTCATTGATCCCACCAGCTATTGGTGCAGTCTTGTCAATTGTTGGATTTAAAGGTAATAGGACTGTTGGTCTTCAATTACTATGGAGAACTGCAATTACTTCGAGAAATGTCCATGGTGAGTTGGCATTGTTGTTTTTGTTGGTATTTTATGATGGACCCGTGCAATTTGTCGACACTGGATTTCGATTACCCGAATCGAAAGGAAGTAGTAGTGTTATACTGTTGAGTAACAAGCTAACAGTACTGGATGAGGAATTGCAAAAGATTATGGACAATCCACCAATCTACACCAGCCAGTTGTTACGTTCAGCTCGTCAACACTTTCCACACAATGCATTGTGGATATTACAAGAGGGTAGAATGTTGGCGGCTGAAGGTGATTTGATTGGAGCTAGCACACTTATGCAGAATTTCACCGACGATCCAAATAACAAGATCCAAATGCAACAAATTGAGTCATTGTTGGTGTTTGATCGTGCTATTGTATATATCTACTTGCACGAATACGACAAAGCAGCGAGAGATTTGATCCACTTGATTGACATCAACTCCTGGTCAAAAGCTGTGTATTTATTCATGGCTGCCTCATGTTATCTTGAAAAGTACAGAATGATTAGAATGGGAGTTAGTAAGGGAGACGAACAAGAAGCTCAAAAGTATGCGGATTTGTTTTCCAAATATATGAAGCTCGCATTGAGCTATGTCCCGGGACAGGGCCACAATGCACAAAAGAAAGGAGGATTGGGTGGTAGTGGTAAGCAAATGCCGTTTGATAAGTTTTTGTTGCGTAAGAACAAACACATCGAAGCAAGAAAGAAACAGCATCCCGATCTCCAGCTTGCTGATTTGGTGGGTACTTCTTTGATTCATGAGTTGGTTTATTTCTGGAACGGATACAACCGAATGACTCAGGATCATTTCCAGATTGCTTTGAAGATGTTGGGGTACTCTGGAGCGCCAAACGCTGAGTTTTCTGCAAACACCAGTAACCACTCATTTGCAAAGATCAAAGAGACCGAAGACGAAGCAATGATTAGATACTTCCTCCAGTCCGTTTGCTTGAGGCAAATGGGCCAAGTACGTGAAGGTTCTCGTTTACTTCAACAGCATGTCTTGTCAAAGATTGTCATTTCTGACTCTCCGCAATTCAGATTCCACAAGATGACTTATAGTCCGTACTTATACCCAACTGCATTTTACGAAAACACGATGTTTACATGGGTAGAAGAAACGGGACCAAACTCAAACATGGACGTGAAGAGAGCAGCTGCTGATAGTAAGGCGTGGTTGAAAAAGGCAGAAATTGTAGGCGATGGTGATTACGAGTTGAGCAATAGAACCAGCATGCGTATAAAGGCTGCTGGAGATAGACTAGACCAGTTGGCAGGTATTTAGACGAAAAAGTATAACATCTATAGACTTTTCTTACACGCTTGTTTTGTTTACCTAGTTGAAGTAGGATTCAACCAATTTGTCAGCAACGTTGACTCTAAATAGGAGTGTGACGAGCCATGCAATAGCCAAAAGTGGTAAAATACCAGCTACGACAATCAATTGTAATACTCTGGCGGGATTTCGATCATTCAGTTTGACAACATTTGACGAGATGAATGGCAATGAGTTGAACCCGTAAAACGTCACGACAAAGTAGTACCCAATACTACCAAAATATAGCGAATTTCCCAAAATCAACGCTATTATTGATTTCTTCATTCGGATTATAGGTAATAGAACAAACTGGACAACATAGAGCAAACACCAAATGATTAAGAATGAATTGCAATGAATGTCAAAACAGAACCCCCATTCGATATAGTTGGCGCTGTACTTGTTTAACCCCACTTCCAAGTTGAATAACTTATTGGTTGCCAACCACGTCACCGTTGCAATTATGAAACCCGTGACATAGAAATCAACAACAACCATGTACAAAACCAATTTAAAGATGTCCAAAATGGTGGGCGAGTAAGCCAACCCCCATGCAATGGCACTCACAGATAGAAACCCCGTTACTAAAATAAGAAAAGACGGATCATCTCTTGTGTATGAAGTTTTCCCATCGGGATGTTGTTGCAGTTGCCGATAGTAATAATGTGAACGGTACATCTTTTTTGGATTAATGATTAGATGGAAAATCTCCCATATTGCCGTTTCAAAATCCAACGTGCTGGGCTTGAATAGTCTCTTGACCATTGTTTTCACATTTTTGAATTTGTTCTTGAACTTGAAAGACGTGGAGTTGTGCTGGAATGTTGGACGCGGGATATATAGCGATGAGGGGGTTGACGCAATTGACCCGGCTCGGACTGATCCATGTTTTGCAGAGGGGGACGATTGAGGAAATAGATCTTGCGTCGTATATGGCAAATTGAGTCGTTTCGTCATGGGCAATGGCTTCAATTTAATGATGGTTCTCCGTTGATTTGACTTTGGATTGTTTGTAGAAAATTTTATTCGTGGCGCGAATGTGCTTTTCAAAGGTGACACAAGAAGGGACCAAACCTGTACAGATGCAATATTACCCTAATAACACGAGCATCAGAGTAAATTACAATTGAGTTAGAACAGAGGTCTGTCAAATGGAGTAATAGAACTCTTCATGTAATTTGGAATGGTAGTGTTAGGAACGAGGAAGACACCGAGGAATGGCAATAGAATATGTGGAGGCTTCTTTTGGGGACTGAGAACCAAGAATCCGCGAAGATGTATCAAAGAAGATGGAAAAAAAGACTAGTTGTCGAAGTATAACTAAAAGTGTAGAGATTATCCTATAATAAAGATTTTTTGTAAATTTTAATACAGCACTGACTGAGTCAGCAAAAATCCACAACTTTTACTATTCCTTTTGAAATATTGTATTTGCGTCATCCCAAATTTGTCGAAGTACAAGTTCATTTTTACCAATTGAAACAGGAGCAGAATTAACTTGTTGGCAATGTCGTTTGATATACCCCAAAACCCCCATACTTGATTCGATACGCTTTCGGTGCACTTGACGAGATGCAAAACGTAATCGAATCATTGTATACTGCGACACGATTGTTTCGTTTTGAATTTTCCACTCATAATTCAAATCGAGCTGGCCACTATGTTCGTCTTGATATAGATTCTTTAGATCTAGTTGTTTTTGCTGTGTGCGGTTGAGTCTGGGAGTAGTGCTGATCTCCGTTGATTGAAGTGCAAGTTGCATCACTTCTTCAAAGTTGGGTTGACCATCTTTACTTTCAACCAGCTCAATTTCATATTGGGTGTCGTCCCCTTCCTGTTGTGTTGTGTCACTGAGACTGTCATCGTCACTTGCAAAATTGGTCATTTTTTCATAGAGACTTGGTTTGGGAAAGTTAGGTTGAGGTATAGAGTTCTCTAATTTTTTGAATGAGTTGTCTGTGGTCGAGTAGATGCTACTTGTTGATGTTGATGTGGTTGTTGTTGTTGTTATTGTTGGGCGCTTTGTATCATATTGATCATGAATCATGGTGAAGGGACTAATATCTTTAGAACGGGCAGGTGATTCATATGAGCTCCATCGTTTGTATTCAGGTCTATGAACAGACTGCTGTTTTGAATTGTCATGAGACGGCCGTGTGAGTGATCTTGTTAATGAGGACCTGTAGTTAACAGCCTGTTGGAGGAGCTCTTGTCTTGAGTGTTGTGCCTTTGATTCCCCTTTCGCAATTCGTAAATCATGCTGAATGGGAGCCTCTCTCGTAGGAGTTCTACCCCTCTCAATTATTTGACTATTGAGCACACGCATTCCACTTTGCACTGACACGAGTCTGACCTTCTCAATTTTCTTCCTCCCTTTTGAAGTTTATCTCGAAATCGTTGATCGATTAAGGGGTCCTTATCTTCACGTGACCTAATTTAAAGAAAATGTTATTGTTTTCTCTTATCGCGAATAAGATTTCGAGATTAGTGACATTAAAAGCTTCTCAAAGTAAAAAAAATAAAACCATACAAAAATTACACAGGTTCAAGACGAAGCAATTTGTTTTTCAAATTCTCTTCGGCACTCTTGACCAAAGTCTTTCTCCTCATGTTGACAAACTCAGCAAGATTGATAATGTCCTTCTTTTTTTCCAAAATAGTCTCCACTTTGTCAGGCTTATCAATAGCAATTATCTTCTCAAATACTTCCGATAAATCTTCAACCGTCTTGTTTAGGAAATCTTGATTGGTCTCAAATATCTCGGAAAAGTTCAGCTTGACCAAATAAAATGCAAAGCAGTACGTCCATTTCAAAGTCTTTCTACCATTCTGCAAGGCTCTCATTGCATCAGGGAGAAACTGTACATCGTTCCATGAAAGGTTGTGTTGACCCTTTTTCCTAACTTCCTCCATGTAGAGCTTTGTAACATCATCAATTTTCTGTAACGTCTTTAGATCACCCTTCATTGAAGATTCGTGAATGGCGTACCGCTTGTAAAAATGTAAATATCTTTCCAAAGTAGCTCGGCTCTTGTTTTTCCTTGCCGTGTCTTCCTTTGCATTGTCTGGGAACCGATTACACGAGTAATTGTTTGAGTGACTGCTCCAATCACCAAAACATATCCAACAAAATTCGTGCTTACACTTTCTGCACGTCATGTGATTGCAACCGCCATTCTTTTCAATAGACGTGTGACATTTGGGACAGGAATGCGTGTGGGCATCAAGCCAATTTGCTGTTTCAGAGTCGTCTTCACATTTCTTCACCCACGCCTTGACCAACCAGCAAGGACATGGGAGATGGTTTTCGTAGTTGCAATCAAAGCAAAATTCGTGGCGTTCAGCACATCCGACTATCGGAATTAGGGTCAAGTCAATGGATCCAGTGCCATCTTTAATGGATGATATATCGGCAATTTCGGTAAAGCTGGCGCAGTCAGTAGCAGGACACCATTTGAAGGTATTTCTTGTGTCAACCCACTCTCTAACCGCGGTTATAAGCATTGGATTCTCGCGAAGAGGTTTTTCGGCAACAATCAATGTCTTGTCAGCTTCAACGATAGCAATGATACGAGCAATGTCTTGAAACGGAATGGTATATTTACAACTTGGATCGATGCACGTTATCAAACGGCCATTGTTGATTTCGTTCATGATGTACTGATAATAGCACTGAATGCAGAATTGATGCTTGCACGTTAAGGAATAAACTTGGGTTGACTCGTAGGTGTCGCAACAAATAAAGCAAGTGAAATCTTCTACTGTCTCAAAAGTGTTGTTGGATTTGCACGGTAGACCGCATTGTTCCATAAAATTGTTTTTGTCGCCAAAGTATGCATCCAAAACCACATCCAGTTGCCATTTTTTCACGTACAACATAGTCAACAAGTCATTATCCGAACAACCTTCCAAATTAAAATTCTGTAACTTTTTTAACGAGTTAAGGAAATGAGTCTGGATAAAATTGTCCATGCTCCATGCATGGTATGCAGTTCCATTGTATCCGATACTCACTGAATCATCAATAGTCTTTGATTGTGGAGTCGTCAAAGACTTTTCTCCGTCGAAAAGTTCCCCATCATCTGATTCAAACGAAATATCTGATTCCTCTCCATACTCCTCTTCTTCGGCTCCATCAAGTTCCTCTTCATCCGAGTCTACGAACTCAAAATCGTCGTAGTCATCTGGCTGTATTTCATCTTCCTCGTCACTGGAGCTTATATCTCTCTTTGTCATGCTAAGTTGGGGGGGGTTTGTCTTGTGAAGGAGAAAAAGGGTTGCTGTTGTGATAAGGAAGTTACAAACAAAAACTGGAAAAGCGAGGAAGGAAAAATACAGAGGGAAGCCTTTGATTGAAAGAAGAAAGCAACTCGATCACGCCTCGTTGGGTGTTGCTACAATGGTGAGTAAACAAATAATAGTACAACCCACCAGTAGATTTAGATAGTCCATCTTGACCGTCTAATGGTGATCTCACAGCTATGTAATTCAGATGGCAAACGGTATGAAGCTAATGTCGCGACTTTAACGCGACAAAGAGTATTAGTGTCAACTTCTATATACAGGATCACGTATCACTATTTAAAGAGAAACTTTTCCTCTGTGAAAAATTTTACACACACTTTTCTTCTTCTTCTTCTTCTTCAACATCAGTAGTGTTAACTAAATGATTAACATTTTACATTCATAAGAGAATCTAGATTGCATGACTGGGGATTATCTTCAGTTTTGTATTTCTACAAAGATTATAAACCCAAGCTAGTCAGCTATATCAACGTCTAACAAACGTCCATTGTAGTTGACTCGTTTCATCTCTTTAAATTGATATGAACTTAATGCCCAATTCGATAGTGGTTTTACGCAAAATTGAATTCACTCTTGGACATTGTTCTACATATTATTGCTAATGGCGACTCTTTCAGAGTCTGCGTATTCGTAGTTGAAGGATATCGATGTGTGTGTGTGTGTGTGTGTGTGTGTGTGTGGGTGTGTTTCAAACTGACGCTGCTGCGATGTTCTTGCGACGGATTCAATCTGATTACGTAATAAGTTATATAATCTCTTTACGATGATTATTTTTTTTCCGTGACAAAACTCTTTTTCAACAAAGATCTCAAAGACAGGTAAAACCGCAGTCAACCCACTCATCTCATCAACTAACGCTATCCACTATGGCTCACAGATTGCTTGTAAATGTGATATTCACCGGTGCATCCGTTTTTGGTAGAGCATTCACGGAAGCATACAAACAGGCAGCTAAAGCTTCTGCTGCTGGAGCTGCTGCAGGACCAGCCAAAGCCGCTTCACAAGGAGGAATATCCACAGAGGAAGCAATGAAGATTTTGAATTTGGAAAAGAATGAGGTATCCTTAGACAAGCTAGAAGAGAAGTACAATTACTTGTTTGATGTCAACTCGAAGGAGAAAGGTAATTCATTTTACCTACAAAGTAAGGTGTATTATGCGATGGACACGTTGAAAAAGGAGCTAGAGTATTTGGAGAAGTTGAAGCAAAGCAAGGATGGGGAGACGTCGCATTCTGGATGATTTTGAATGTATACATAATGTAAATAGTGAAATATATTAAACGATATCGTATAACAAAACCAAATCCACAGAAATTTCATTTTTCTATGCGAAAGAGAGTAAAGAGTAAATTTCAACACACATTTAGAGTACACACTTTTCTCCAACAGCCATGGGTAATCAAGACGAAAAACAACTACTAGAAGATGCATCGACGTTGTTGATGTTTGCTAGTGCGGCTGCTCACCAACAATCTCCAACAGAGTCTGAAGCCTCGCCACCGCTACATCCAGCGCCTTTACCTTTACCACAACACGAGGGTTCCTCGCATATTGTTACCATTCCAACATCAAACCAACAACCGTCGACTCAGCAGCTTACTCAAGTACCGAAAAAGAGCTCGATTCGAAGTTTGATGAATGATGAGCCAGAGCCAGAGTTGGAGCCAGAGTTGGAACTGAAGGTGGAGCTGCAGCTGCAGCTGAAACTTCAAGGAGAGTTTGAGCCTATTGTGAATGTGGATCCTGAATCCCTTCCAAACCGGAAAACAGTTTCACCTCCTTCAAATTTGCCAAAACAAGGCACCTTTAAAAAAGTACATGAAAGAAGCCGATCTACTCCCGATGCGCAAAATTTCTTGAGTCCTGCTTATGAACGGGGGATAGATTTGAGAAAGGGCGAACGGGATGGCAATAATGCAGTCATTGCCGCAGCAGCATTGACAGCGGCAGCAGATATTCCATTTCCTTTAAAGCAAGAGAGATCGGCAAGTATTCCTCCCTTAGAATCGTATCAGGTAGACCCAGATTCTGGAATGATTGGATGCATATGCGGTATTGATGATGACGATGGATTTACAATACAGTGTGATATATGTTTCAGATGGCAACATTGTGTGTGTATGGGATACGAGAATGGGCAAGAGGTTCCAGAAGACGAATACAAATGTTATTTTTGTGACCAGCTTAAGTGGGGCAAATTTGATCCTGCAGTAGCTAGGGAAAAGACGTTGGCCAGATTGAAACCAGAACAGTTGGAGCAAGATGCAAGGGAGAAATCGAAGCTAGAGGAGAAACCTATTAAGGAATCGAAAGTGGATAATACCAAGAGGAAACTGCTGAGCGCAGGCAAAGGTGAAAAGAAGAGAAAGACTGAAGAGAAGGTGCCTGCAAAGGAAGAGGTGGAACTGGAGAAGCCGAAGGAGGCGAATGAAGATTTGCCCAATAAGGACAATGAGTTATTGGAGGAAGGTGTAGTTGCTGAACCATATCAGTCGGTATACTACCAACTACGAGACAACGATTACAAGAGGAATGGAGTAAAAACTTTTCTTACAAATTGTGGAACTGAGTTTTATGAGGAGTATACCGGCTTGGCAAAGGAAGACCAAGAGAAGGTTGGCATAAATGTGATGTCAGAGAGTGAATTCAAGGCACTCAAATTGAGTCGAATTATACGACCCAAGTTGGCCAAATATTTTCAAGATAACAATAGGTTGGAAAAGAAGAAGAATGTGAACAAGACCAGAGTTGAAGTCAAGCCGTATACGGACAATCTGAAACAAAAGTTCAATGGGATTTCCAAACTATCGTTGTTTATAAGTACCAGTGATGAATCTCTTGTGATACCGGAAGGAACGCCAATAATCGAATATTTAGGAGAAATCGATTTCTTCCATGATTATTGCATGGACAAGTATAATCAATATCTGCTTTGGGGGACTACTAGACCAAAAGTATTAAAGACACTGGTGCTAACAAAGGAACTCCAACCAGTTGATCTTGTCATTGATTCAAGGTTTGTTGGTGATGAAAGTCGTTTCATTAGAAAATCGTGCTGGTCATCATCCAATTGTGAGATACGTCCAGTTTACCTCCCCGACAGCAGCAGGTACAAGTTTCTTGTGGTAACTTCAAAGCCAATTGTATTGAAAGGGGAGAATGCAGATGAAGAGTTGCGGTTACCTTGGGAATGGGATCCAAACCATCCGATCTTGAAGTTGTATGAAAATAATAGCACGGAAAAGTTTGAAAATTTGCCCAGTGATGCAAAATCTGCATTGATTGCTTATGTTGACACCATTTTGCAATTTGTTGAATGTGGGTGCTCAACAAATTCGAATTACAATAATTGTGCCATTTTCAAGATCAAGAAAGCCACGAGCTATTTGATGAGATCAACAAGAAAGACTGCGGTTTTGAATAATACTGGTGCAAAGACCAAAGAGGAGTTGGTGTTGCCTCGTCCAAATCGACAATATATTAGCTGGGATGAACGGATGATTGAACGTGATAGACAATTGCAGGAAAAACTATTGTTTAAACTTGATCATGCGAGAAAGGCGAAATCAAATGAGGTTCCAAGAGTTAAACCTGATGTGTTGTTGAAAGTGCCATACAAGCAAAGGTTGTTAATGCGTGCTCGTCAAACTGCTGAGCCCAATCCTTCATGGAGCGAAGCAAACACAGCTGATGAGTGTGATAACGAGGATGGGGATGTAGAGGATCTTGCCGTTCCTATTATTCCTGAACTCGTAACCAGTATTGAGTTACAAGTTTGTCAAGAGTTGAACTTGAAGGAAGAGGTCTCTATTGACAATGCAAAGAAGGAGGTGGAACCATTGAGTAGGAAACAGCTGCAGGTTCAGATAAATAGACCCCATGAGCGTAGTAGATCTACGACGGAGGAGACGAAACCGGCAAAGAAGTTGTCGCTAGCGGAGTACATAAAGGCAAAGACATAGTGGTGTACAATCATTGGACGGTTACCGTTTAGCATTCTATTTGAAAAGTGTTTTGAAGTATAGATCAGAGGGGGTTTGAAAGGAAACATTGGGTGTAGGCTAATGGTGTGACAATACGGTGACGTCACCATTGCGACATTGTGTGTGTGTGTGTGTGTCACATACAAGAAGTGGTGCAAAAGAGAAGGAATCCTTGTATAAATGAAGCTTTAATTTTCCACATGTGTTTGATAAGTCTGTGGTTTTCAGTCAGTAAGTTGTACATCCAGTTATGCCATTTCTTGATTCTTTAGGGCTAGATGGTCTCGAAATAGCTGTACCTATTTTATAACATTTTTGATTACCTTTGCACCATCTTGAAGGCTTCTCAGCTTAGGTATCCACCATTCACTTAGCTGTATGATGGATACAAGAACAGAATTTACTACAATGAGGTACACTTTTGACATAAAGTGGCAGCAAATACTCTACTTTGGTTCAGAATGTACAAGGTACTAGATGTACAGGTGATTCATAGAGTCTTACAACCGTTATTTGCGTCAAGGTTCGAATTTCCAATTCAGCTGTTTTAGATCATCATATTGTTTATTTGTCCATGGAACGATGAAATAACTATTTCTTCTGTAATAAATGTCTTAAAAGTTGTTTTGTAAACATTTTAAAATTGTAGTTGTAAACTCGACTGTTCATTCATAAAATTGACTGAACCCGTCGCTATCAAAGACTAGAAAACCTTTATTCCTGACAAGAAGTCCCTAAGGAACTATTTTCCCTGTTTGTACGGTGCTTTAGATTCACAGAAATAGGAGAAGAATGTGTTTTTGCATTCTCTAGACCACCGTGGAGCAGTCTCAACTGAAACAACTTAATTGGAAGAGGTTGTTGATTATCAAATTCCAACTGATTTTAAATAAATTTAGACATCTTTGAATACTCTCTTTTCCAAAAAAAAAACAACCTCTTACGGTACGTTGTGTTGTCCAGGACTATCTAATTCATAGACTCAAGTACCCTCCTACAATATTCCAGTTAGTTCTCAATTACCCATATGCCGTTATATTATCAACTATTAACAAAACAAATTCAATACAAAAAAGATACAAAAATACAAAATGATGATGATATTATGATGCCCCAAAAAATGTTTACCCCCGGTGGTAATAAAAACAAACAAGAAAGATTGGAAAGGAATCATTAAATAAATGGACTCAACGGGTAAGGATATAATGAATAAATGGCCCCCCTATTATTCATTATACTTGTGTATGTGTGTGTGTGTGTGTTTTCTCCAATTGATTGTCCACTTATTGATATTACCGAAATGAAGTTGATGAAATAGTGTCAGTAGATGTTGTTAGTGAAGTTCGAGTATGCATGAAATTGAAAAGTAAAACTTGGTATATATTGATGTGTGTGTGCTTGTGTGTGTTTGTGTGTGTTTGTGCGTGATTTCTTCAAGTTCATCCTCTTCCAGTGTCTTCTGCCCCCCCCCATGAACAACTCTTACTTTCTCTCTGCTGCATGCATCAATTTCTCTGACTCCACATCATCTGAAACATTTCTTCCAGCGACATTTTCTTCCTCATAAACTACATCACCATTGTTTGCTTTTGAGTTTTCAAAGTCTTGTAATTTGATTTTAGCAAACAACTCCTCCTTCTCCTCCTTTGACAACTCTAGTTTCTTTTTACCCTTGATATGATACATTGGGTTCAATGAACGTAAGGTGATACCCTTCAAAAATGGTAAATGTCCATATTTCTCTTCGAAAAGCATCAACATCAATACAACAATAACAGCAAGCCAATACACATTGTAACCGATAACTGAACCATAAGTGGCCGAGTTTTGCCATCCCAATAAGGAATTAAACACATCCCAACCATTATCAGTCTCAGGATTACAACAATTGACATGCCATACTGATTTAGCAATGTCGTAAGTACCTGGACCAGACCCGTTTTCAGACGCATCACCACCAGTAGCTTGATTGAACTTGTAGGTCTCAAAGAACCAAATTCCTCTTGAAAACAATCCAGCAGCAATCAAATACAACACTCCAGTTGAACAAACCAAAAAGATCTGCATTGACAAATTTGATCCAAAGTAGTACAACAATACACCAACGGCAACACCGGCGATAATTCCCACAATAACAGGAATGGGGAAACTAGTGGCTGGTTTATTTAAACCCACACCACCAACAAAGACAACCGCCTCCAACCCTTCTCTCAAACAAGTGATGAATGGTAAAATGAACAATGCATAGCGTTTAAAGAAATTAGCCAATCGCAATCTTTCCATCAATGTTGGTTTTTCCCCACTTGAAGCTTTTGGAGACTTGACCAAAGCTTGCGCCAATTTGACTCTCCATTTTTCCTTCATCTTGTTGATTCTCAACATTGGAATCCCCATCAATGAAATCAACACAGTGGCAATGATACAAAATATCCCCTCCCATAAATCTTCCGATTTGGACCAAATGTCGTTACCTAGCCCGTAGAAGGCACCAATGAATGCACAACCAATGATCAAACATATGATCACCCCAGTTATCGCCCCTAGCCAAATCTGTTTTCGCAACTTTTTGTAAACTACTGGGTCATCGGTTGAGGAACCCAACCCTTGTTTCAAAAAGGCGAGAAGCACTGATACGACAATGACTGCTTCTAAGGATTCTCTGAATACGATGAAGAAGATCTGTACGTTGAAGACGTCCACCATTGTAGTAGTAGTAGTAGTGTAATCTTAGTCTGTTCCTGGTGATTGGAGTAGATGGATGGTTGCGAAAGACGTTCTCTTGAATATCTCTCCTGACAAGAAAAAAATTATTAAAGCTTAGTTTCTTGGTGAGAGTGCAGTACTATTTTGTTTTTTTTTTTTTTTTTTCTTGATTAGGTTTGACAAAGTATTCCACCGTTGTAGTTTTGAGTTTTGCAACCAAACGAGTAGTGGGAATGGTAGTTGTGTAGGTAAGACTGGGTGTGATGTGTGAGAACCTCTACTTTTAATTGCAGTCTGGATTAGGATTAGGTGAGTCTGAGTCAAAAACAAAGTGAAATAGTAAAGAAACAGTTTGAGCAATTTAAATTTATCTTCATTTGGGAAATTCACTGGTGTACTTATAATAATTACCCGCTTGAAATGTTACTACTACAGGGAGATACTACACTTGCAATTTTTCGGTATTGCATTGTTATGGGTTGATGGTTATGTGTTCTCTCTTTCAATAAAACACAATAGAAAGTAAGTTAGGGTTATTATATTTGTCTTTACGCTATTTTGTAACGACAGTTTGTGATTGGCTAAAAACGGGGACGAATTGGCCAATAGATTTATTGTTAGTGCTTGATAATGAGACGCATACGGTGCTAATGTCACATAATGCGACCCATTTAGCTACGAAAATAAAAAAAAAAAATAAAAATAAAAAGAAAAAAAAATTTTTTTTTTCTGTCGTGGTATTGCTGAATATTTTTATCAATTTCATCAAAAATTTTCCAAACAAATACGGCGAAGGAGCAAAAAAAAAAGAAAGATATTAATTTCTTAGAAAACCAATTGAAGTACAAAAGCGGTTACTTCATTTGGTGAAAGGGATGGTGTCATCTTTTTGAAAGAAGCAGGGAAGAGGGATGGGGGGAGATATGCTACCTACTAACATTTATGATGATTTGAGCTTACACTATTCGAATTACGAGATTGGAATGCGAATTCTAAATTAGATTGTGTGGTAAGGAAATTCGTAAAACGTTTGCTTTGGTAATAGATTGCATATGAAGACGACAAGGACAGTACATATCTTTAATTAAAGGCGAATGGAACCAAGTTAAACCAACTGTTTTACGTAACTAATGCATCATTTTAATTGGAGAAGCAAGAAGAAGACTACACAGTGTTTTGCTGATGGAAAAGATAATTGAAAATTCAACAAACAAAAAAAATAAAAAAATAATAAAAAACAAGAAACATACAATGTTGTGTTATTGTGTAAGTATTTGATGTGCCTTGAAACCGCACACACATACACATACACACACAACACATACACACACAACACATACACACACAACACATACACACAACACATACACACAACACATACACACAACACAAACACACACAACATACACTTTTCGTGTCTGTCTTCAACAATAGCAATAGAATGCTATTGAAAAGGAAAAAAAAAAAAAAGTTTATAACCCCTATGGTTAGTAATTGACTCTCGTATTAAGTAGGCTTACGTGAATAAGATCTTTGTTCCGAATATAACTATATAACTTCCTATGTAGATGATCAATTGGACAACCTCCAACACCACTTTCTTCAAATCCAATTTTACAAATTATGCACGAAGCCTTCAACTTGGATACTCTCTACAGGTCAATTTTTGTATCATCTTTTGATTGGCTCAAGTTAAGTGTCCTGCTGTTTTTTTTTTGTTTTTTTTTGTTCTTTTTTTTTTTTTTCTTGGCGGTATAAATTAATAAATAAAAATATGCACAGCCCATATGTTACACAACACCAAACTAGAACTTGCACATTTTCTTTTGCTTGGCGTTATACAAATTAATGTTATTCTTCATCCGTCTAATTCTTGGCATGGCACGTAATCAGATTGATCTATACCAATTTGACAAGTCGCGTGGTAAAGTAAGTACATACCTCCGAGATTCCTACCGAATCAAACTATACACACTTACTGCACATGTTTAATTTCCTACTCTTTCCGTTATTGTACACACTACACATCTAACTCCAATTGTAAGTCCATTGACACATCTTGCACTTGATCGCCTTCTGCATCGCCATCCTCAGCTTGATTCTCATTTCTTTCATGAGATGTCTCCGCCTCAGCACCATCTCCCACATCAACACTCAAGTTAACAGATTCATTTCCATCAGTTGCGTCAACAGGTATCTCTTCTTCTTGCCTGTCTCCACCTTCCAGCACAACTTTTTCTTGTTCAATAACTTTATAAAACACCTCTCCCAATTTACCTGCATTCTTCTTCAACCGCTGATATATGTCTTGGGAGACCAATTGCATCTTGACTAACGAGATCAATTTTAAAGTGTATACTGACAAATCCTTTTCCAAATCCCATATCTTGACTTGCTTCAATTGCTCCTTGTTGGCTCTAAGCAGACGTCTTCGTGTTTCACAACGGCGTCTTCTTTCCTCCTCATCTACGTCCTCGTCCACATCGACTTCCTCATTCTCCCCATCTTCTGCATCCTCATTCTCTTCCACCTGACCTACCTGTACTTGCTTCTCCACATAATCTTCATAATGCACCCCCTCTTCATCATCCCTATCCAACTCAATTCCAAGCAAATGCGCCAACTTCATCTCCTTGATCAAAAACATCTCCAACAACTCCATTTGCAAATCCCGCTTAATCATAATCACCGGCTTATTCAGTCGGAAAAAAAGTTTAAAATGCTTAAATTGATTATCGTCTTGAAACTTGACATAAAACAATCGAAACGAAATGACCAAATTAATGTATTGATTAATCAATTGACATTTAAACTCAACCAACTTGTCCAAATCTTCAACACTAGTATCTTCAGTAGCAGTATTCAAGTCTTTTAGTTCATCGATGTATCGGATCAAATTACTAACGACATCACCAACCATTTCAAACTCTAATTCAACATCAAATTGATGTTGGTCTTGTGGCGCTGTATCAATCATCTTTTCAAATTTCCATCCACTAATAATGAAAACTAACTCAATAACAGACACAAGGGCATTGGTGAATTTGGGCAATTGTAATATGAAATCATGTTTCCATTCATTGAGAACCACGTTTAGATCAAATTTATTCAAGATCCGATTATTGAATTGATATATTAAATCATCAATCTTGTCCAAATTGGCGATATTGACATAGTTTCCAACCAATATAATCTTTTGAACAAGTATGGAAACTTCACGACATAGCTTTATAACATGTTTTTGTCGATTGGTCCAAATCACGATATCACGATCCATATCGATTGAAGAATCAGCCAATTCTTCTCGCTCTTGAAGCTTTTGCTTCTCCGGGTCGTCGTTGTCGTTGTCGTCCTCCACTCTTTCTTCTTCCTCTTCTTGGCTATCCCTTAAATATACAGTGGTGTTCTCCACCAACGCATTGACAATCCTCTGCACTTCAAACTTAATAGACTCAGTCAATCCCCTCAGACTAAACAATTTCTCAAAAAAAGGTTGAAATTCATCAACCATACTAAACTCGTAAAAATATTGCAAAATCTCTTTAATTGCTAATTCATATTCTTCGACTTTATCCAATTTGATATAATAGTTGAAAATGCAATTGTGTTTGTCGTCAATCAAATCCTGCCAAATTCTAACGAATATCTTGAACCGATTGTTTGCTTTGAAACAAAAGCTTTGGAGTTTTGGAATATAGTCAATGAATTGCGTGATTATGGTAGATCTGATTTCCTCTTCTTCAGCTTTGGATGCTCCTGCCTGTTTTCCCTTTAGCTTCACTATCGAAGCTTTGATCAAACCATGAATGGTTTTGAGTAATGTGAGCTTTTGCACATCGTCAAGCTGCACCAACATCTTCACTTGATTCAAGTCAGAGTCTTTCTCTTTCTCCTCCTCCTCTACTTCCTCATCACCATCAACATCGCCGTCTTTAATTACTCTCAACTCTGCATTATCCGTCAACAAGTAATCCAAGAGTGATCGCAAATTTGGAGCATACACCAGAGTCATTAATTCCGATTCAAAGATTTTCTCCAATGGTGCATCCTTTTCCACAAGAAAGGACAACTCCTCAAGCATCACCTTTATCTTCAAAAGTTGTCTTGCATCATGATCATGCAAAACATAACTGTCCCTCTCAAAAATTGATTGGTTCTTTTCCATAACTTGTATCGCATTCTCATCAGTAGCCACTTGAACAAATCTAACAAAATCATGTTGTAACTTCAACTTTGTTGCAGTAAATGGGAAGGCCTTAATTACCTCGTGTTTATCTTTTGCATCAAGGAATCCCATCTTGACCATCTCTGTCAAAATCCCACAACAGTTGGTGCGCACATTTGTATCAATATCAACCTCACACATTAGAATAAATTGTGGTTTGAATTTGATGGAAAATTGAGTCAATCCATCCACAATATCTTGGTTCTTGTTCATTTTGTAAAGTTTCAACAAATCACGACTTATTTCGCTGCGTACTTGGTTAATGGGATCGGATAACAACCAACCAAAGTACTTCAAAAACTGTGATTGACAGAAATATGATGGATATGCACTCATGGTATCAATCAAGTATTTGACCACAATCAACCTAATCTGAGGATCAAAATCCTTATATCTTTGTGAGACAACAGTAGATGCAATGTCATCAAAATATCCGTTCAATGTATTCAATTGAGATTCATAGTTTGTAATTGTAGACCTGATTGTTTTGTACTTTGTTGATCTTTCATCATTCAATCTACCCAAGTGTTTTCTTGAGCGCAGAAGATTGGCAGTCACGGATTTCCCAATTTTGCTCAACGCCAACTGCATTGCCATGCTGATTTCGGTACTTGTATAACGCAATGCTCTAATTGCTGACCGTGTAAGACTTGTAACCCAAGTGAGCAAAAGTGCCATCAATTGAGACAGTTCCAGGGCGGCGTCGTAGTCATCCTCGTCGTAGTCAGCGTCGTTACTGCCCTGAGTATATGGTGGATACAAAAGCCCCTTTTCATGGCATATTTCAATTATATTTTGGAAAAATTGCAATACATTCTTTTTGAAAACTGGTACAAGTTTGAATGCAAATTTATGAGTTGACTGGTTGCCAAATGCCAATGTAATTTCTTCAACTGTAACCGCAGTGCTTGCCAAGTTGATCAAGTCGTGAGGTTGGAAAAGATGGAACGACCCACAACTTCTCAAGATTAAATTTATGACAAGTGTAATTGCAAGTGAGTGAGTGTTGTCCAGTACTGCCTCTTCTTCATATGTTTCGATCCATTCCTGGGCGAGATCAGTAACGTTAATTTCAGGACTTGACAATGCTTGGTACAAGTAGTTTTCCTCCCAATCGTCCTCCAATTGTGGTTGTTTCTTCTTACCCTTTCCGCATTGTTTTCTTTTCGATTTCTGTTGTTGTTGTTGTTGTTGTTGTTGTTGCTGGAGTTGGTCTCTAGATACAGTTTTCTGTCTTTTTGAGCTGGTTTGTTTACTGTTTGTTGTTTTCTTTCTCTTTGTAGAAGTTGAGTTTGTAGTGTGGTTTGGTGTGTTTTCAGATGAAGGGCTGTAAGCTTCAAGTTGATCCTCTTGTTCTTCATCACTAAACTCTTCATAGTGGACTGTTCTTCTGTTAGCACTCCTTGCCAGTCTTCTAGACGTGGTGGCAGTAGATGCAGCTGGCATAATGATCACCGCTTTCCTGTAAGTAGTAATGGGTGTTCGATTTGATGCCTCTTGGAATGTGGTTGTAAAAGAAGATAAAAACAAAAATCAACAATGCTAGACAAACACACGCGTCGCACATCAAAAATAAATTGTTGGTATCGTGTGCACGACCGTTTGGCAAAAGCCGTGGCTCATACTTTAATCAGAAAAAGACTGGAACAACAGCAATAACGTTAATAATAAGATTGATTCTGAAGGGTTAGTTACCAAGGAGATGTTAAGTAAAAATATTCACCGCAACTCTGAAATTTGGTTTATCCTGGTCCTTGTTTATCTGTGATTGACATTATCCTTTTTTTCTTATGGGATCTTCAATATTTGTTGCAGATTGTGATTGTTATTGTGTCGTAATTTTGTATTCTGCTTTACACCTTTGGGTGGTATTTAACTGGTATAATAAATGTGATATATATATATATATATATATATATATATATATATGATTATAGATTACTCTCTATTACTCTTTACACTAAATCAATCAGGGCTTTTGGCCCATTTGTATAGCTAATATTTGCTGCAAATCGCTTGTTTTTGTGTAACAAAATTCTAGCAATACAAAAAAGTAAGAAAAACCTGGAAATGATTTTATAACACAGTTGAAATGGATATCTTCAATAGAGGAATCTTTTGTTTTTGTTTTTTTTTTTTTTGCAAGAATACGTTTTGTGAAAAGTAAAGATGATCACTGAGATCCCAAAATGCGTTATGATGTTTAATCATTTTAATTTTCGTCTAATATATATATCCTGATAAGCTTAATTAAATAATTCAATTGACAATACCAATCGGTTCTTTTTAGTAGATAAAAAAAATAGTGATTGCTATTGAAAAATAAATCAAACTCTGCGTCAACGCATATATAGATTTAGCTTATTTTTGATCTTCTTTTGAGATGACTTGGATATGGTGTATTGAGGAATGAATGATGAAGAACGAACTACAAAGAGGACATTTGTTGTAGTTGAGAGACTTGGTAAAGAAATAAGTCGTGCATCTTATTCAAACAAAAGTTCAGTAGAGACTACCATTTGGGTTGGATATGTTGTTATACACGACCTTCTATATATTCTGTTATATACTGACGAACGTTATCAAAGCGTCTTCTTACAAGAAGGTTCAGTTATTGGACTATATGAATAACTGACCATACACAGCTCATAATCAGAAGTCGCAATTGTTGGTTTGCAGAGAGGTAGTGTATTTTGTTACAATTTTACAGCTGAGTGAAAAAAGAAGACGAAACTAACAAAAAAAAAAAAAACATCAACCTTTCACCCAAAACGTCAAAACCGAAACACTGCAAAATTTGGGTTTACAAATCAATCACTTCTAAAGCTGATTGGCAAATAAAATACACTCACTTTTTGGCCAGCTACATCATTCACAATGTCTAGTGTTGAACCAAGCACGCAAGAGGAGAATGGGTCCACCCCAGTGATAGACACTCAACAACCTTCAGAGAAGCAGCAGTCACAACAATCTCAACCTGACCAACACGGAGGAACCGAATCTGCCCAAGATTCTCAAGAGCAGAAACCAAACTTGGTTGAATATGATCAATTACAAAAAGAGTTTCAAGAAAAGTCACGCAAGTACCTCGTTGAACAGACACAACATGTTATTATCCCATCATTTGCCAAATGGTTTCACTTGAACAAGATTCATCCATTAGAAAAGAAATCGTTTCCTGATTTTTTCAGTGAAGATTCAATATACAAAACACCTCAATCCTACAAGTACATTCGAGATTTTATTATCAATACATTCAGATTGAATCCCAAGGAATATTTAACCATAACTGCTATTCGAAGAAATTTAGCTGGAGATGTGACAAACATTATCCGTATCCATCAGTTTTTGGAGAAATGGGGGTTGATCAACTATCAAATTGATCCCAAGACTAAATCTACAATCTTGGGGCCACAGTATACGGGACATTTTCAAATCACTTTGGATGCGCCTGATGGGTTGATTCCATATGTGCTGGAGGATACACAGGTAGTGAAAGGCAAGGGGGAAGCTACTACTCAAGAAGGGCAGAGTAGTGAGGCAAAGCAAGCAGCATCTACGTTGGAGCCAACCGTGAAGAAGGAACAAACACCTGTTGATACACCATTATCTTTGAATATGGAAATTAGAAGAGACATTTACTCCACAGGACCAACAAAATTTGGTTTCAAACCCCAAAACAAAGTTTCATATTCATGTAGTATTTGCGGCAAGGATGCAACTGAAGTCAGATACCACAATTTAAAACTCAAGTCATACTCCTACAACCCCAATTCAACCATAAACAATGCTAGCATATTATGTTCCATATGTTATGATCAAGGTTTATTCCCACTGAACTTTACATCATCTGATTTCGTTCAATTCAAACAATTGGCCGAGAATGAAGCTTGGACTGAACAGGAAATCTTGTTATTGTTGGAAGGTATTGAGATGTTTGGCACTTTTGAATCAACTAGCAACTTGATTACACTGGGAGCAAACATCAATATTAATGCCCAAAACCAATGGAATAAAATTGCTGAGCATGTGTCTACAAAGAGTAAAGAACAATGTTTGACAAAGTTTTTGCAATTACCTATTGAGGATAAATTCTTGCATAAGTTGATCTCAAATAACGCCCAATCAAAACAACAACCACAACCGACTCTTTCTAACTCTGGAGACAACGTCGACAAGGCCAACTTGGTTGAAGAAATTGCGCAAAGGTTGATCCAATCCAACCAAGGTCAAGATCTCATCAAATCAAACTCAACCGAATACATCTCCCAATCCAACGCTGAACAATTGGACTTGATTAATCAAATCATTGACTTGACGGTCGAAAAAGTCAATTTGAAACTAGGCAAAATCGACCAATTGCAAAACCAACTCGTGTCCATCACTAACCAATTGCAATTGGAGCGCAAACAGTTGCAATTGACAAGATGGGTCCAATTGAACAAAGTCAACAAGTTGAAGCTGGAAAACCCCGAGTTGAGCAATGTGTTGCTGGACTTGATGAAACCGGTCAAGATTAGCGATATAAATTCTGGTGCATCTGGAAATTTGGCAAGTAAAACTGGACGCGATGGAAATGAGCGTGGTGATGACAATGAGAACGCAATGGATGTGGATGGAAATGATGATGATACTACTGCTGCTACGTCGTCAATAGATGCTGATTCTGTGCCAGTGAGTATTTCAAAACCTAAAGAATATCAATTCTGGTCAGGCTAAAATAATTAAACCCACCTTAAACTTACTTTTACAAAATAAAAGACACCGTCGTGTATAATATACTGTACTATCAAATAAATAAACCAAATACACACAGATATATATATATATATATACATATATTGGAAACCACTACGTACATTATTCTTTTCACACATGAGGCGCGTCACCCGTTGAATGTATTGATACTCGACTGATCTCCGAGCCCAATTCAGGACCAAGCTGTTGCTCTTTGTGATGATGATGATGATGATGATTATGATGCTGTTGAGGTGGATACGGGTTTGATAATGGTGATGGAGATCGCGATGGCAAACCAGCGTCAGCTAATACGATATGTGGCGCTTGTGGAGAAACTGAGTTACCCGCGGCACTAACAGGACGGGGCATTGCGGGATACGCATTTCCAACTTGCGTGTTTTTTGGAGTTGGCGTAGAAACTTGTGAGGTAGGAACTGACGCAGTCGCAAGTGGGCCTCTAGGAACCGCGCTAGTGGTGGTATTGTGTCCGGGTCCATTACTCTGCGTGTACGCATGCGGTGGCATATGGTGCATCTGGTTCCCAGCTGGTGGTGTTACTGGAGGTGCTGGGATCCTGTCACCACGACGTTGTTGTTGTTGTTGTTGTTGTTGTTGTTGTTGTTGTTGCTTTTGGGGTGGCAAATTGGATACCCTCTTTAAGCTGGGAAAAGTTTCTTGCTTTCCGCCAACTGAGGGGCTAATTTGATTCCCTTCCAATGCATTCATGGCAGACAAGGTGTATTGATTCTTGCTTCCGGAATTCAAACCGGGATCGGATTCAGTGGGATTTGTTACATCACTCTTCAAATCGTCAAACTCTGTGCCATCGTGATCCTCTTCGTCAGATGCATCTGAATGAATGTGAATATCCGGTTGATGAAACATATGATTGTGAGGTGCTGACATCACATGGTTGTTTCGTTGATAGGTGTAGTTACTCGAAGAAGTGGAAATGCCATTTAACTGGTTCAAGGTTGTGGTAGTGGATGCAGATGATGATGCTGAAGGTGGTGCTGGTGGTGGTCGGTATTGATTATTGTTGGATATTGTACGGCTAAGATCAGTTGCACTTAACCCACGCCTGGAGGAAAGTACTGAACTAATTGACCGTGAAGAATCAAAGTTGCGGGAAAGCCCATACTTTTCACTGCCCAGTAGCTTGCGTGGTAAATTATGGTTACCATTGCCGTTGCGATTGATACTACCGATTCCTCCTCCATTGGTTATAGGGCATCCGTTATTAACATTTGATTTGGCCAAGTTGCCTTCAGGTGAAAGCAAAGCTGGTGACTTATTCTGTGCTTGACATTTCTTGTACAAGTCAATGAACTGCCTCCTGTAAGAGCTAGCAGCATCTTGACGGAAAACGCGAATGAGTCCATACTGATCAGTAGTTACAATGATATCACCCTCACCTACACCATCATCAAACCTTGCATGCTCTTTGCTGCCATTGTATTCTTCTCCAACGCCTCCACCGCCAGCAATAGCAACGGTTAATGCACACACACTCGGATCCATCTTACAAGCCTCACCACGTTTCTTCAAGTCAAAAATCAAATCATCTGATAAGCCGAGTAATGTTTTTGTAGACTCAGGAGCAAACACAGCCACATTGCATCGTGAATGGTGAGCATGGAAACATGCATAACTGTGATTCTCATTGGCAACAAAATCATGGCGCAAGTTCTCATCGTCACCTCCATCAAGTAATTTAGCAATCAACTTATTTGAGTGAAATAATTTGGAATACTTTTCATGTTTATGATGAAAATCACTAATTGTTTGCTTTCCATCGATAACAAACTCCTTCAAGGACTGTCTGATCTTGTTATTGATAATTTGGTTGTTGTTTTCCCACACGTAACAATAATGATCTTCTGAACCTGATACTATAAACTTGTGGTTTTCAGTTATTGACGCAGCAATAGAAGATGAATTGTTAGTCAACCCTTTAAACCTTGTGATCAACTTTCTTCTCAACGTGCTAACCATTCGCACTCGCGAATCATTGGTCGTTATCAATACATTCCATTTTTCCATGGATATACCTTCATTTGGCTTGGCCACATAATCCGGATTTGCAAACACTTCAACTCCGGTTATCTTATTGCCGCCTTTATCATGGAATGCATGCACAATCGATCTTTCCTTGATTTCTGCTCGATGAAGAATATGTAGTCCCTTGGTTTCCAAAAAGAATACAGATCCATTGAATCCACCAACAACACAACAAGTTCCGTCCGGTGTAAACGCCAACGCAGTGACTAATACCTCCTCACCCAAGTTTCTCCAATACGATACGGATGTCTCCAAAATGGACCACAATCGCACTTCATTATCCAACGATCCACTCAAGAAAAACCGGTCATCAAATGGGTGAAATTCGACAGCTGTAACAAAGTCTTGATGCTTAAAGGTTTGCAAGCAATTTGGTCGATCAACGTGCCATAATTTAGCAGTTTTATCCATGCTTCCAGTTATCAAGAAATTGTTCTTACTCCAAGCAAGTGAAAGAATACTACTGGTATGGCCACGTAGTTCTATTGGTGTTTTGTGGAAAACGGGTGCAGAATCAAACACTGCATCACGCTTGTTGCTTCTGATGGGACTAGTGTCACGCTCATTTTGATTGTATTCCAACCGGCCCAATGGCGACGATATAACTTTCCATATTCTTATCACAGCATCCCTTCCGGCCGCAGCAAGATACTTTCCATCTTTGCTAAATTTCATGACAAATATTTCTCTGCCGATACCACTACCTTCAAAATTAGTATCTGGGGACGATGCGCCTGCTGGATGATCATTGGCCAGCCGATGATGCGAATGCTCATGGTCGTGGCCGTGGTCATGGTCGCGGTCGTGGTCGTGGTCATTCTCTGCATCACTGCTTTCATTTGATTTCAAGCTTGAATTATTGGCATTGTAGTTTTCGACATTGAGTTCTTGTGCAAGGAATAAGTTGTTGATGATTTTAGGACTTTGTTTAGTATGACGCGATGTTCTAACGTATTTGGGAATCAAAAATGATTCGTACGTCAATCCGTTCCAAGGTGCGTCGTCTTGACTTATCGGGGCTAGTGCAATACCAGAGTCATGTACCACTTGATCTAGGTTTGGAAAGGGTACTTTTTCATCAACACTGTGATTCAATATTGTACTAGATCGTTTAGCACCATTGACTTTGACTCGATTCCTTACAGAAGGCGACCTGCCTAGTGACACTTCCAGTGACACATCAGAACCATACCCCAAGGTATTTGAATCATCATCCATATCTTCATCTTCATCGTCATTGTAAACAAACGACTCGTCATCGTCGACGTAAAAGTTTCTTCCTTCCGACAGGTCTCTCCTTCGACTAAGACTACTGCCACGAGTTGAGGTATTTTGCAACTTGTCTCCTCTTGACCGACTTCGGGAAATGTTTCTTCCCAAAGGCTTTATATATCCCAGTCTGGATGCTTTTGAGCTGTTAGTTGTGTTGCTGTTAGCGGTAGTAGATGCAGTAGCACTGGTGGAATTGTTCCCTCCCTTTCGTTTAACAAACAAGTTCAATAGATTACTCCTTTTGGATGAGTTGGACGTGGTTGAAGACGGCGACAGTGGTGCAGTTGAGTTTATGCCCATTGCAGTATGTGTGTGTGTGTGTGTGTGTGTGTGTGTGTGTGTGTTGGAATGTGTTCTGGTGTGCCGGCTACTGAGTTGCTAGAAAAGATGGGGTATAATTTGGTTGTAAAAATTTAGTGTCGTATATGTGCGGTACAATTGCTCTCTCTCTCTCTCTCCTTTTCTCTCCTTTTCTCTCTCTGACTAAACTAAACTTTTCTTTTTTTAATCGCCTTTATACGACAAACAATTTTACTACTCTTCTGTGTTGTTTGTTTTGAAGTGTTCTATATTTAAACACTCCTCCCTTTCCTGTGTTACTATTTTAAGATTACCCTCAGTTGGCCTTATCTCTCTCCTTCACGATGATGTTTAAACCAGTACAGAGAAATTATGGCTATGTTGGGTTATCGGATGTGAAAGGTTTGCTACAAACCATTCAAAAAAAAAAAAAAGTGTGACAGCAAATCTTTCACTATATATCCACATGCAGAAATTAGTCTACGGTGTATGTGGAAGTTTCGTATGTATAAGGAGCGATGCAGTTCCAAGAAAACTACTGCATTGATAGTAGCTCCAAATTTGCATTACATCCGACCCGTGTCTCTATTTTTTACTCTCTATTCAAAAGACAAGAGATGCCCTCACCGCTAACACTGACAATGGAAAACACGGAATGATAAAAGGAGTTCTAAAGAGCCAAGAACATATTACTTACAAAGAGTGAAGAAGTAAAAGAATAGGAAAACTACGGAACCATGGATTACAGGGTAAACTCCGAAACAAAACACAAAGTACACTTACGGAACAATACAAATTCGATAGAACAATTCGGATTTAACAATTGACGAGGAAAAAAAAAAAAAGAAAAAAGAAAAAAGAAAAACGAAGGAGGCTTTAACTCCGAACGGCACGTCCCAAAAGCCGACCGCCGAAATCTATGCGTATTATGTACTGAACAGTTGCATAATTATGATTGCAAACTTTTCATCAATCTTTGTTGCGTCCACTTGCTTTTGCAACAACAGCCTGTCGTCTTGCCATTTAAGTGTTTTCTTTGCTAAATAGCCCCTCCCTTTTCCCCCCTTTTTCTAGCTTTCTTTTGTTTTTTTTTTTTTTCTTGGTTTGCTATTCTGTCTTTCTCATAACCATCGCCATATACTGTGCAGAAAGTACGAGGCTAAAAATAACTCCTCTTCCCACATTAACACGAAGAGAGGCCCTTTAGTAGCGACCAGACAGTGCGGCTCTCTCAAATGCAGTTGGTTAGCCTCGAGATCCTTCACCAAAACTAGAGCTCTAAATTTAAAGTGAAACTTTAGTCGATATTTGGGTGTTGTGGGAGACGTATCATATGTGCCACTACTTCAAGTTCACTGAGTCGACGTCGTGTTTACGTTTAATACACGGTGCACTCACTTCTCAAGATCGTACGTCGCAAAGTATCAGATCCCCATCGACCCAAAATAAAGCGCTCACTACACGTAAATAGATAGAGAAATATGATGAAATTATACTACTTACACTCATTTCCTATCAAGGCATCAAGTCACAGAGTTACCTGCTGTGTTAACCACCATTGATCCAGTCTGTACTGTGGCCCCTCAAGTTGGCTTCTTCTTCTTTGACCACTCCAAACGCAAAATCAATGAATGGTAACCTTTACCATCCAACAAGTCCAACGCTTTTTGAGCAATTTCTTCAGTAGCAAAACTAACATAAGCAAATCCTCTACTTTCACCGGTTTCCCTATTTCTAACAATAACAACTCTTTCCAATGGTCCAAACCTAGCAAACAATTCATTCCTCAACATATCTTCGTCAACAAAACTGTTCAATTGCGACACCTTCAATGTGGTTGAATCATCTCTTGCTTCTCTAGATGGCAAGTTTCCATTTGCATCTGCTCTCAAGTGTCTTGGAACATATCTGCCTCCACCTGGAGTACCAGCACCAGCACCCGAACCATCTCCACCTATGCCTGCGTCTGTACCTTCTTGGCCTGGCTCTGGTGTGGTTCCAGATGGAGTGATTCCAGCGGCAGCACCCAAGGTATCCTTGAATGGACATTTAGAAGTATAATGATCACCACCACATACCCTACATTTAATACTCTGTATAGAGACAGCTTGTGCTCTTTCTTGTTGTTTGTCTTCTTCTTCCTTCTTTTCTGCTTGTTTCCATGATAAGCCCAATTTCAATTCAACTTTTTCTCCTAATTGTGTAGTACTTGTATCTGGTCCTGGTGGTTTATTCTTTTCTTTACCAAACTTACGCCAGTTTTTACGTTTGGCAATCAAAGGGTGGACTTTCTCTTGTACGACAACTTCCTTGATACGTTGAGTTACTTTGACTTTTTTGCCATCTTGATTGGTTCTGAATGTGATTACCGTCTTGGTGCCATCGGAGTTATTTATGATATCGGGTGGTGCGGAAAATTCATCTCCTGCATCGGCCCATGACTCTATTATTCCAGTTGACATCGTTGTAGTATAAATGTCTTTGACGTTTGATGGATGTGGGGAAAGTCTGCAGCCTTACGATGGTCCTCTTCTGGTCAGCCTTAAAAAAAAAAAAAAAAAAATTTTTTTCCCAAAAAGTTTGTTGCAATTTTCACCAAGACTGCATACAACAAGAAGTTGAGCCACAAGCGGATAGACCAAAACGATATCAGTGTGATCAGTATCAACTAAATTTCTTCAAGAAAGGGACATCCCATAATGTCTACTCACAGTTACGGGGTCCACGAATTGCAGAAAATTAAGATATGGAACTACAATCCTGAAAATAAACACACATACATCTACATTCATGGAGGTGCTTGGAGAGATCCCAACAACACCTATGAGGAATTAGCCCCTGTTGCCGAAACAACCCCAGGGGCCACATTTATCGGCATCAATTATCGATTGACTTCGCTGAAAGTGAAACATCCTGTGCATTTGGCAGATGTAACGAAAGCTATAGTCTACATTGTGACCAAATTCCAACTCCAAGAAATCCATTTGTTGGGCTACTCAGTTGGTGCTACAATGATACTTCAATTGTTACAGTTCAAGTACTATTTCAATGAATCATTCATGTACTATAAATTCTGGATCATGGACAAGGAAACTGCTGGTGAGTCCTATGATGATTCGGTGTTTCTTGAATTGAATGAGATAGAACAAAAGGAAGACTTGATAAACAAGCTTGACAAGTTGATCAAATTGGGCAAATTGACAATTTCATCCATCAAATTCCTCGATGGTATCTACGATTTGCCGAAATTACTTGACGAATACCCGCAATACGCATCTTGGGTGCGTCAAGCTTACCCCGGCCAAAAATTGATTCAACTCACTTCATTGTCGAATATGACTTATCAAACGACGCATGCATTGGCGCCGCTAACTTTCGATAAGTCGACATCAATGATTGATAAGGATGCCAAGTTGTACATTGTCCATTCGTTGCAGGATGAATTGTTGTCGTTGCATCAGACGCGGTTGTTTGAGGACTTCTTGAAGAATACGGTGGGCAAATCGTGTACTGTCTTGACTGGTGATTGGGGGAGACACGATGATATTTACGGCGACTACCGCAAGGAGATATTCTTGTATGGAGAGGAAACAAGCTGATATAGCGGTGGTGTGTATGTCATTAGATGTGTGGTGTTTAGTTACTTTGCTTGAATAATACAAGACGAGATAGAAAAACAATCAATAGATTTTCGCAACTTGATTGTGAAAGCCTCATTGACCATTTTCCTTAACATGTCCGCTTATATCATTCAAATGCACTTCAAATAACCTAGATGTAGATGCGGTTAGTACAACCTCAAATCTCCATTGAAAGAGCTTAACTTCGTTAGCTTATTCGGCTGAAATCTGGCACAAAGAACAAACAGACACGATACACCTTTTGAATAGAAGTGAGGTCGTTGGCAAAAGACCTGGCTCTCCTCGTTACCTCATAAAATCCTATCGCTTTACTGACTGATTCTAAAGAATAAAACATAACATCCTTGCTCTTTGAAAACAACAGATCCACGAAAACAAATCGTCTCCTTCTATACTGTCCTCACATCATTCTTGTTTATCCCACAATACAAAATACACACAAATCTGGTTAAAAATAAAAAATAAAAACGCACACTGAATCACACTCAAAGTGCCAAACAACACGATGAATCCACTAACGAAACAAAGAAAAGGGAAAAGATTACCTTAGAATCTGGTTGGTGACCTTTCTCTATTGTATGATCCTTGTCTGTCACCGTATCCACCTCTACCACCTCTGAATCCGTCTCTGTCTCCGTATCCACCTCTACCTCCTCTGAATCCGTCTCTGTCTCCGTATCCACCTCTACCTCCTCTGAATCCGTCTCTGTCTCCGTATCCACGATCAAATCCACCTCTTCCTCCTCTGAATCCACCGCCACCGTATCCACGATCAAATCCACCTCTTCCTCCTCTGAATCCACCGCCACCGTATCCACGATCAAATCCACCTCTTCCTCCTCTGAATCCACCGCCACCGTATCCACGATCAAATCCACCTCTTCCTCCTCTGAATCCACCGCCACCGTATCCACGATCAAATCCACCTCTTCCTCCTCTAAATCCTCCTCTGCCTCCTCTGAATCCTCCTCTTCTTGGTGGTGGCACATATGGCGAAGTATCTTCCTCGGCCCCAATTGTAACATCACCATAATTCGATTTATCCAACAACGGAATCGCCTTTTCCAAATCCTCACCCGTTTCAAACTCCAAGTTACCGACAGTTTCACCAGAGTCATACTCTCTGAAAACTTTGGCAAAAGTAGGCTCAGAGCCAGTCTTGTCTCTAACGAAATCTTTAACATCTTGCCATGCTGTGCCTTCTGGCAACCCAGTGAGCTTCAATCTGTACTTGCCTCGGTTATCCTCTCTTCTTTCCTTAGCAAACTCAACGAGTAATTGCTCACCTCTGAAATCAGCGCCAGCAAATTTGTCCAACGCCTTACCGGCATCTTCTTCATTTTCAAATGAAACAAAAGCGTACCCTTCCAAAAGACGCACGCCAGTGACCGGTGCTGCGGACGAGAAGAAGTCGGTGACAATGTCTTCGGTCACGTCGTCTCTGACGGGTCTGATGAATAACTGTTTAGTTGGGGCTTGATCCATGATTGGTTATTGAGTTGAAAAAGAGACGTGATGTGTGATGAGGAAAACTTTTCGTCTTCATCTTTCTCCATCTGGGAGAATGTTGTGACTTGCATTTGGTCTAGGGTGCACGCATTTCTCGAAGAACAAAGTTTTACGATTCTAAAGCCACAGTTGACTTCACACCAACCTTGGTCATCGGAATTCTGCCACAACAAGTTTTGAGCTATGTCTAGATCTCAATTATTAGTAAATTTATTAAAACAGGTAAACTATTAAACTTATACAAAAAATAATTAGACACAACGAAACAATGACAACTTAAAGCTCACGACACAATCTTCTTCAAAAACGATCTAAATCCCTTCTTCTTCTTCCCGTTCTCTTCTTGCTTCTTATCGGCTCTCGATTTCTTTACTGGTACATCGCTAGCGGTCTGTCTCTTTGGTTCCTTAGTTGATGATGTTGCTGATTTCGCCGATGTTTTATCTTTAGAAGTGGCACTGAGTATCTCATCTTCAGGAACTTCAACTTTTTCAATCGTGATTGGTCCGTCCACTTGAGCAGCCAATTCAGCCTCTTTTGTCAATCTCTCCTGCTCGGACTTTGTGGGCGTAATCTCTTCAAGTGTGACGTCGTGTCCTTCGGTAGCTTCAATAGCAGCGAGAATTTCTTGCTCATTACCTCTTGCAATGATAATTTCTTCCTCTTCATCCTCGTCATTTACAACGCCAGGTGCTGCTGGTCCACTAACTCTACTCTTTGATACGGCAGTAGCACCAGTAGCACCGCTGGCTACGCCATATGGAGCTTGGTCTTTGGCAACTGGAGAGGCGTTGACTTCCTTACCTTCTCCAGCATCCAAAGTGGAGCCTGTTACTGGTTTGATTTCAGGTTCAGATGCCAACGTTGATGGAGCAGTGGTTCCTGCGGCTGGTTCTTCTTGTCCTGCTTTTGGATCCAATGTCTTTGGAACTTCGTTACCTGTAGCAACAACTGGAGTAGTGGATGTGTATGGGTCAACAGACGTCGATTGCGTAGCATCTTTGGAGGTCGTGTAAGGGCCGTGACTATAATCTCCCCGAGCAACACCATCAGTATGTTGGTTTGATTCTGAAGCTAAAGCTGATCCTAATCCAGCACCACCAAGACCTCCCAAGACTCCGGCACCCAAGGCTTTTGCAGTTGAGTGATCACTCTTTTCTTGTTCTGGTTCTGCTTGTGCATCTTTAGAAGATGTGACAGCGTCATTTGTGCCAACAACACCAGGTGCAGTTACATCCTTGCTAGTTGGAGCTTCATATTCGTCACGGACTTCCTTGTTGATTTTGTCATTGTCGGCAGCTTCTTTCTTCAAAAGATCTGGAGTGACTTTGGTATTGTCGTTTAAGTACTCGTGGCCAGAAGTTTCGTTCCCAGTCTCAATGGCTGTTGGAATAGAAACATATTTAGCATCTTTGGAAGCAGTGTTGGAATCGGTACCTTGATCGATTTCAGTTGTATCCTTCTTTGGTTTAGCTTTGTATTGGACTCTCTTGACCTTTTTCAAGTTATCTCCTCCACTTGTTGATGGAACCGAGGATGATTCAGCTGCACTAGTGCCAGCTGCGGCTTCACTGTCAGCTCCAGCTCCAATTGCACCAGCTCCAATTGCACCAGCACCGACTCCGGCAGCGCCGGCAGCGGCAAGAACTGCGGCAATGTCTGCATCCGAATGCTCCTTGGCCGCAGTAGCACCTGTAGTACTAGAATACTCAGGTTGCTTTGATGTGCTGACATCTTTCGGTTCAGAAGACACGGCACCACCTGTAGCAGTTGAGTGGTTCTTAGACCCAGTAGAACCGGCAAGGCCAGCTCCAGTTCCTGCAGCGCCGGCAGCGGCAAGAACTGCAGCAATATCTGCATCTGAATGCTCCTTGCCCGCAGTAGCAGCATCAGCAGTCGTTGAGTCTTTGTGTTCTTCTGTTGCACTCAAATCCTTTGAGTCTGAAGGCACGGCATCACCTGCTGTACCAACTTCCTTAACATCCTTATTCAATGTTGTAGGATCGGTTGATTCGTATTGATCGAAAACAGCCAACTGTTCCTCGTCTTTAGGAATGTGAATACCTGGTTCTCCGGTTAAGCTTGTTTGATGTGGTTCTTCTTTGGGTAAAACTGTGGATTTATAGTCTGAGGATCCAGCTGGTGCTGCGGTGACATCTGTAGATGTGTCCTTATTGGTGATATCCTTTCTATCTAATGCACCTGTAGTAGATTGGTGATTGTGATTGGAAATCAAGCCAGATTCTGGAATCAACGCTCCAGGTATAGTCACCAACTCCTGTAAATCTTCAGAATCCAAGACATTGTTTTCATTTCCTTCAAAGTCTTTGGTGATCTTCTCATCTGGGTTAACCCTCCAAGTACCGTCTACGATGTACTTGTACAAGATTGGTTCCTTTTGGACTGGTAATGGCACTTGTAAAGTAAAGGAACCGTCAGCATGTTTGAAAAGAGGGGTAGATTTAGACCAATTGTCTATTGTTCCTGTGACAATAACCTCTTCTGGACCTTTGGGCCTACAATCGGACGTTAGTAATGAATTGTTCCTCATTTGTAATTTTTTGTTATTGTGCGTTTGTATTTGTTATCTCCGTCGAAAATGGCAGTCATCGAGCAGGGGCAGATGAACAAAAGCTTGCTTCCCTTACTTCACATCATCCTGCACAACTGAAATCACAATATGTAGTGAGTCAGTCGGTCAATTGATTATCCCCGAAGCTCAATGTCTTCAAAATATGTGGTCAGTTGATCGTGTGCCCATGCCCAACAACTGTCTTCAATCAAGGGAAAAAATTAAGGACAATTTGCATGACGACACCGACCAACTTACATAGTTGAAAAGAAAAAAAAAAAAAAAAAAAAAGGAAGCCACACCTATGGGAACAACACTTTCAGCAGAGTGCCATTGGTTTTCAATTGAGAAACAACAAAGATATGTTGATTGTGATTGTAAGGACATACCATTTGAATTCGTAGTGAGCTGACATTTTGTTACCTGTGTAAAAAAAATGAATTTGGAAAACGCAATTGCTGTTGCTGTTGCTGTAGTTGTTGTAGTTGTTGTTGTTGTTCGTTCAAAGAAGTTGCGTGTAATTTTATTAATGGAAAATTCTAAGGAAAGAAGAAGAAGTCTCTCTCTTTATATAAAGATGATTGATGAAAATAGAGTGATGACAGCAATTGAATGTAAGAAAAAAACAAAAGATTTGATAATTACACAAATCATTCAAAATAAAACATATTGCGTCACACAATGTTATATTTATAAACATTCACGAGGATTTAAATACACTCACACTCAAGTGATGCTTTAGGTCTCCCTCCACAATCTTAAACTTAAGTGAACATATCATCCTTGGTGGGCAGACACTAGTATTTACGTACCTATCTGGGGCCTGTGTGTTGCAGGAGGGTAAATTGAAACTGTGTTGTAAACAAATTCTTCAAAATTCCCCCGAATTTAGTCTCGAATTAATGCAAAAAAATCTTACACCAAATAACCTGTCCCGTACTGTATTTACCACTCTTATCGAAAATCAGCCTGTACAAAGCTAAGGAACCACCATTTTCAGTGCATTCTCAAGGGGTACAAGGACTCTAGAATAACCTCACTCTCAGGGTAGCGCCATGCCATTCCTTCACGAAATCGAGTAGTTTAACAACAGTTTCAGTCACAGGGATATGCTTATGAGATTAGTTACTTTAAGATATACTGAGCAGAATAAACAAGTTGTGGGTAACCTTCTCTACATCGTTGTGAGTCCTTCCTTTAACTACTTAGATTTTTGTTACTTTGTTTGATTAATCCCAATTAGGAAATACTGTCGACTAATCTGGAAAAAAAGAAAAAGCTTCTTTCTCAACACAAAAGAAGCGGCTCTCCCCACGCACAAAGTGTTAAATTAAATTTATTTTTCTATCGTCAAAACATTCATCTTTACTTACCCTAAACACTCTTACATCCGTGCTACCCCTTTTCAATTCTCAGTTCTCTAATCACTGGCATCCAACCCAGTATCGTCATAATCAATCTCTTCTCTCGAATCATCGTAAAATTGACGTCCCAACTGACTCTGATCATAAACAATTGTATTTGACTTGTTTAAATCACCAAAATAACTCAAGAGTATAGGCAACAACACCAATGCATGCACGGCTGATATAAGAATCAACAGGAACCACATTCTGAAATAGTACACTTCAAATATCCTTGATCTTGTGAATGCTAAAATCGATATACCAATCAATTTTGTAAAAGTTACACCACCAACAATGGACCCACCCACAGTAACAATGGAATTGAATGCCTTCAGATACCGGACCTTGGCATTCAACTCTTGCGTAGAGGCTGAAGTTGAAGAGTTGACACTGTTGTAATTGATAAAATGGTCGTAAATCGTATCTTCGTTCTCATCCTCAAATATGGATACTTTCGACACAGTGTATGCTCGAGTTAAATGAATAGTAAACTCAACCGCTAACCCACAACAAATGACCAAATTCACCAACGTCACCGCATTCAATGAAATATTCCATACTGCCAATACCCCACCTATATTTATCATGATGGAAGATATGGTGATGGTCATAACCGTACTTGATCTAATGGACCCCAACAATACAGTACACACAATCCAAATAATGGCAATTGCACCCACAACAAGACTAAATGTCAAACCAACAACGTTCAAATACTGCACAAAGAAAATATAAAATGGCGACCAGCTGAAAATATCCAACCCGGGAATCAATTGCCTAATTTCATCAACGATCCGTATCGAATTACGATAAGCAGCTATGAAATCATCTTGTGACCGTAGCGGAGTATGCGAAGTCCGGAAATAGCTAGCATCTATCTTACCTTCGGTTCTCGATATACTGTTTCCATATGGTGCTTTGCCCCCCATCGGACATGGGTCGCTGGGTTCTTGTATCCATTGGTTAAAGTAAAACATAAAATCGTTGCCCTCAGGGAACCCATTCATACTAGCATCATATGGTGGGTCATGGTTAGCAAAACATGTTTGACACTGACGGTCTGGATCGTGCGGTGCACAGAATTGGGGCAAAGTGGATGACGTTGCTTCTTCAAAAGCTGAAAGCGAGAACGAGAGAGACAGCTTTTTGAAACGGCAGCATTGATCCAAGTCTGGATTGAGCCATGTGAGGAAATCGTCCAACCAGTTGCTTGTTGGCTCAGCAATCATTGACTTCTTCAGTCTCTTAAACTCTTGCTCCAATATATTCGCCAAGGAAAACTCATCACACGTGGCAAACCGACCACAAATTTGCTGCTGTTGTACACGCTGTGTCACATCCAAATCCTTTACAACGAAAAACACCGGTGGCCCGGAGTTGAAATAGTCATAGACTGAGTTGAAGTAATCGACGAGGTATGAGTCTTTTGGAATTGCAATCCTTTGATCGAGTCCAAAATTGATTCCGGGGAACAAACTTAGGGAAATACCAAGCCAAAGCATGAAAAAAGTCAATATTTTGGGGCGGGTAGTTTTGCCCAATATAAAAGGGGCGTATTTTTTCTTAATCCAATGGGAAAAATCGTACTCGAGGTGCTTTTCCCCAACTTCTGAATCATCATCTTCTTCTTCTTCCTCCAACTGTACATGCGTTGACAATTTGATACATGGAATACAGTCGACTCTATTCTCTTCCAATCGTTTTTGGTCCAAGGCCAACAATGCAACAAAGCACGTCATTTGTAACACAAAGTTGATTGCAACTGCACCAGCACTATATATGGCAAAGTTCTTTACGGCGGGCATATCGACAAATGTAGCCAAGATAAACATTGAAATTTGTAAAATGGCACTAATGAAGCACGATGGCCCAATGTTTCTCATTGCAAAAGATATTCTCAATGTCAAATCCAAGCCAGGTTCATGTTCGGTTATCTTGTGGAGTTCATGGACAATGAGGAAAATGTTGTCAATTCCAATTGCCAACACGAGGAATGGAATCACTTCAGCAATGATCAAGGTTGATTTTAACCCCACCATGGAGAAAAGCCCTACTGATGAAGTGACCGAGAGTAAAATGATGATTATCCCACTCAAGCCCAACATGAATCTGGACTTCACTAACGATTTTAGTGATTTTGTAGGTAATTTCCCACCGAGTGCCAACGATGCGTATATAAACATTACCACGTATGAAATGACAATTATCCTGATATCGGTGTTTGACGATTGATTGAGTTCCTCAGTGAGTGAGACCTCCGTGCTGAAGGCGACATTCAAACCCAAGTTATTGTATTGCAATTGTCCTGCCCAAGCTTGGAATGAGTGTTCGTACGACACAATGTCATCAATCAATGTAGAATTTGAAGAGTTGTTTTCAACCAAAACAGTCACGGTAAATGCAGTAGCTTTTGAAATGTCGGAGTCATCAAACAATAATGCAGGTTTCAAAGGTTGCTGAAATGAGGGAAGACAGTTAACTGGCGAGTCGGCGCAGTTTTGCAATTTACGAGCCCAAGTTTCTTCACTCAATTGATCTATATCTCCATGAAAGTACTGTGTAAAAGACTCAATTGCACATGAATCTCCCAATGGTTTGAAGCAAATGTCAGAAAGACGGGTTTTAGGATTCAAGTTATCTAGTATCAGTTCCTGGAGGAACCACCATTTAATCGTATCCCAGTTAAAAATGGGCTCACCGTTGTTGGTGCTGACAATTACTTGCTCGATTCTAAACCATTCACCAAAGTTGGATTCAAAGTATTGTTGATTTATATAAGCTGGTTCATTGGGGCTGACCCAAAGGTTGATCGGATTCGTTTCAATATTGAGTTTCACCATACCAAGCGATAACAATACAAACACAACCACCGAAGTACCGATTGTGATACCGGGAAACGTTGAGCAAAACTTGGCCAATTTTTCAAAACCGTCTTGAACTTGTGAATTCAAGTTGTCGGAAAACCGACGCACAATAGGTTTGCGAACGGTTACATAATTCAAAGGACTGATAATCTCATCATTGTCTTCATCCTCATACGACCCACGTCTTCTGAACTCACGTTTGGCGTTTGCCAAGTAGATGTGATAGCCACCAAGTAACAAAATCAAGCATACTAAAACCATCCAAACGGAAAAAGTGAAGCATGGAACTACCCCAACTGTACATTTTTTGCTCAAGTTCTTGGCATGTGGGAGTTTTGGACACGATGATTGACAATCGGTGCAAGCACACTTGTACTCGTCGTCACTACAAGAATACATCTTGTCAGTTCTCAATTTCAATCCCTGTTTTTCTTGTTCTTTATCCAATCCATATTTGAAATTGATTTGATATGGCGAGCCACCAAGCAACGGTTTTTCATCTCCCAAGAATTTCAAAAACTGAGTGTAGTTTTTAGCTCCGCCACCAATCAAGTCCATTGCAAAGCCATTGGTGGCCAGAAATTTCACCTCTTTGCAAGAATCGAAAAATTGTTCAGCCAATTCTGGCGAAACGTATTGATTAATTTCAGTGACAATCTCCTTCCCTGTGTCTTTAGCTAGTTCAGTCTTTACAATTTCAACAAAAGTAGATTCGTTGGGTGAACAGCTAAACTGACAAAAGAAATCGTAGAAATTCTTGTAACACGCGGGGCACGATGAGATGATCGCATCGACTCGTTTCAAGTTTGATTCAAGTTCGTCAATTTGATCCGGTGAACAGCAAACGTATTCGAAATCCGTCCCACAAATTTTTTGCAACTTGTCTCGTGACTCCTTACTTGGTTTGGTTGCTGGAACAAAATTAGCGCACGGCAACTGTTTGCCAAAAATCGATTTCTTACCACAATTGTCGTATGTGTTGCAGTAGCCTGTCAAGTGGTTGAGACCAGCAAGTACAGATGTGAGATGTAGAAGTGCAATGCATATGCTTAGGAGATGATACATTGCTTGTGAAACATAAGGCAGTAATAGTGAAAAGAAATGGGGGAGGGGGAGGGGGCGGCAGTCAGCGGTGATCGGGCTTTTACCCTTTTTTACTTTTTTCTCTTGCTAGCCTCTGGTCTCTCTGTTCTCACTTTTTAGAAAACATCAGTGTCGTAAAAAACTGTTTTTGACACATTGTCATAAAACACACGTTTGTGACACTCCCGCCTTGGAGAATTTAAATTTTTCACAAAACATTTTGGTCTGTCATTTTCTATTGTAGAAGATCTTTCGCTCCAAAGGCGGGATCAAGAAAATTTTTTGCAATAATTTCCCAACTTTCATCCTTGCCCCCTTCCTTCCTAACTTTTCTTTTTCCACTTATCAGTAAAAGTGTGATCAGACAATGTTGATTGGTATTTCAGGGACCCTTAGTTCGGGAAAAACAGAAGTGGCGCGGTACTTGACTTTCCAAGGGTTCAAAGTATTGCATTATCAACCCCACGCACCGGAATTACCAAATGAACTCAATGTGTGCACGCCTGAATCAGAGGATATAAATTATGAAATGGAACAACTTGCGATAAAGCTGTATTCTAATATGGAGAATTTCAAGGTGTTCAAAACGTTGGACAGTTTGATGGAGTTTGTCACTGTCAATTGGAGAGATAATTATGTCATTTCTCATATTGAGGATATCAATGTCTTGAAAGCGTTGCAAAAGCGGCCATTTTTCCTTCATATATCAATTGATGCGCCATTGAGTGTGAGGTACAAGAGATATGCCAAGAAGAAGCAGACTTTGGATGAGTTCGTCAAACACAACGATGACATTTTGTTCAACCCGGAATCTCCTTTACTTGAAATTAATAATCAGGCACAGGTTAAGATTATTAACACGTCGACTTCCATCAAGGACTTGTTCATCAAATTGTCTGAATTAAACTTGCTTGATCCGTCGAGATTGCGGCCCAATTGGGATTCATACTTTATGCGACTTGCCGATTTGGCTGCTCTACGCTCAAATTGCATGAAGCGTAGAGTAGGATGTGTTATTGTTCGAGAAAATCGTGTTGTTGCCACGGGATACAATGGAACTCCAAGACATTTGACCAATTGTAACCAAGGCGGGTGTCCTCGTTGTAACAAGGGCCATGGAAGTGGTGCTTCCTTATCGACTTGTCTTTGTTTGCACGCTGAAGAAAATGCCTTGTTGGAAGCTGGCAGGGATCGGATTAGAGGTGAAAGTGTATTGTACTGCAACACATGCCCATGCTTGACTTGTTCTATAAAGATTGTCCAGAGTGGGATTCGAGAAGTTGTGTACGCCCAGAGTTACTCCATGGATAAGGATAGTCACCGTGTCATGAGTGAAGCAAACATTATAATACGACAATACCAACCACCAGTAGACGGAATATTCATATAGATTGATTAGGATAATTTTTTGCATATAGAGAAGGGATAGCATATTATGTTTCTTTATACACATAGTACCCAGGCTTGGTCTCGGCACTGATCTTGATAGATTCAATAATGTTTTCCCCAACGCTCAATGTAGCTTCAACTACATCACCATCAACAATTGGACCAACACCTTTAGGTGTTCCCGTCAAGATCAAGTCGCCCTTTTCCAAAGTCATAATGTTTGACATGTAACTCAAGATCTTGTGTATTGGGAATATCATCAAATCAGACCGATCCTTCTGTTTAACGTCGCCATTGATGGTCAATTTCAACTCCACATCATATGGATCAGGTATCTTTTCCTTTGGAATGAAACCTGACACTGGCAAAAAGGTATCAAATCCTTTCCCAATCGACCAAGGCAACCCCTTTTTCTTTGCTTCATCTTGCACATTTCTTGCAGTCATATCAATTGTCAATGCATATCCTTCAATACTATCGAGTGCATCCTGGGCCGAGAATGTATCTGGCAAATTCTTCAACTCACGATTCAAAGTGAATGCCAATTCAACTTCATGGTGGACAACCGTACCTTTTGGAATTAAAAATGGGCCTGCGTTTGGCTTCAACACGGCTGAAGAAGGTTTGAGGAAAAAGAATGGCTGTTGGGGTTTAGCACTGTTCAATTCCTTGATATGGGCAGCATAATTACGGCCGATACAGAGTATCTTTCTAGCGTTGTCGATATACTTCAATGACATACTGTTAGTGTGAGCTTGGAGATGTATAGCAGGAGGTTTTAATGTTTTCGTCGAGGAATGGTTTTCGGGGACTTCATAATTTTTCGGAGATCTTTCAACTCTTTATTGAGTGGAGGTGCAAAAAAAAAGAAAATTTTAAAATTTTCTTCCCCCACACCCGTGTGGCTTACTGCGTAGGCGACTACGGCGATTTACTGAAATGAGAGGATATACTAGAGCACCAGGACAAGTCAGCGTTTACCGCCAGCGTAGTGAGAAAACAGTGCGCTTGTGCGTCACGGGCGTCGTACGCGATGAATCTCGATGCTTTAATGGATCGGACCCATTTCCACACGACAGCTACCACACAAATCAGTTTTGAAAAATTTAAGCGCATCCATCTCTCTCCGTCGCTCAAATGGGTAGAAAGCGAAGCTGACTATACCATACCCGCCACACATGGCACGAGCAGCTTTAAAATTACTACGAATAGTACAGGCTCGAAAACATAGCACGTATTCACACCCAGCACCATTCTATCCCAAGTTCAACACACACGCTTTGCCATATGATCCTCAAGAGCCGAGAAACCTTCTTCCGTGCGAGCAAAACTACATTCAACCGCAACCAAAACTTAATGACAATATAATAGTGGCGATGTCTTCTGGAGTCGACTCTTCAGTGTGCGCCGCTCTATACTCCAAGTACCCGAATGTTAAAGGGATATACATGTCAAACTGGTCTCAAACTGCCACATGCACTGAGCGAGAGTGGAAAGATGTCAAACAAGTGTGCCATAAGTTGGGCATACCATGTGAACGAGTTAACTTTGAGTCCGACTATTGGAACAATGTTTTTGCTCCCATGGTTGAGAAATATCGTGCTGGTTTAACTCCAAACCCCGATGTCGGGTGTAACAAATATGTTAAATTTGGTAAATTGGCTCATTATTTGAATGACAAGTATGGCGATGGCTGGTGGTTAGTCACGGGCCACTATGCGCGTGTGATGCAAAATGCCGCTGGCGAGTACCATCTACTTCGCGGGTTGAGTACTCGTAAAGATCAGTCATATTATCTTTCCTCGATCCCGTCAAACATCCTCAGCAAAGTGATTCTTCCAATGGGCCACTATTTAAAATCTGAAACGAGGGAAATTGCCAAGCAATTTGATCTTCACGTAAAGAACAAACCGGATTCACAAGGACTTTGTTTTGTCAATCCCAACCAATCAAATTTCCGAGATTTTCTCAATGAGTATATCGAACCTAATCCCGGTGACATTGTGACTGAGGATGGCAAAGTATGGGGTCATCATCAGGGGCTATGGCATGCTACAATTGGGCAGAAATCAAGTGTGTCGATGCCCCAGGGTGATCCAAATTACAAGGGTGTATGGTTTGTTGCTGAAAAGAATATTGACAAGAATCAATTGATTATAGTTAGGGGCCATGATAATCCAAAGCTATACAAGTCAAGGGTTGTTGTTAGTGATATTGATTGGGTTTATGATGTAGCGAAAGTTATGGCACTTGATGCCAATGAGGTTGAATTTCAACAACACTCGTTGTCGACACCTACAAGAGTAAAACTGTGGAATTTGAACAGTGATAGTGTTGGAAAGTTGGAATTGGAGTTGGAGTTGGAGTTGATTGACAGTGTGAGGGCTTTAGCACCTGGACAAGCTGGGGTTCTTTACCATGGTAAGCAAGTTTTAGGCGGTGGGGTAATTTCAAAAACGGATACGTAGTGGACAGTTTACAATTTGTATATATATAAGTATGGAAGTTTCCATTTGTCACCTTGGCTTTCTTTGAGCAAAATGGATCCATTGAAGTGTGGGTAGTCTGAAGTTGAAAATGGTTGGAGTTCCCCTAACTACTTCGAGAAATGCATGTACCTGGCACAAAAAAAAAGTGAGACACGTTTTTGTCTTTAGATGGAGAAAGATGAAGACGAAAAGTTTTCCTCATCACACATCACGTCTCTTTTTCAACTCAATAACCAATCATGGATCAAGCCCCAACTAAACAGTTATTCATCAGACCCGTCAGAGACGACGTGACCGAAGACATTGTCACCGACTTCTTCTCGTCCGCAGCACCGGTCACTGGCGTGCGTCTTTTGGAAGGGTACGCTTTTGTTTCATTTGAAAATGAAGAAGATGCCGGTAAGGCGTTGGACAAATTTGCTGGCGCTGATTTCAGAGGTGAGCAATTACTCGTTGAGTTTGCTAAGGAAAGAAGAGAGGATAACCGAGGCAAGTACAGATTGAAGCTCACTGGGTTGCCAGAAGGCACAGCATGGCAAGATGTTAAAGATTTCGTTAGAGACAAGACTGGCTCTGAGCCTACTTTTGCCAAAGTTTTCAGAGAGTATGACTCTGGTGAAACTGTCGGTAACTTGGAGTTTGAAACGGGTGAGGATTTGGAAAAGGCGATTCCGTTGTTGGATAAATCGAATTATGGTGATGTTACAATTGGGGCCGAGGAAGATACTTCGCCATATGTGCCACCACCAAGAAGAGGAGGATTCAGAGGAGGCAGAGGAGGATTTAGAGGAGGAAGAGGTGGATTTGATCGTGGATACGGTGGCGGTGGATTCAGAGGAGGAAGAGGTGGATTTGATCGTGGATACGGTGGCGGTGGATTCAGAGGAGGAAGAGGTGGATTTGATCGTGGATACGGAGACAGAGACGGATTCAGAGGAGGTAGAGGTGGATACGGAGACAGAGACGGATTCAGAGGAGGTAGAGGTGGATACGGAGACAGAGACGGATTCAGAGGAGGTAGAGGTGGATACGGAGACAGAGACGGATTCAGAGGTGGTAGAGGTGGATACGGTGACAGACAAGGATCATACAATAGAGAAAGGTCACCAACCAGATTCTAAGGTAATCTTTTCCCTTTTCTTTGTTTCGTTAGTGGATTCATCGTGTTGTTTGGCACTTTGAGTGTGATTCAGTGTGCGTTTTTATTTTTTATTTTTAACCAGATTTGTGTGTATTTTGTATTGTGGGATAAACAAGAATGATGTGAGGACAGTATAGAAGGAGACGATTTGTTTTCGTGGATCTGTTGTTTTCAAAGAGCAAGGATGTTATGTTTTATTCTTTAGAATCAGTCAGTAAAGCGATAGGATTTTATGAGGTAACGAGGAGAGCCAGGTCTTTTGCCAACGACCTCACTTCTATTCAAAAGGTGTATCGTGTCTGTTTGTTCTTTGTGCCAGATTTCAGCCGAATAAGCTAACGAAGTTAAGCTCTTTCAATGGAGATTTGAGGTTGTACTAACCGCATCTACATCTAGGTTATTTGAAGTGCATTTGAATGATATAAGCGGACATGTTAAGGAAAATGGTCAATGAGGCTTTCACAATCAAGTTGCGAAAATCTATTGATTGTTTTTCTATCTCGTCTTGTATCATTCATAAACACATGCATCAACCAGAGTTAAGTCGAAATATAACAGGATAACAAATGTAGTATATTGTACATGGTATAAACCTAAAAACAAAGAAGAAAAAAAAACACACACTAATAAAGGAAAGTCATTGTTAAAGAAGATTTAGAATGGAAATACATCATAATTTGAAATAAAGAACAAAAATCAACTACCCACCGACAAAAAACAAACATCACATTTAGCAGCAACAAAGTGTAAAATTCACGACACAGCATCACACACACCCCACAAACTAACGAACTAAAGTTGAAAAAAACATTCACGACATCAAGTCATTTCCCCCGGGATATAAACAAACTAATTATAAAAAGCGTTGGGAATTTAGAAAGCGGTAATAGTGGGATACAACTTGTTTCCATCATAGATCGAGTCACTGTTCAATTCATCATCTTGCTTCGTCTCGTTCCCTTGCTGCTGTTGTTGCTGCTGCTGTTGGTCCTTGATTTGTTGCTTCAACACTTCGACAACATGGTGAATCAAAGCTCTGTGTCTTGCGACATCCTTGAGATTGTATCCATCCACAACCACAGCTTCTTCATCTTGCTCCACTTGCTTATGGTCTCCGCCATTCAAGTCCAACTTGTCAAACAAGGAATCAATTTCTTCGTCATCCTCAGAGTACTCATCAGAAGACACCTCACTAGAATCATCTTCATCATAGTCTTCTTCGTCTTCTTCATCCTCCTCCTTGTCCATCTTCTGACCTGCTTTTTGATAAATGGAAACACCATTAAACTCCAAGCCATTGACATGTGCTTGCTGCTGTCCATAAGACAAGTTGTAGCCCACAGGCCTGTTGATTTGTGGGTAAGATGACAAGTAACCAGTCGGGGCTGCTGACGACGCAGATGCAGCAGTGGTGCCACCTCCCATCAACACGTGGTCCTTGGATCCATGTGACGTTGATGATGTTGTTGTTTTGGTTGATGGCAATACTGGCAATGCAGGGTAAATGTGGGACGACGTACTGTGAGAATTGGTAGTGGCGTTACTGCTGCTGCTACTGCCAACTGATTGACTTCCATGAGAAGGAGCATGTGCATGGGTATGACTGTGAGTGTGATGTTGTTGTTGCTGTTGATATTGTGAAGACAAGTTATGATATTGCATGTCGATAGAGTTTGACAACGAGTTGAAAAACTTTTCAGCTTCGTATATGTTGCTGTTGTTTGCTGTGTGGGTATACGATGGATGTGAATGTTGATGTTGATGTTGCTGGTGTTGTTGGTGTTGTGACTGTTCTTGTTGTACACTGCCATGAGGTGTGTGGTGTAATTGGTCATCCAAATGGTTCAATCTGTTGAACATGTCAATATTGTATTCCGAATTTGGCTTCATTCTCTTTGCATCAGAGTACTGACCATGTCCTTGTTGTTGTTGCAGCTGGTGCGTGTATCCACCATTGTTTCCATTTGGATGAACTTGTTGGAAATTGAAGTCATTCAATATACTATTCACAACATACATGTTGTGTTGTGAGTTATTTTCAAATCTTCTCTTTCTTGATTCTTCATCGTATCCATTAGTTGCAGTACCAGCACCCATGGCAGTGGCATAATAAGGTAAATCACCGTTTGCTTTATTCAACTTCAACTGTTGTTTAGCTTCTCTTTGCTGTTGCTTCAACAATTGTCTCTGAGCCTTCTTCAACTTCTTTGGGTGATCATCGGCATGAATCTTGGAATGCTTCTTCAAATCTTGTGGTCTCTTGAATGATTTAGGACACAAGTCACAATGGAACGGTTTCAATGGGACATGAACACGTAAATGAGAAGTAATGTGGTCTCTCTTAACGGTGGTAGTTCCACATTTTTCCCAATAACAAGTCAAGCTCAAGTTATTTGACGACTTTCTACCGACATGGTCATCACATAAATGGTCATACAATGCTTCAGGAGCATCAAATACGATACCACAGTCGCCCCATAAACATTTGAATGGACCACGTAAATCAGCCTCTGTAATCTTCTTGTAAGTCTTTTTGGTTGGTTTAGATGTTGAGTAAGCGTTGAAAGTAGAACCCATCTTTGCAGAATCATTGCTCAATTGTGATGATACTCCTGCTTGTAAAGTAGAACCTCCATTATTCAAATAAGTAGGGTGATAGTGGTGTTCAACAGTAGACAAGTCTTGGTAAGCGCCGATTGGATGGAATTGTTGAGCTGGATGTTGGTGCTGTTGTTGTTGCTGTTGCTGTTGCTGTTGTTGGTGGTAAAAAGCATGGCTGTTGTAAAGTGGGTTCAAACTTGGGTGCAATTGTGTTGGTTGATGAGGCATGACTGAAGTCATTGATAAACCACCGGAGGCAGTAGTTGTAGTGGAAGCAGTTGCAGGGGCAGTTGCAGGGGCAGGGGCAGCAGGGGCAGCAGGGGCAGCAGCAGTGGAGGTGGACACAGAAGCCGTACCATTTGCCAAAGCTGAGGAAATATGATTATTAGTAGATACTACTGGTACTGTAGCATTTACTTCTGCACTAGTAACATCCAATACAGCATCTGCGTGGACATTGGCACCTGAAATTGTAGTTGGTTGTTGTTGCTGTTGCCTACTCCTCTTTACATCAACATCCATTGGTGAGTTAGCCAAAGAGTGTGAAGTGAAGGAAGAATGAGGCGATCCGTTGACATGATTAGTTCTTGGTGAATGTGATGAAGTTATTGAAGAAGGAGATGTGACATTTTCCATATCCAAGTCTGCAGATGGTGACTTCTTAGTGGTGATGCTGTTTCCACGAGACAGTTGTTGGGATTGTTGCTGTTGCTGTTGTTGCTGTTGTTGTTGTTGAGGAGGAGTTTTATCTGATACTCCATTACTGCTGTTGTCGTTGATGATGTTATAGCTGTCTGCATTCAAGTATGATACAGGATGTACGTTGTAATTCATTATGTATGTAAATGTGTGTCTTGTAGTTTGTAGATATCACTGTTGTTATTGTTGATGTCGTTATAGAAAGTAAAAGAAAGTCTGATACTAAGTGAAACAGTGGAATAGCGCAAAAAAAAAAAAAAAGTGGAATGGTTATTATATATATATATATATATATATGCATTTAACGATATTCTTTGTTTGTGTTTCTCTTACTCTCTCTCTCTTTCTCTCTCTCTCATGAAATTTACTCTTTACTTTATTTTACTTTATTTTAGTCTTTATTGTTTTAACTACAACTTGCGTAGACTGGTTCACCTTCAACTGTGCCTACGCAGGATATTGCCATTGGTGTATTGTATCTGAGCTTAGTCTGTTAGTCCCTAATTAAGTAATTACACACGCGTAGGCACACGTGGACTCAATCCCCACTCTATCTCTCCCTTCCCCTGTAAGTCAAATATACTTCCAGTAGTGTACTACTGCTCAATGCCAAGAGAAAAAGAACAAAATAAAAAAAATATAAATCATTTGGTGTGAATTTCTTTTTTTCTTTTTTTCTTTTTTTTTTTTCTTGTCATTTCTAAAGACATGTAATTTTTCTTAGCACTCTCTTTAACAACAATCATTAGAATAGCTTAGTGGGCTGTGTTGTGCTAGAGCAAGGAATAGAAGCAGTGACCACCTCATCACTTTATTGGCTCGAATGTTTTCTTCCAGTTTAACTAGACTTGTATTTCAACAACATTGTCCCCCATTACCTTGAATTGCGCTCTCTCTCTCATTTTGTTTATCGCAAATTTAAAAATGATTGTGTGTGTGTGGGTGTGTGTGTCGGTCGTAATTCTTTCTGTTTGTAACGTGGTCCTTATTTTTTTTTGGTACATTATACACTACTTCATACACACCTTTACATCAATAGACAAGAAAAACTTTTGTAAAGGTGTGTTTTTATTTTTTTATCTTTATTTTTTATCTTTATGCAGGCTTTTAAGTTCCGCATAACGACATCCATTTTGGCATGTGTGAGTGTTTCACTGGAGTAGAGCAAAGGGTGCTTGAAATATAGACTGTACAAACCAAATATCTGTTCGACTTGACTACGTATGAGTATCGATTGTTGCGAGTCTGTTATCCAATAGTTGTCGCGGAAATTCTATTCCAAGCATACTTTAAACTTTTTCTGGAACTGCATCTCTCAGGCAGCACCCGAATGTAAGGTTTCTTAATTAAGACAATTTTGACAAATTGAAGATTTACTGTTTATGACAGACCATATTTCATGATTGAATTCCCGCCCACCCCCTATTCAGTCTCACTCACTTGGCCACACCTTTTATATAGTGACATCATTTTTTAGTCCAAACTCAATTTATTAATTTTTTGTATTCATACGGAGAAAAAGAGAGATAACTGACAGATTAGCGTCACTACAGTTTGTGTTTGTGCTGCAACTCGTGCAAACACTAAACTTTTTTCTCTGTTTCGCTTAACGCGGGGTGGAGTGGGGTGGGGTGGTATAGTGTGGTGTGCAAAACACGCCGCCGTTCTTTCTTTACCTCAACGCCAACTGAAACGTCTTCTTTCTGTCTCTTCATTCACGATTATATATGTCAACAACCCTTCTTTCTCCATCGTTCTCAAACTGCTGCTTCTGTTCCAAAATTTTGCTCCTTAGAGACAATAATGTTATCAAACACCATAATAATTTTCAAGCACCATTGGTCTGGCATTTTTGTTTTGTTTGGTCTTTTTTTCTTGGTGTTTCTTTTACCCTCTGTTTACCCTACCTTGCACTTAAGGTTATTCTCTTTTGAATTCATACAAATCTCACTCTCCTCTCTTTTTATCCCTTCCTTTATTTTCGAATTTTGCTTCGATTTGTTGAGTTTATTTTGCTCGGTGTCGAATCCTCAAAATCGTTTTGTGTTTTGACTACTTGCTTTCGATATTCTTGGCTTATCAATCTCCAATGTTGTTAATCTCTGTAAGCTGTAATGCAATGATTAGGGGAGGGAGGGGGTGAACAGATTTGTGAAGTATGCTGTCCGCGCTGATGTGACTGAGGTGGCTAATGCTTTTTGCACTTCGCTCTTTATCTCCTTCTTTAGATTGCCTGATTTGTTTGTGAAGTATGCTGCAACAATCAATGTGATTCTGCACGATTATGTCTTAATAAGGTGCCGCCTATACAGATACGAAGAAAAACAGCCCCTAGATTTCGCCGTATGACATCATATTCAGTTAAAATTGAAGGCTCACAGAAGTTCTTCACAAGAGATGCCCATGTATAGATACTAAATTAGAGTCCTTGTTCATCCTACCAAAACTATGCAAAGAATAAACAAATACACCTTTCCAAGGGCGCAAAATTTGTTCCACGTGTAATTTGCCTCTGACCTCAATGCTTCACCATTGTCATCATCAACAACACCGTCGTGATTATCTTTGTTGTCACCCACTTCTGACCAAGAGTGTTGTTTCTTCAGCTTAAACTTATTCTTTTCCTTTACCAACTCCATTTCAGCGGACAGTTCACGTTCTGCTTGAGCAATACCAACAACACCATCATAGCTGTACAACCAAACGCAAGAAGATCCATTTCCAGTAGTGCCAAATGTACCATTACCAATTCTGCAAATACTGTCCATCCGAACATCAACAACTGCTCGACTATTTCCCAACTGTAGGCCCGGATCAACACCTGCGTGTACACCAGCACAAGCACCTCCACCACCAACATTGTGCGACAACATTGAAAACTTCTTTTTCCTGGTCTTCCCAGCTCTGTTGGCCCAGCCTCCCCATCCATCATCATCATCCGACGAGTCATCATCGGAACTTGATTCCCACATGGTTGAGTGCCCATCGCCAATGGATTTTTCAAGGTAGACTCCAGCGTTGATTTGCCATCCGGATGAGGCACTCTCTCGCTCTAATTTGGTTCCTTGGATAGTTGCAAATAATGCGCTGTTGTTATTGTTGTTGTTGTTGTTGTTGTTGTTACCATTTTCGGTATTGTTGAAGCTCTTGAGTAAAATCGGAAGTGACGTTGATGAGTTGTGAGTTGTTGTTACCTTATCCAAGCCTTGTCCGTTGTTGTTGTTTATCATGGGTGACCCTGAGACGGCAGTTATGATGATTGGCAACGCCAATAGTATCCAGTTGATTGTGAGCTGATGCATTGGGGACATGGGACAGTTTTTGAAAGCCACAATCAACAGTGGCGAAATGAAAATTGATTTTGGTAATCTTTCTGTATGTGGGTACTTGTAAACTAGTGTTTACCTTCTTGGGTATGTCCGTGGGTTGAATAAATATGGTGGTATTTTTTTTTAGTATGCTGCAAAATTTGAAACGGTTTTGATTTCGTAGGAAAAGCTTTACACGCAAGACATCCAGTAAGCGTAAAATTATATACCTCCTTGACCGGCAAAATATCTTCTGAGGGTACGACTGAGTTAAGAACGGTGTATGAGCTACTTCGAATCCATGAACAAATTACTTCAGCTATTAGAGTTTATATTTCAAACTATTGTACGTACTTTAAAGTATGAAGTCACGTGGCCACTCACCACAGTGGTGAAGCCTCTTAGCAAATAAAGAGAGAAATGGCTGACAAAATCGAAAAAATGATATGATAAACTTAACTACACATATAACTAACACAGACTCCCCAGTACAGCTCATTTTCAGTGTCCACATATAGCTGCCATTTTATACACACACATTTATAGACTACGTCATGCTGGATTTACGCGAGTTAGGAACCGGGTCGCGGACACAGGTCATTGAGCCAACAAACAATGTCCTTCGGTTACGTCCTACTGAAGAGAGAGAAGAGCAACCACACTCACAGCAACATCGCAGCGAAGATGACGGTCCGACGTCCGTCCTACAAACCCTGAAGACGAAAACGAAGACAAAATCTAAACAAAAGAAACCACGAGTGCGGTGGACGCAAGATGTCGTTGATAACGAACACATGAATAAGAAAAAGACAAAGATATGTTGTATATTCCATCCGCAGCGGTCGTTTGATGAGGAAGAGGCGCATGATCACGAACATGATCATGGTGGACATGGGTGTCCTAGCTCCAGCTCAGATTCAAGTAGTGATGAGAGTGATGCTAGCGATGGCGAGAGTGGTGCTGGTGGTGCTGGTGGTGCTGGAGGAGGGAACGGCAAGAGCAAGAATGGTGGCGGTGGTGGTAATGTCAATGCGTACGAGTATCAACCCAAGTATGAGAACCGGTCGAAGTTGCCTTCTAATCCCAGTTAACGATGGAATTTCGATGCTTGGACAGGTGGATTATTTCTTTTGTTGGGCACGGGAATGGGTAATGGGGTCTCTACTTAAAATTAGCCAGAGCAATGTATGCACATTTCGGTCCGTTGAGAATGCAGGAGAACCTCACCGCCTTGGAGGGGGGGGGATGATATAGCAGCTAAAGTAACGTATAGAGAATAAATTAACGAGGGCTAATGTAGTTTGTTGATAGTTGACAAATATTAGGACTTTTACCGAGTTATAAAGGAAAACTACTATTAGAAAGGATAAATTATGTAGATTATATAAAAATGAAAATGGGGAATTGAAACGGATAAAGGGCTGTAAAACCAAACATCAACGAGTGAGCTGTAAAAAATGTGGGAAATGTCTGTGTTTGTAAATGAATGACTGGATCTATAAGCAAATGAATGTGAAATCGACTTTCATGTCGTACAAAAAGCAACGTGAATGAAATGAATGAATAAACAGGTAATGACAGGATGTTGGAGTACAAAAGTTAGCAGACTGCAGTGGGATGATGGAAGAGCTGCTGTGCCGCCGTTTTCATATCCAAGATTGGTCCCCACACACGGACACACACACACACACATAACGATGCTTTGATTAATCTGGATTCGCAATCTTCAAAGTAGCACCACCATTATGATCATTCACGTCATCTAGCGATTGACTAAACATAGGTTGGTGATTATAATGTTCATGGATTGGAAACATAATGATATCCCCATTCTCATCCGATGACTCTCCTTCAGCACCACCGTTACCATTGCCTCCTCCGCCAAAACCTCGCAACAACTTCTTCCTGGACAAGTTCCGGTTTATGCCTGAGCCGCCACTCGATCCGTAATCGTTATTGTAGTAGTAGTTGCTATTAGCGTTGGCTTTGTCCTTTTCAGCCTGGTTCGAGCCGGCAGCATTACCGCCCATAAATAGAGAAAATAGAGTCTTTGTGGAGTTATCTCGCTTCAATGATGAGAATGATGATTGTTTGCTATGACGGTATTCTGGAGGTGGGGGAGGGATAGGATAGCTGTTATTGTGTCCATGATGGTGATGATGTTGATTGTGGTGGGACTTGTTGTAAGCGACAACTTTTTCATGGGCTTCTGCGTCATCGTAGTCATCAAAGTCCAGTGAGTATCGATTCTCTTCGTCTGATGTGTCGCGGTCGCCTCCTGCACCTCCTGCTGCGCCGGAGCGTCTGCGGGAGCAGCAACAACAACAGTAGAGTATTGCGGAGACTATGCCGAGGACAACGACGCCCACTGCTGTGAATGTTCCTGCAACTTTACCAGCGTCTGAAAAGAATGCGTTCTTGTTTTCATTATTGGTGGCGGCGGCTGCAGATGATGACGAAGATGTAGTGTCGGGTGCAGTGGGTGAGGCTGTGGATGATGAAGGGTCAGCTTCATTTGGTGATGCTAATGAAGCGGTGGCGGCTGCACCTGCTGCGCCAAGAGAATCTGTGTTTGTTGATGGAGATACAGACAGGTCGTCTGTGGTGACAGTTGTGGTTTCTTCAACGTTGCTAGATTGAACCGATGTTGAATTTGCCGTTTGGGTGACATACATTGTGCTCACTTGCTGATGAGATTGTGTGCCGTTGACTGTAACCACGGAAAACACGGTTGACGCTTCAACTTGGGTTGATACTAGGACAACGGTGGATGAAACCACATGTGGTGAAGAAGAAGAAGATGATGATGATGACGTGCTTGTGCTTGAGCTCAGGGTTGTTGATGGTGATGGGGTCACGGTGTAGTATTCAGTCACCCTGACTACATCGTTTGACAGGTGGACTTCTGTGACTTGAGTTGTACGGGTAACCATTGTTGTTTGCTGTGATGTAGCAAGGGAGGACGAGCTGGAGGAGGAGGAGGTAGTTGGACTAGATTGGGTTGATGAAGACGAGCTAGTTTGAATAGAACTGCTTGAGGTTGAGCTAGATGAAGTAGTTGTTGTCGAACTAAACTTGCTGCTCGATGAAGAGCTACTTGTTGTTTCAGTTTCTGTGCCAGTTTCAGTTTTAGTTGCACTCGATGTACCACCCACAGTGGCACTAGGTTCACCAAAAACCACATATCCAAAATGATCCTCATCTCCACACTTTTCCTCGGGATATCCTGGACATGCGGTGTCGCAATTGGACAAATCCACTTGATCCTGAGGCACGTCGTTGCTGCAATAACAGTCAAATCGAGACAATATGGCAACGGCGAACCCCAGTTTTTGACATTGCGTCTGACAGTACCCGTTTGACATGTATTGGTTGGATACTGAGTTTGAGCCGAGGTTTTGGGGTGAGCAATAAGTTAGTGATAGTGAAAGACATGGTGTTGTAAGGAGTGACAATAGTAGGAAGAACGTAATTGGAAGATTTGTGGAAAACGAGGTCGACTTGCTGATATCGAGGATCATCAGGTGATGATGATGACGATGATGACGATGATGGTGTTGTTGTGGTGGTGGTTGTAAATTGTGGTCAAGGTTTTCCTCGGAATGCAGCAAGATGAGATGAAATTTCTCGAGGCCAAAGCAACTTTAGACCGAGACCCTGTTCCGTTAAAGATATATGATGAAGTCTGTAATTTTAAGATTGAACCGAGGGGGGGGGGGGTGTTGCTAGTGAGTGGATCTTGAGTGTGCTTTCACCACTCTGTTTCTGCTCTTCAACGAATTGAGGTTGTTCTATGGTGGTGGAAGGGAAAAAATGCAAAAAAAAAAAAAAAAATCAAGAGGAATACAAATATGACAAAAGGAAAAAAAAGAAGTAGCAGAGTGGGATGAGTTTATAGCTTTATTATTCCTCGTAAATAAAGTCAAATGCAAAGTGGTTTGTGGTTGTAGTAGTAGTTGTAGTAGTAGTAGTTGTTGTTGTTGTTGTTGTTTTTTTTTGCTATATGAAAATGTAAGAATCAATGAATTGTTTTTAATCCCTTGTTTTTGCCTAGTTTTCACTTATTGAGATTGTTATTGATTAAAAAAAAATGAGATTTGTTGTTTATGTAATTGTGCTGCTTATTGTACTACTTACATAATATTATGGTACCTTTGTGTAATTATTTATCTTTTATTTTTCTATTTTTCTATTTTTAATTCTTTCATTTAAAATTTTGGTTTTGTGTTCTTTGTTTATTGTTGTTTATTGTTGTTACTTTTGCTGCTTTTTTCCCTTTGCTTTCAAAATCTCTCTCTCTGTCTTCTCAGTAGCAACAACAACAACAACAACAACAACAACAACAACAACAACAACAAACCCTTTGATTGTGGAAAGCTTATAATTTTTTATTGTAACTGCATTAACAGTAACAATTAACAAAAAAAATATTATATAACCTAGTTTATTTTGCTATGAAATTCACTCTCAGTGGGTATTTCCGCTACTCGGATTTAACACAATTGTGGTGCTTTTCCTCAGTCAATACAACCTTATTTAGCAAAATTATGTATAACATACTCACCCCTACATACCACTAGCACATTTACATATTCGTCTTTTATTCCACAGCAACTCTTGTATACTAGACAAAGGATAAAAAAGGAAGGATAAGTCTTGCTCCTTTATCTTTCCACTTCGCTCTAACTCCTTCGGCTTGAAAGATTATTGTGTTTTTTGTGTCCAATGCGATATGTGGCGGGGGATCATCCTCCTTGTCTGTGCATAGAGTGTTGTGCGTATATGTTCATACGTTTCTTCCAACAATAAAATTTTTTTTTCCCCTTTCCCCTTCCCCCTTCGATTTAGGAATGGAAATATCCGCAAATGGAAATCTCCTTCATTGTACATTGATTATAGTCTGTTAGAGAAAAACGGAGTATATCTTGTTGGTATTAGTCAGCTATGGATTCAGTTGAACAACTTGGGGGAAGTCTCTTTTTCGAAAGAAGTAGTTTTATTCTCCTCAGACACACGTGCCCTGTGGAACGGGGTTGGGTGATTTAAGGTACGCAGATCTCTGCGATATGAAGAATACTAAACAAGAGTGATACGAGAATTCACTTTAATGCAAGAGCAGAGTAATGTAAGGTGGTGCAAGGAGTTTTTCTGTAGTATCCCTTTAGCTTGCGAGATCTTTCCTCCCCATACCCGTTTTTTCTCTTCTCTTATCTGCCGACTAGTCCGTTATTTTGAAACCATCAACAGAGAATGCAGTCTGAGTACAAGGGATAAATGATGAATGTATAATTAGCCACGAGAACGGTTAAGGTTTGTTGTCGTATTAGAAGGAGGGAGGAGAATGTACCGAGTGTGGCTTCATTTTCAATTATGTTGCCGTTTATGGCTTATTCCCCATAACATCCGTTGTGTAATCTAGTAGCCTACACTCCTTGTCTCATTTGCCTCACTCGTTGCTCCTTTGTCCACCAGTCGTAGTGGTATATTCTACATAAAAACAATGTCTCTTTGTTGATCGTTTTCGTTCTTAGGTGTGGCCATTTAAGAAGTTGCGCAGTGTACACAAAACATTCCACAATAAAAACATGTTATTATTTATCTTCTCTTGAATCTCATTAACATTCTCAAACCCTTCCGCTCCTCGAACATCCGAAACATCCACAGCGTATCTGTATATCTCAGAAACAGGGAAATGGGGCTTATATCTTTGGCAGTTTTGTATGTAAAATGAAATTAACTGAGCTACTTTATCAAATAATCAAGCAACTACTGCCTAGAGTAGTTACAATTCAGTCACCGTATATCGCCACTAAACCTCGATATATCGAGCTAAAGTTTAATCGCGGAGTTCCTGGGATTGCGCAAAAAGGAGGCATTTGTGTAAAGAGTAGTGCTATATAATATCCACAATCAAAAGCAAGAAGCGGTTTATTGATTATAACTTTAAATTTCACATTTCAATTTTTCTTTGTGGAGATTTTACTTTGTGTAGAGATAGACTAGGACATAGCTTATTGACCAATCTTTTCTCCAATTTTTTAAAGTTTGCTGCTCATTTCACTAGGCGATGTATTAGATCTTGCTTGTTAAAAAAATGAGCTAGAAACGACGGCACAAGGGGGGAAAGAATGGGAATAGACTAACTTGGGATTGAGGTAGTTGTTCATTTTGGGTTTTGTTCTGAAATGGAAGATTCGGAATTAATATGTATCACAAAACAAGACCACACTAGTTATTTCGTATTCTTGAGAGTGACTTTCTTGCTGCTCGTAACCGTAACCATTACCATATTTATAATCGTAGTTTTCTTCAATTGTTCACATTCCTTCCCGATATGGGCTACCAACAGTCAATCAGCAATGCCTTTTCCATCACAACTGATTTATTATAACTGACCTCCTGCGTATTGTGCACATGTACGATAAGTATTGCAAACGAAATTCGGGTGATGGTGGTGTATTTGTCTATCTCTGTTTATCTATTTTCTTTTTTTTGTGGCTTATTGTAAAAATGATGTAATTACTCAATTTGGAAGTAGCTTTGCCAATTGTAGAAAATGTGCAAATTACAGAAACAACACAACAGTTGTAACCTGGTGTAACCTGGTGTAAACAAAAGCCGATGCTGGTGTAGTCTGTCCAGAGTTAGATAGTTTGCAGGTTTGTAGATCAACAAGGGATGCACCCGTTGAGATACAACATCAGTCTTCCTACTAAAATTATTGTACAATGTAGTCTTAGGGATGTATGACATTCAGCAAACATATCTGAATTTCAAAAGCACCTTGGGTAATCACGGCCAAATTTTCAAATGCTTATCTTTGCGGAAACTCGAGGAAAGAATGCCAGCGCAAAGTCATATGAAAGACACATGAAATTCGGATGCTAATGTACTTTGTGTTCAACATTTTTCAGGAGTTATATATATCCGTAGACTATAAAAAAACTTATGCAATTGTTGCATGTAGCTTAAAAGTCTCGGAGCCTGGATAAGCACTAAGTTGCTCAAATGCGATATCAGCAACTGCAATGTTTGTAACATTTTTGTTCAACTTTTGCAACAAAATAAATGGAAATTTTACAAATCTCTTATAAATTCTATCCATAATATAACATACCGGTACCTTTCTATTTATCTCTCTATTTACAAGCTTCTAAATCTCTAATCATTTTTCTATACATTGCATTAGGTATAGGAACATTCTCATGATCCATCTCTTCAAGAAACTGATGTTTCAAATACGGCGACGCCACAATATCATATATCCGCGACCACGTCGTCAAATTGATCTCGACACCAGCATCATTGGCCAAATGCAAGTACTTGAGAGCCAACAGTAATGAATTGGCGCGGTTTCGGATCCGCGATTGTTGCCGCACAACGCCGAGCATGACGTTGATGGTTTGCGTGTCGATTGCAAAGCCGTCGCGGTTCATATGCACTATTAGTGCGCGGGCGAGGTAGGATTGGTTCTTGGTCACGCCAAAGTAGTGCATGAGATGGTTGTATGATGTGGTTGATCGGAATTGTTTCATGTTGGTGTTTGACAATCTGTGTGAGTCGAGGAGGATCTGGGGTATTAGTCCCGAGAGACATGAGGCGTTTTGGGAGTGGTGGGTGATGTGCGCCAAGTCGTGGATGTATTTGGTGAAGGTGGGGGGTGTTAGTGGTTGGGGCAAATTGGGGAGCGGTCCGTAATTGTGGGTGTGTTTAGTTGATGGATGGTATAGTTGTTGATGGGATGATTCTTGCGACAAGATGTGTTGTTTGTAGGTTTCATTGTGGATGTTTTTCAAATGGGGCGGTGTAATTTCGACCAAGTATCGCATCATCTTGTGGAATATTTGTCGGTTTTCAAAGTAGACTTGTAGTTGATCTTGAGCTTTTGTCGATTTGCGCTTGGCCCAATTGCGTGTGGCTTCTTCAACGTTGTATTTGATAGAGCTGTTGGCATTGGATATGACTTGGTCTTGTTGGGGTTGATCCACCTTGACTCCTTGTTGCTGTTGTTGTTGCTGTTGTTGCTGTTGTTGTTGCTGTTGTTGTTGCTGTTGTTGTTGTTGCTGTTGGTGGTGGTGATTATTGAACGTTTTCAAGTTAGGCATATCTAGTGGTTCGAGAAACTCTCGGAATAGTTGTTGATATGGTATACTTCTGTAGGTGATGGGATATGGAATCGAATGAGGATCATTGTTGAATATAATCGTACGTTTGCTTGCATTTGCAAATGATGATGATGATGAAATGGGTGTGGGTGCTGGTGTAATCTTGCTGACCGAGGCCGTACCGCTATTCGGTTGTGGTGGGTATGATATTCTCGGTCGTAGAGCATGGTCAGGGACAGATTTAGTTAGTCGAAGTATCGTTTCCTTCAATGCATTCATATCATTTCGATCTGTTGATTTGGAAGTAAAACCTGGCGATTTTCCGAATTTTTCATTATGCGTGCATAATATCAACCGAAGAGAAGAAGCCAAAAAAAAAAAAAAAAGATAAAAAAAAAAAATTGGGCCATCATTAATCATCATCCTCATCATTACCAAACATTAATCATCACTGCCTATTAGTGTCTTCTCCACATAACATTACACTTTCAAGTAGCAAGTCATGGCATCACCACAAAGAGAAGGGTTTTCGATCCCCACTTCGATATCACATGCCGCATCGGCGCAAATCACCAACAAGTCGCTTGGTGTCAAGTACAACTGTGCGCAGTGTGCCGCTTCTTTCTCGTTGGGAAAGAATGATGCTATTAGATGTAAAGAATGTGGGCATCGTGTTATCTATAAGGCTAGGACGAGAAGGATGGTGCAGTTTGAAGCTAGGTAGGTGAATGGAGAAGGACATGGAGCAGGACATGGAGAAGGACATGGAGAAGGACATGGAGATGGGACGGGAACCAGGAAATTTGCCACCATGCGTGTGTGAAAATTAGACAGGTTCCTTCATTTGATAACGTTGTATATCTATATATAAAGTTAACAGAAGTTGGTGAATTTTTGAAAAGTAATAAATACAAGTGATTGGTATTAGCTACGTAGATCAAGTAGAGGTACTATAGATGGCCTGCCATGAGCACACTGGAATGGTAATCGACATTGGCTCAAATTATCAACCAACTGTTGCATATCTTGCATTGATAGTACATCACCAAACATGATTGCCGATCGACAAGCTCGTGAGTTGATTATATGGATGATGAATTGGGGTAAATGATGCAAAATTTCAAACCAATCTGAGTTAGAATGGTGATGGAGTTGACTCTTGATGTTGTTTTGTAAATCATGACAATGTTGCATCATGATGCTTTTGCAAAATAAAGCCTCGTTGGCAAGGTTGATAAGTAGTTCCGGGAGGTTGGTAATTATCAAATCGTGAATTCGATTTTCATCTTCAAAGTGAAATAGTATACCCAACATTGCAAAAGTTTTTGAATATTGTTGCAATAATAGATATTCACTTGATGTAACTTGTATTCGTAATGGTTGGGAGAGCCGGAGGTTGCGAGGCATGTTTGATACAAACTCTTGAAACAACTTTTCGACTTGGACTCGTTCGTCAGCTGCGTGTTGGTCCAAAACGACAAGTTTATTGTTGATTAGTAAAAGAATAAACTTGTTGTCAATTTGTTTAATGATTCGATAAGTTGTGAGATGCATCTTGTCGAATTGAACATTTTCATGACTGGGTTGCAAACAGCAGGTATTGTGACATGTATAAAAAAGGTGATTAGATTTGTTTATAGTTGGTGTTGTTTCTTTGGAGGTGCTTGGTGGTTGTAAATGTGGCTTAACATGATTGGATTTCCCACAAAGAACCATGCCTTCAATTTCTCTATCGTTGGGGCTGCCCCATCGAACGTTTGTATTTAGGATGAATTTATCAGTTTTGCTTCTCTTGGGACTTGGCAGAAGTGTGAATTCACGCTCATTTGCCAAGAGTTTCGGCACACCGTCTTCGCCACCCGCACTGCCCGCACTGCCCACACTTGGTCCTCCCTGACCCATACGTACAAACTTTATGAAAATCCGCTTCAACACGTCGCAAATGACCAGCCACGAGTAGGAGTTTTCATTCACTTGTTTATCACAAGTGATTGATATCAAGAATGTTGGATGCTTGTGTATCATTTTGCGTCTTGGACTTGGATCTTGTTTACCAAAATCTTCAAATATGTCTTGAAATGTACAAACATCCGCTCGTGGTAGAGTCATGAGTTTGTTATTTATGAACACATACTGATGTGATTTGGAAGGTATTGTTTGTAAGCCAATGATACCATCCGCTTGATAATTTTGAAATGTAGCTTTAATTGGTTTGAAATCGACATTGATATCGAAGAAATCACGCATCAATTTGACATCTGTCAACGTACATGTTGTTAGAATTTTCTCAAATTTGGATTTTTGCAGGTTGTACAATTGAAAATCGACATGGACTTGTGGCTTTCTAAATAACGCTTTGAATAATGCCAACTTGACCTCATTTATGATTTTGTAAAGTGGACTCGATTTGAGTTGTGCTTGTCTCACTGGTAAGTTACTATAAATGTTTGACATGGAGTAAATTGTGCCGCATTTGCCCATAGGCTCCGGCTTGTAGTAACTCTTTGTTCCATCGGTATTGCTATTGTATAGTTGTGCAATGCAACTTTTTCCAGCAGTGAGTGTGATTTTGTACGGACATTGAAACTCGTTGGATTTGGAAATGACACTAATGTTGGACACTACTTCGAGGCCACCAAACATTCCCGTGGTGGAGCTTGCAAGCTTTTCCAACTCTTGAGGTGTATGTCCCACATCATCACTCTGGACAAATATTGCCACAGACTGCAAGTCCAATTTGATGGAGATTGCCGTTGCATTCAACTCGAGACATTTGTGTAAAATAGTTTCCACTATGGAGTCGATTGTATTAAAGTGGAGGTGGTACTTGATTTGACTGATTACTGAGTCGTCAAGTTTCCGCACTCTCATAACTTGTTCCTATGTCATTGTCACGGATTCTGGTCTGCTCTGGAAGGCTCTAGAATGGTTCACTATTTGATTACGACTTCTCAAGCCTGCACGGTAGCTAGAGTCAAGCGAGAAGGTCACGTGTAAAGTCCGAAAAAAAAAAAAAAACTGTGTTAAAAATGCGACAATTCAAAAAATACAATAATAATGTGTATATGTGTATATGTGTTGTAACAAAGGAAGGTCATTCGATGGAAATAAATCGAATATTCCACACACACACACACACACACACACATCTTTCTTACTGTAATTTAATATGCAGTATATACACAATATATACACACTAACACTAACACTAACACTAACACTATAATAGTTGCAGCCATATATATCCCTTTTATTGCTATTTTTCCATCTTTGCCGTGGAATGATTGTATATATAAATATCAATTGACATTTCCCTTTTCAAACTTTTGACATTTGATTCCTTCCTCTTCCTCTTTCTTTTTCCCATCACATCACATCACATCACATCACTGACCTCAATTGATTAAACATACATCCCTGCTAATATGTCTAAAGCTGTTGGTATTGATTTAGGTACTACTTACTCTTGTGTTGCTCATTTTGCAAACGACAGAGTTGAAATCATTGCAAACGACCAAGGTAACAGAACCACTCCAT